TTTGTGATTTTTTTCGGGATTTTATTGCAAACTATGGATTTTTTATGATTTTTTTTTGTTTTGAGCAGGGTGTATTACCGCTAACCGTGGAGTTTGGCAGTGCTGTTTCTCCATCTTTTGAACATATACTTTTGACCCACCACCTGAGATGGCCACAGCATCTATCTCACAGATGAGATTCATCCCAGATATTATATTTTATCCCTAGTTTAACCCTTCCTGACCAAAGCTGTGGTTTTCTCCGGCTGGTCCAGAGGTGAAGCATGGCGCCTTTTCCGCTGGCTGGGAAGGAGCAAGGGGGCGGCAAACTTCTAACTTGCTGAGCCTCGACTTAAGACATAAGGGGTCAAAAGTAATCAAAAGATTTTTGCTGTGACAAACCATGTGGGCGTGGCCAAGCATGAAATCAGACTTGTCGCCATTAGAGTATGACTAGAGTATGACTGCCTCAGGCCCTTCTTTTATTAAGGATTATTAAATTTGTATAACCGAACACGATGCTCAAAAAAGTATATTGGAGCCATGGTCCACACCCAACAAGAAATGGGCCATTTTGGATCAAAGATACCATTTTCTTTTTTTAGGTCATGACATATCTGAGTGAAGGGCTCTTGGTTTATTTTTGAGTTTGAGACTTCAAATTAACTTTACATGGACTATAGTCATAGCAAATTAAAAGTTAGCAAAAATATTATTCTACATGGGAGCATGTGGGCGTGGCTAAGCATCAAACTGTTAACTCCAGTCATCCAAAGCCATGCTTTTAGGAGGAGGAGAAGGATGATGAGGATGAGAAACAAACAGCAGTAGGAGATGCAGTGAGAGCAGCAGCAAGAAGAAGAATATGAAGAGAAGGAGCACAGGGGGAGGAGGATGATTAGGATGAGAAACAGCAGAAGGAGAATGGAGGAGGATTAAATTAAGCAGGATAAGGAGGATGAAGAGAAAGAGCATCAGCAGGATGAGGAGAAGGAGATGCAGCAAGAGCATCAGCAGGATGAGGAGAAGGAGATGCAGCAAGAGCGACAGCAGGATGAGGAGAAGGAGATGCAGCAAGAGCGACAGCAGGAGGAGAAGGAGACACAGGAAGATAAGCAGAAGCAGGAGGATGATGAGGAGAAGCTGCATTAGAAGGAGGATGAGGAAGATGAGGAGAAGCTGCAGGAGGAGGAGGATAAGAAACAGTGGCAGCAGCAGAACGAGAAGGAGGGGGAGGATGAAGAGAAGCAGCAGCAGGCATAGGCTGAAGAGCAGGAGCATAGGCTGGGAAGGAGCGTGGAGGTGGAGGTCGCTTGGTTCCCTCGATCGCAACATACCAGGCGGTGCGAGCTGCGAGGGCCGCTCAATGCCACTTGTGGCTTTAATTGGTTCTTTTTTTTTAAATTTTTTTATTAAATTTTTTTTTTACCTTACAGGCTAGATTATGTTTCAAATTTGAAATAAAAAACTGAAAGCTGTAATATCGTTATGCATTTTTATTTTGAGAAACAACAGCAAATAACTGAAGTAGAAAAGTTGTCCCCCACCTATTCCAATTAAAACCTCATTCACAGAAAAATAATAATACCCCTGCATTATAGATCCGGAAAGGCTTGGCATCAAAAAATACCCCCCAAATAAGTGCAATGAATGCAATGCAATACCTCGGCTCCAGACGTCCCGCCCCCTCCACAGACGCTCCGCTGCTCCTCTCCCAAATTGTAGCTGACCGCAGACAGGAGGCCGGCTTGTTTTGTTTTATGACCGAAATTGCAGAAAACAACTCGTGAAGTTTGACCCGCTAGAAGAGCGAGGTGCTCGAGAACGCTGGGACCCTTTTTCCACCTGGATCTCCGCTCTGGCCTGGCCGTATCTAGACCCACAGCGTGTAGCGCAGACCACGCTTCAATATTGAGCATAAATCTAAAATGTGTGTGTCAAGCTCACTGCAACACAGTGCTGTAAGAGTATAACCAGGAAGCGAGATAGGAGGGCAAAATAGGTTTAGCGCCACCGCAGCATGGGAGGGAGAATTACGCCCAGGAGCAAATGGATAAAAATAGACCGGAGGAAAAAAAAACATGAATCGATTCTCTTGCGGACGTGTCGATGCATCGGATCATCGGCTGTTCGAGCGATGCATCGATACAAAACCATTATTATTTACACCCCTAGACCGAAGACAGCCCTGCTGAAGCTTTCAGATTCAGCTGCTAATGGTTAAAGGTTTAACTAAATGCTAACGCTCGCTACAGACCGAACAAGTCATGTGTTGCTGAAGCTAACTGCTACATCGTGAGCTAACCCTCTTACTCCTGGGGCCAGCTAAGCTAACAGGTCTTTCAGCCTCATCATAGTTTAATGCATTCCTGAGTCAATATTCATTTTCCACCAAAAACTGAATGAAACTGACTTCAGTTACCATCTGTGTGTTTCAGGGTTTATTTACATTTTATCTGCTGCTATTATAAAGGACACTTTTAAATGCATTAAGCCTTAAACTTCAAACATCAATCAGACTTTGAAAGAACTCTTAAACGCCTCCTCCCCTTTTATTTCTTTAGTGCTGCTTATTTTCAGTAGTGCTTAGTGTTTTGCTTTGTTATTAGATATAATACTGTGTGATTGTAGCTAATAAAGGTACCATTATATTTTTTAACCTGTGGTCTTTGTGTTCATTTTACACAGTGAACGATTTATCGCTTAGGTTGGATTCACTCTTCTTTCAGTAGCATCCGAATGAACAGAGACACATTTATTTGGTTGGTGATTAATAACGTTGCTAAGAGCCATAGCCTAAATTACTAAATTGGTTAAAAACAACAGGATTTTTTAACAGCCGGATTAAGTCAGGAGTCTAACCTTTTAAGTCAGGGACTAAAACCCTGGTCAGTAAACAAATTACAGTTATAATCATTCAACTGATAATAAATAACTAGTTTTACCCTAGATTTGAATGACCTATTAATTAACTTCAAGTTCTAGTCATCCCAAGTGGAGTACTTTCTTGTGATTGGCTTATGCAAGGGAGCTTTGTGATTGGTTGCAAACCATCCCCTCTATAAAAACAAATGGCTATGTCCAGCAGTACCAGATGGTGCTGTTGGCCTGGGGGGGCTGCTGCTGTACCGCACCGATAGGAACAAAGAGCTCTGCGTGAATGGAGGTTCCTCTGAGACTGTTCCCAGGCAATCTTCGACATCTAGAGAAGCACTGCCTTCTGCAGGTGAAAAGGAGGAGAGCAAGCAACAGGACCGTCTCTTAAAAGTGTTTCAGCTGCGGGATCGGGCTACCTGCAGTGCAGAGCTTGCTCAGGAATGGCAGCAGGAGACTCTTGGAGCAAGGCCTGGTCTCAAGGAGGGCAGCAAAGAAGCCACTTCTCTCCAGGAAAAACATCAGGGGCAGACTGATATTCTGCAAAAGGTACAGGGAGTGGACTGCTGAGGACTGGGGGAAAGTCATTTTCTCTGATGAATCCCCTTTCTGATTGTTTGGGACATCTGGAAAACAGCGTGTTCAGAGAAGACGAGATGTGTGCTACCACCTTGTCTCATGTCAACTGTGACGTCATACACGCTCCGCTTTGTGTTAAAAAAACATAAATATAAATAATATAACCGCGGATGTCTGGGGGACAGTGATTTGCCTACATTCAATTCAATTCAGTTTATTTATATAGCGCCAAATTTACAACAACTTTACAGTTCAACCAGATCATACAGTCAAATTGATACAAAGTTTTCTATCTAAGGAAAACCAGCTGATTGCATCGACTCATTGACTCAAATACAATCCCTCACACTAAGCATGCTTGTAGCGACAGTGGAGAGGAAAAACTCCCTTTTAACAGGAAGAAACCTCCAGCAGAACCAGGCTCAGTGTGAGCGGCCATCTGCTGAGGCCGACTGGGGTTCAAGGAGACAGAAGCAGAGATACAAAAAGCAGCTGTAAAAGGCGGCCCCGTCCAGGAAACACACAGCCAGGCAGACGATCTCCGAGCCAGCTGCCATGCCAGAGGACGAAGAGTGCACATCCAGTTAGTCACAGTCAGAGAAACAGGACTACACTGGAAAACAGGCCGATCTCCAGCATCTAGAAACAAATGTGTTGATGGAAGCAGCACAGCTGATATTTCTCTCCAGGATGGAGTCACAGCCAAACAGGAACAGACAGGGCAAAGCTACTATGAGGAAAAGCAGAGTAGCTTTTCCTCAGAGAAGTCTAGAACTGTTATGAATGCTGGCGTACCATAAAGAATAAATTATGAACAGTTTAGTTTGTGCCTTCAATTTGTTGCCCATAGGAAGACGTTACTTTGATATACCCTAACCGAATATCGTCTGAACGGCTCCAAATGACACAAAACTCAGATGGGTGAGTAGAACATGATGTAAGAACGTAAAATCAAGGCCCAAATAATTAAAAAAAAAGGCGTTCCCCTTTAAGTCTAGTGGGAATAGTTTCATCTTTTCCAGTTGTTGAGACTGTTTTGAGGCAGTATAGTTTTTTGCTTGTTTATTTGTTCATCTAAATACGCAAAATCGAACGTGATGAAAAGTGAGGTGGAGATTTTTTCACGCGACCAACGGTGGCCAGTAAAAAAAAAGAAAAAAAAGAAAGAAAACCAGCCTCCTTCTGCTTCCGGTTCGGCTGTATAAAGAACAGGCAAAAAAAAACTCAGCTAGTCTCTGGTTTGGATCAGTTCTTACTTTCTGTCTCAAGTTTTTAGTAGAAAAATTGCTGCTGCGGGGCACTGGGGGAAAAAGCTGCAGCTGGAGGGAGGTTTGTGTGTTTCATTAAAAACAGCATTATTGTTTTTGTGCTTCTTTTCATTGGCTGCGTCCTCACCCATAGGTCCAAAAAAGAACAAAAAAAAATGCCCAAAAAAAGCAATCACTGAAGGTTTTAGTTTATCATCAGTGGTCAAAAGATTAATCCGTTTTCCTGTATTTAATTAAGCTGTTAGTTTGACATGAATTCGGAGTGTAATAACTTTGACCTGTTGCTGTTCTTCCTCTCAGGTGTACGTGGTATACTGGGCCCTAAAGAAGTCTTGGTGTCGTGCTGTGGTTCTTTCCATCATCAGGGACCCGACATGCCTTCAGACCCTCTGTTTCCTGGTTGATCATGGAGAAGTTACTGTGGTTCCCTCTGAAAAGTATGAGAAAAAGATGAAACAAGCACATAATACAATCAAACCTAACGGTCAATGGATTTTAAACTAAGTAGCAGTAAAGTAAACAAAGCCTTTGTGTGGAGCACTGAGGCCTGTTTCACAAAGCATGTTTAACAAACTCAGACTCAAATCCTCAACTCTGAATGAATCCAGCCTAAGGTTAGAGGGGTTTCTGTTTCACACTGGCTGCTGTGAGTTAGTTTAATCAACCCTGAGTGGGTATTGCCAAAGGAGTCACGATTCGATTCGAATCACGATTCACAGGCCACGATGCGATTCTATCGCGATGCATCAGGATACTTGAATTATTGCGATGCATTGCAATATTTTCTCCTCCATGTTTTGTTTTTGAATGACTCGGCGCAGTAGAAATGCTTGTGACACAAGGCAGTGTGCATTAACACATCCGCAGCGACATCTACTGGACTGGAAGTTGTATTACACTTGTTTTTGGCTGATGTTCGACAACTATTCATGCAATTTTATTTACTCATTTTTTTAAATTAATAATCGATACTTGGTGTCAAGAATCGATGCAGTAGATCATGAAAATTAGAATCACGATGCATCATCATGACGATTATTTTGCACACCCCTACTGAGTAGGTCCACTCAGAGTCTAGCGCATTACAAGTCGGAAAAGCCATTATTAGTGGAACTCCCGATTCGATGACTCATCAGGCAAAAGGAAGAGCCTATTTCACATCACTGAAAGTGGAGATTTTAATGCAGAAGTAAAGACAAATAGGAGAAAGTGTTGAAAAGACAGAACAACAGCTGCAAAGGAGAGGGAGAAGATTGCTGCTCGAGATGATGTGTAAGCTTATACGAAGTCCTCTATGGCAGGCCGTTTTTACATTCATTACAAGCACCGTTCTCTGTGTTGTTCCATTTCTAGATCACTAAAATTGGATTCTTCCTGATCCTGATGACACTCCAAGTCAGAACTGTAATAATGGATTTCTTAAATTTCTTAAGGAAACAGAATTTCTGAAAAATAATCAACAAAATGTTCCAGTAAGAATTACGTTTAGCATTTATTAGCTTGACTGAATATGTATTTATGATTTCAGAAATATGTTTCGGATCAAAAAAATACAAATACCCGAGGAGTAACAGTAGGAATGTGGAAATCTAAAATTCATTTCTAGACATTCAGAATGTTTATTTTAGATGTGAAGAATTTAATTTAGTTTGAAATGGTCATTTTGACGATAAAAAAAATGCATTTCAGATATCAGAAGTACCCATTCAGCCAAACTAATCAAATGGACATATAAACGGCCTGCAAAGGTAACATTACCATGGAAAAACTAGTTCACTGGTGAATGGTAGTGGATCAGTGTTTTATATTTAGTTGAAATCTAAAGTGAAGAAGAAATATTAAAAAAACATTTCTAACAGGTAGGATCTGTGCATCATCCTCTTCATTTTGATCTCACATTACACATTAAAGGTATTGTGGAGGATTTTTTACTAATGTTACAAAAGACCTGCACTCTCCACTTTAAAAAAAATGCACGTGCGAGAGAATGCACAAGCCCATTTCTCCTGGTGCACACCTTGTTTAAAATGTGCTGTTCTAACAGCTCATAGCTGACTGTGTTCACATACAGCGGGGACTTTATAGTGAACTTTATAGTGAACTCAGTTACCTGACCTTTCACAGGGGTTGACGTTAAGGATTTTTACCACTTGCCCTTTGGGCAAGTGACTTTCACATTTCATTTGCCCAGAAACAATTTTTACTTGCCCAGTATAATGTTTGATAAATATAGTTCTTAATATTCATTTTTGTATAAATATCAATGAAACATGTTTGTTTTTTGTAATTCATTATTTTTTAAGTTTCCAGGGCCTGGTGTGTATCTGCATGCGTCAGATAATGAACTCAAGCCTACATTACCGTGTTAACATGCTTTTCAATCGTTCCTGCACATTCTTTTCAAACTAAACTTTGCTTTAAACTGTTGTGTGCTTGGAAAAATATAAATTGTAATGTTAAAAATCTAAAAAAAACTTAACAGGTTAAAGACTTGCACTATTACTACTCACCAATTTAAAGGAATAGTACACCCAAAACATGATTAGCCTTCATTTTCTACTCACCCCCATGCTGAACAACACTCTGGAGTACTTTTTTGATATCTCAAATGCATCTGGAGATCTGGGAGGCTTCTTGCTGTCTGCTGACATTCAAATAATGGAGGTCTATGGTGCCCGAGACAGAAAGGTCCATAAAAGTCCACAAAAAACGTGTCAATATTCCTCCATACTGCTCGTCCAATGTATTCCAAGTGTCCTGAGTGGGTAGCATCCAGAATTTACTCGAAACGAAGTAATTTAGAATGTTTTTAGAGCATAAACAGTAGTGTATAGGATTTCCTGAAAGCGCGCACATGCGCGATCCCGACGCTACGGAAGCCGGCAGACCAAACCAGCGCATTCAGCTCGGCAAAGAACTCATGCTCTTCCTCAACACTGAAGTCCTCAGACATTTTTCTTTCGTTGTTTCTTTCTTTGCACAGGTAAACAGCACATTTCTTCTTCTATGCTTGCATTATTGGCAGAGCAGACGCTGAATGCGCACTTTCATCTGGCTTGGTCTGCCGGCTTCCGTAGCGTCATGAACGCGCTGGCGCGCGCTTTCAGGAAATCCTATACACTACTGTTTATGCTCTAAAAACATTCTAAATTACTTCGTTTCGAGTAAATTCTGGATGCTACCCACTCAGGACACTTGGAATACATTGGACGAGCAGTATGGAGGAATATTAACACGTTTTTTGTGGACTTTTATGGACCTTTCTGCCTCGGGCGCCATAGACCTCCATTATTTGAATGTCAGCAGACAGCAAGAAGCCTCCCAGATCTCCAGATGCATTTGAGATATCAAAAAAGTACTCCAGAGTGTTGTTCAACATGGGGGTGAGTAGAAAATTAAGGCTAATCATGTTTTGGGTGTACTATTCCTTTAACATGTTTAGCTGTATAACATTTAAATGCACCACTTCAATGTCTAAGAGAATTTTTTTTTTTTATGTATGACTACTGTACAGAAGACTGCCATATGTACGACGGACTATTAGGGCCACACATGAAGAGAAAAAATATTTTTGCCATGACGAGATTAAACTCGACATGTCGACTTTAAAATCGACATGTCGACATTAAACTCGCCATTTCGAGAATAAAGTTGATATATCGTGGCGACTTGAATCTCGACATTCCAAAGTTTGGAGAAAAGAGCAACCGCGCTCCACAGCTGCAGTCTGCGTTTTAAGAGTGAAGGTAGTCTTTGACGTGCTTCAACTGTATAGGATTCTGTGCGTGTATCCTGTGCAGCGGTTGGCTCTCTTGAACTAATTTAAACTTTATTGTCGACACGTCGAGATTAAACTTAACATGACATTTCAACTTTATTCTCGAAATGTTGAGTTTAATGTCAACATGTCGACTTTAAAGTCGACATGTCGAGTTTAATCTCGTCATGGCAAAAATATTTTTTCTCTTCATGTGTGGCCCTAATACTCCGTCGTACATATGATAGAAATATTTACACTGCGCAAATACAATTATTTTCCTGATCCCTGACTAGTCTTTTTTAGTCTAGCATGTATTATAGTATAGATTAAATTCATCATCCAGCTGCTGCTCTGCAGAATTCTCTCCTCAAGAGCTGAATCACACCATCTAGCGGAAAATCAAGCGGCTTTTTCAAATCACGCGAGAACGTGTACAAAACAACAAAGATGGTGCTGGCAACACTTGTGGGTCGTTTTCAGCGAATGTCTGTAATTATAAAGTAATTTTGAATGATAAATAATTTTTTTTTTTGCGATCATTGCACTTGCCCGGCAGGCAAATGCAATGAAATTTGTAGTCTCCCGACAATAAAAACTACTTGCCCCGGGTGATTGGGCGATGGTTAACATCGAGCCGTGGTTCAGACAGATGATCACTGCTTTTTGCTCCGCTGGTCATGTAACTCCTCCTACACTGCGCGGTGCATGCGCCATCTTTGCTATTAGTCGCCGCTGTTGGGTAGCGACAGCGGACAGCTGTGACAGCAAATCCCATAATGCTTTGCGAGGAGAACTCTGTACAAAGCATTCTGGGATATATCTGCCTCTTCTGAGGCCTTTATTTTCTTCTCATCCACTTCGTAGACACTTTTTCTCTTCCGACCCTCGGCCATTTTCAAAGAACCGCGGTGAGAAAGGTGAGCTTCAATGACTGAAACCGTAGCTCACGACAGATACACTATATTGCCAAAAGTATTTGCTCACCCATCCAAATTATTGGAATCAGGTGTTCCAATCACTTCCATGGCCACAGGTGTATAAATTCAAGCACCTAGGCATGCAGACTGTTTTTACAAACATTTGTGAAAGAATGGGTCGCTCTCAGGAGCTCAGTGAATTCCAGCGTGGAACTGTGATAGGATGCCACCTGTGCAACAAATCCAGTCGTGAAATTTCCTCGCTCCTAAATATTCCACAGTCAACTGTCAGCTGTATTATAAGAAAATGGAAGTGTTTGGGAACGACAGCAACTCAGCCACGAAGTGGTAGGCCACGTAAACTGACGGAGCGGGGTCAGCGGATGCTGACGCGCATAGTGCGAAGAGGTCGCCAACTTTCTGCAGAGTCAATCACTACAGACCTCCAAACTTCATGTGGCCTTCAGATTAGCTCAAGAACAGTGCGCAGAGAGCTTCATGGAATGGGTTTCCATGGTCGAGCAGCTGCATCCAAGCCATACATCACCAAGTGCAATGCAAAGCGTCGGATGCGGTGGTGTAAAGCACGCCGCCACTGGACTCTAGAGCAGTGGAGACGCGTTCTCTGGAGTGACGAATCGCGCTTCTCCATCTGGCAATCTGATGGACGGGTCTGGGTTTGGCGGTTGCCAGGAGAACGGTACTTGTCTGACTGCATTGTGCCAAGTGTAAAGTTTGTTGGAGGGGGGATTATGGTGTGGGGTTGTTTTTCAGGAGCTGGGCTTGGCCCCTTAGTTCCAGTGAAAGGAACTCTGAATGCTTCAGCATCCCAAGACATTTTGGACAATTCCATGCTCCCAACTTTGTGGGAACAGTTTGGAGCTGGCCCCTTCCTCTTCCAACATGACTGTGCACCAGTGCACAAAGCAAGGTCCATAAAGACATGGATGACAGAGTCTGGTGTGGATGAACTTGACTGGCCTGCACAGAGTCCTGACCTCAACCCGATAGAACACCTTTGGGATGAATTAGAGCGGAGACTGAGAGCCAGGCCTTCTCGTCCAACATCAGTGTGCGACCTCACAAATGCGCTTCTGGAAGAATGGTCAAAAATTCCCATAAACACACTCCTAAACCTTGTGGACAGCCTTCCCAGAAGAGTTGAAGCTGTTCTAGCTGCAAAGGGTGGACCGACGTCATATTGAACCCTATGGATTAGGAACGGGATGTCACTTAAGCTCATATGTGAGTCAAGGCAGGTGAGCAAATACTTTTGGCAATATAGTGTATATGCCTGAAAGAAAAAGATCGCTAACAGGGCGAGAACGTAGGACGGCCTTACGTAAACACATCACCAGAATGATTGACAGTTAGGAGGACCACTGATTGAGATGATCCACCCAGAAATAGAACATCCACCTCTATACCTTTAAATACTAAGTTGCTGTTTGAATGTGCAGTTCTTTCCACAGTGCTGTTATCACACATCAATGTTCTTTCACTGGTATGCAGTTCTGTTAAATCCCTGCGTGATGCTGCTCATGTGAGGATGGATGAGGTCTGTGATGGCTGTGGCGTACATAAAGATAGATTTTTGAATAAACGGACATCTATAGGTGTTCTCAGAATCCTCTCCCTATAAATATTTAATTCTTTGCAAATTAATGGCAGTCATTCTTTAATTGGACATGCTATGATTGAGTCTCTAGGGAATTATTTTCTCTTAATTGTTACCGCAAAACTACAACAGAAATATCCCTGAAATTCATCAACAATGTCGATATTCTGCTAAATTTGAAGATGCAGTTTTACAATCAAAATTGCATTAGAATAAGTTATCTCACATAATAATTCAGAAAACAACACGGCAGCTGTGATGTTAACACAGTAGATAGATCCATAGTTCAGACGCGGCTCCAGCGGGCACCATCGTCCACCAACCTTTTCAGGCTCTTCTTAATTTTTTTTACAAATTAGTAATGCCTAACTGTTGATCACCTGACGCGTGTGATGCAAAAAAACATTTCCACTGCAGTTTAGAAAAAATCGACACTTCCGGTGTTTCAGCTTTCAGTGGCTGTGGGAACGATTGTCTAACCGTGCCAAATGACTGGGCAAGCCCTAGGCTCCTCCTGTGTAGGTACCAGATCTGCTCGAGGCCCTGCCCCCTGCTGATGATGTCACAATATCACCTCTCCAAACTGTATTTCATGCATTTCTTAAGAATCAGATCACTTCTGGAGCTTCAACTTTTTATTACCTATTTTTGGTATAATTTAAAGTTTCTTTGGCGACCTGAGGTAGCCGAAAGCAGAAAGCAAAAATTCTCGGTCTAGAAGGCAAGCACTGCGTTCTAAGCCTGAGCTTTGACATTTAACAAGGTGAAACAAAAAGTCTCAATAGTTTTTTCAATTTATTCACATCTGAGAGAAGACATAGACAGGTTTCAGATATTACAGGCTAACAATGGAACCAAACGACCCACTCATCGATTCCAATTTGTTCCAATATTAGAAACTGAAAGATCGATATTGTTTTGGGCACCAGAATATCACGATTTATCGCAAAATCTATTTTTTTCCACACCCCTATTGTCTGGATAACCAGAATGTTTTACATAATCGTGGAAACGTTCAGCCAATCATGTAGCGTAACGTGGCATAAGGCAGGAACAAGCAGATGTGGTAGCTACAGCGGCAAACCCCACTCTGCGCCCCTGCTGACCGTTCATGCTCTCCATGATCTTTTAGTCATCATCAGCAGTTGTATCAGATGTGTTTTGTGTAGAATCATTCTCTGCTGATCACTGTTTTTTTTTTTTGTCTCTTGCCAAGTATGAGGGTAGCATCAGAGAAGTTCCTCAAGCTTCCTTTCTGGGTAAGGAAGTTCCATCTGTCCAGAGTTCAACCAACAACCCTGCGGGTGTCTTTCTTTGCAGAAAAAGCCGAACTCAAGTGAGACAATTTAATTGTTGTTTAACCCCCAGATTCCACATCCTCCATCAGCTCTCCGCTCCGCCCACGCTCACGTACGTCGTGCGGAGTGCTTGTCTTTCCTGTTAATCTTTAAGAACTGTTCAGCATCAGAGCGGGGCAGAGCAGAGGGGCGCGGTGCAAAGCCAGGTGGACCAGAGGGCGGCGGTGATGGAGCAGAGCGGGGTGGATCAGAGCGGGGCAGTGACTGAGCGGGACGCAGCAGACGTGGGCGGTGATGGAGCGTGGCGGAGCTGAGCGGAGCGGTGACGAACGGGGCGGGGTAAAGCGGAGCAGTGACGCTGGGGGGGGGTTTCAGCTGAGTGGGGCGGCGACAGACGGGCGGAGTGGTGACGGAGCAGAGCGGGGCAGAGCGGAGGATGTGGGATTTCAGGGTAACATTTGATCCTGAATTGAGAGTTTCACTGGTTTTTCACTGATGTGATATTTTCACTTCCTGCAGACCTGCAGCTCAGTGGGACTGCTCTGCTACGCTGTACCTGCACAACTTGCTCCAAGGTTGGAAAAGGATATTTATTATATGGAAATATTTATTATATATTTGTATTTGGACTAAAATGCTTAATAAAATGCTCTGATGTTCCCTCTAGCTTCTGTCCAAACAGAAGTGGTGCTGCATGAGTGGAAGTCAGAGTCTACTGCCATTGAGCTCTTTGTGACCATCGGCAACATCAAGGTGAGCTTTGTCTTTAAAACCTTTTTATTAACGTCCTTCTTTTTTCCTTTAATAATAAGGCATATAAGATGGTGCAGCTTCCAGACAGGTAGGACAGGGCTCCTTTAGGTTAAATCAGGGATTTCCAAAGTGTGTTGCTCGTCCACATTAAGGTCAGATGTCCAGTAAAGTGTGTCCACATGCGTCTGCTGCTCCTGTGCTCCGTTCGGCACGGATCGGTTTCCAGAGCGTAGTGTAAATGGGGCTATAAACTTTGCATATAAACCGGTTTCTTCTGCTGCTCAAAGCACATAGGTGTGTAGCAGCGTTAAGGGAAAACAGAAGATTGCTATGATCTCTCCTACTGGATTGGCCATGGAGGTCTCCTGGCGGGTTAATAGCTGTTGGGGGGTTCTAAAAGGTCGTTAACTCCTTCAGTGGTTTCGGTCACATGCCTCATTGAAGTGTGAGTCAGGTGAGGTGAATCTTCAACTCTCACCTGGATGTGACTGAAATCACTATGATGAGGGTTCTCGTTGGCTACTTTCATCTTAAAGGAATAGTACACCCAAAACATGATTAGCCTTCATTTTCTACTCACCCCCATGCTGAACAACACTCTGGAGTACTTTTTTGATATCTCAAATGCATCTGGAGATCTGGGAGGCTTCTTGCTGTCTGCTGACATTCAAATAATGGAGGTCTATGGCGCCCGAGGCAGAAAGGTCCATAAAAGTCCACAAAAAACGTGTCAATATTCCTCCATACTGCTCGTCCAATGTATTCCAAGTGTCCTGAGTGGGTGGCATCCAGAATTTACTCGAAACGAAGTCATTTAGAATGTTTTTAGAGCATAAACAGTAGTGTATAGGATTTCCTGAAAGCGCGCACATGCGCGTTCACGACGCTACGGAAGCCGGCAGACCAAACCAGATGAAAGTGCGCATTCAGCGTCTGCTCTGCCAATAATGCAAGCGTAGAAGAAGAAATGTGCTGTTTACCTGTGCAAAGAAAGAAACAATGAAAGAAAAATGTCTGAGGACTTCAGTGTTGAGGAAGAGCATGAGTTCTTTGCCGAGCTGAATACGCACTTTCATCTGGTTTGGTCTGCCGTGGTTTCCGTAGAGTCGTGAACGCGCTTTTAGGAAATCCTATACACTACTGTTTATGCTCTAAAAACATTCTAAATGACTTCGTTTCGAGTAAATTCTGGATGCTACCCACTCAGGACACTTGGAATACATTGGACGAGCAGTATGGAGGAATATTGACACGTTTTTTGTGGACTTTTATGGACCTTTCTGTCTCGGGCACCATAGACCTCCATTATTTGAATGTCAGCAGACAGCAAGAAGCCTCCCAGATCTCCAGATGCATTTGAGATATCAAAAAAGTACTCCAGACTGTTGTTCAGCATGGGGGTGAGTAGAAAATGAAGGCTAATCATGTTTTGGGTGTACTATTCCTTTGTTTTGTTTCCTTGTTATTAACTTTTATAATTAAAAATTTTTTTCGCTAATTAAAAGTCAGCTTATCACCATAAAATGCAGAGTTCTTGCTGCCCTGGTGCTCGTCTGCAGGGGGATCTGCCAAGCAAGTCAGTTTCTCTCATATTTTGCTTTTGACCCCCACCCATATGAAAAAAGTGTGGAAAAATCCCCCAAAGTGTGTTAAAGCTATGAAGGATGTTCTTTTTCCGGGTGGATCATCAATATAACTGGTCCTCCTAGCTGTCAATCATTCTGGCTATATGTTTACGTGAGGCCGTCCTACGTGCTCATTCCCTCTTTTACTTACCGGTGGTGAGTCTGACATAGTGGAAAAATGTAAATCTTTTGGAAAGTAAACTTTTAAACATGTGTTTAGTAGACATGCACTCTAATCAGTGGGTACAGGTTTGTGGAGAAGGCGGGTCTTTTCAAAAATTCCGTCAAACAAATAACATCTCAGATCAGAAGAACTTCACAGCTTTAATCCATATTTGTGTAAAAACTATTGACCATTTCATGTAAACAGTATATGTATCTGGATCCATATCATTAGTTTGACTTCCTCTTCAGGTTTAACACGTATGGAAACAATGTGATGGAAGCTTTGGGCTGACAAATTTGATTGTGTTTTATTTACAGATCTGTGTGAACGATGACCTGGTGGCCAAAAAGTTTGCTTATTACAGCAGCAGTGGCCTGGACGCCTGCGACAGAGCCCCTCTTCCCTGTTCCTATAGCATCCTGACTCCGACCCTTTCAAAGTGCTCCCACAAGCAGACAGAGCAGAATCTACGTTCTCCGGGTGAACATGGAGGTATGATCCCTCTGCTTTCAGCTCTGAGAATCAATTAATATAGATGAGAAATAGATGCCACAATTCTCACAGGTTTCCCATTTGCTTAAAGATCAAAAAATCCCTTTAATGGGAAGTAGATTTCTGTTGCATTTAAAGAATCAAAGTGTAAGTTCTAATCACCTATAATATTATTATAATTTAAGGGAAACTTTAAGTTGATAAAACATATAACTTTAGTCTTTGTTGTTGATTTTTGCAATTAACAACAATTATTGAGGTTTTCCAGAGGACTTCACCATTGAAATTCCAGACTAGTGCTGCACTGCGCCACATAAAGCATAAAGATGTGATACACCAAGGTTTACACCTAGGGCAGGGCGATAATTCAATAACAATATATATCGATCGATAGACGTGTGGCGCAATAGAAAAAAAGAGAGTCGATAAAAGTTCGATAAAGAAACACAGTTTTCCTTCCTTCTCATTGTAGCCTAGCATGTAGGTTTATGCTAGTCACTACTTCCTCCCAACCAATCGCAATCGCGGACCCAGGCACGCCGTCACAAAGCGCCGCCCTCTCAAACCACAACACAGAGCACATGAAGATGTCGCAGCAAGGAGAGGCGGAGGAAATGTTTCAAAGAAAGGTTTTTGTAGTTCGGCAGTCTGGCAGTATTTCGGTCATGGCAAGTCGGACAAAAAACAAACCACAGTCATCTGGAAAATGTGTCGGGAACCAGTGAAAACCAAGTCTGATAACACAGCCAACTTTTTTTTTATCATCTCAGCCGCTCACACCTGCAGGAGTACGAGCTGTGTAATCCCCGACGCGGCTCTCCTCCGAGGAATCTTCGGAAACTTCGGGAAAAAAAATAAATAAAAAAAATTCAGTTCTGGGCAGTTTCCCACGTAGTTCTAACAATTGAGAGAAAAATGCTGAGGGCCAGCAACTTCAAAGTAATAACTCAGGTTAAAGCAGGAAACTAAGCTGAACCATAACGAGGTGCCAGCAGCACCTCTAGAAGAATAGGGGGGAGAAGAAATACCCCATAGAAATGCTAGAATAAAGGGTGAGTTGATTTGGGTTTTTGTTCTTGTTGAGTGGAGTTTACATGGTAGCCTAGAGTCCTACAATCTTTTAATTACCACAAGCTGGTGGTGTACTATTCCCACCCAAATAGGGTATTCTATTTATTTATTTGTTATATTTATTTTGGTCACTTTTCTGGTCACTTTATTTTATTCTTTGTCAGTATTTAATAACATAACTCAGGTCTCTTAAGTTATTTTTCTTTAAAACAATTGTTATGGTTAAAAAAGTTGGTTAAATAAATATTTAATTGGAAGTCTGTGTTTGTGTTCTTTATTAAAATTAAATCATTTAGCAATATCATAAAAAGTCCAGGCAGAGCTGCACATAAAATATGGTTTCAAATCTTTTCAATAATTATTGATATCGATCAATATGCATTTTTTTTTTTATCGATAAGCTTTTTTTCTATATAGCCCAGCCCTATTTACACCCTATGAAATATTCTTAGCTACATTTTTATTCCAGCATTTTATTGTCAGTAGAGAGCAACGAAATGAGCTCTGTGCATTTAACCCATCCCCTTGGGGAGCAGTGGGCTGCCATTGTGCAGCACCCGGGGAGTAGTGTGGGGTTAAGGGTCTTTGCTCAGGGACCCAGAGTGGCAATTAGTGGGAGTTGGGCTTGACCCCAGAACCCCTGAATACCAAGTGTAATGCCCCAACCACTGGGCCACCACTCACCTGGTTAGGATCATTTACTAGAGTTAAGGAAGGAACAAGAAAATAAAAATATGGATGTGTGAGGCCCAACATTCCTGTGCTATCCGAGGCAGAGGAACATGGGCAGAGGGACGTGCCATCCCTGACAATTAGTTTCACTTTTAGTTGAACAGCATCAAGACCGACAGATCTGCATCGTCAGATAAACATAGCGTTTATCTTACTAAGAACATTTTCAGCTCGTTTATTTAGCTAAAACAGGCAATGTGTCCAGCTTCCAACAATCTTAGCATTTATTTCCCCTTCGAATAGGCTCTTGATAAAATCTGTCAGAATCAGAATCAAAAATACTTTAATAATCCCAGAGGGAAATTACTTTTGTTACATGCTCCAGATACAGTTTTATTTATATATATATATATTTATTAGGGATGCACAATATAATCGCCCCCCTATCGGTATCGGCCTGCATCGTCCTTAAAACTGAATATCGGACATCGGCCACCCCACCGATATTTAACCCGATATTTGATCAGCTTCTGAGTTTCTAAAGTCTAAAAAATAAAATACTACTACTTCTTCTTCCTCAAAAACTTCTTTTTTACAGGCTTAAAAACTTCTAAAGACGAGGAAAAAATATTGATACATTAAAATATCACAATATCTTCATATGCTGATATATTGTCATTTAAAAACACCATATCAATCTCTTTTACTAATGAAATATTGCTATATGTCATCGTTATGCTACGAAATCCCCCGAAAATTCACGAAATTTTGCCATATTTTAATATGTTGATATATTGACGCGGTATCGATCTATTTTACTAACAAAATCTCACAAGAATTTGCAAAATATCATGAGAGTTTGTAACAGAACAATGAAATTTCACGAGATTTTGAAAGTAAAATAGATCGATACCGCATTTTTAAAAATCAATTTGATATCAGCATATGAAAATATATTTGAGTATATAATTTTTCAAAGTGTCAGAAATGGATAACAAAACTGCTATTTTCAATGACTACTTATTTTTGTCCAACTTTAACATCGGTATCGATATCGGTTATCGACTACATGGGTTTTAAAATATTGGCATATCAGATATCGGCCAAAATCCCGATATCGTGCATCCCTAATATTTATATATAAAATGTCCACATTTTACTGGCTGTGTTTCTAAAAAGTTGTTCTGCATTCTAGTGAAATCCTGTGAAATTTTCCTCAGGGTCTTCAAAAAGTCCTGATGCTTCAGAAGCAGAGGACGGGCTGACTGCTTCCACTCTGCCTCAGGTCTGCAGCTGTGTACACTCTTTTACTTTCTGCTCTCAACTCGCAATGTGTTAAATTGTTGGGTTTATTTTCCATACATTTTTTCCTTCAAATGAAAATTTTGACCCCAATCATAACAAATGAGGGCTTAAGGCCATTCTAGTGCTCCTTACTGCTTAACGTTGCTGCAACTGATCCAGATCTCTGACCCTTAGAGCGGATTCCCTGATATGATTCCATGCGAGGAAGAGCATTTCAATCATGGCCGAAAAGCTTCAAACACTGACAGGTGAGATCATTTATAGTTTAAGGCTAGATGAAATGCCGGCATTTATTCTTTGCATTAAATTGTTTTGAAAGAACTGAGTTAATGAGCAAGGAGAAATGAGGGACCCAGCCATGTTTGACTCCAAGATGCACGTTCCTTTCGGATGTCTCCTAATTATACAGGGGTTGACGTTAAGGATTTTTACCACTTGCCCTTTGGCCAAGTGACTTTCATTTCATTTGCCCAGAAACAGTTTTTACTTGCCCAGTATAATGTTTGATAAATATAGTTCCTAATATTCATTTTTGTATATATATCAATGAAACATGTTTGTTTTTTAAATGTTTTTTCTAATTCAGTATTTTTTAAGTTTCCAGGTTCCTGGTGTGTATCTGCAAGTGTCAGATAATGAACTCAAGCCTACATTACCGTGTTAACATGCTTTTCAAACCTTCCTGCACATTCTTTTCAAACTAAACTTTGCTTTAAACTGTTGTGTGCTTGGAAAAATATAAATTGTAATGTTAAAAATCTAAAAAAAAAACTTGACAGGTTAAAAACTTAAGATAAATCACAAGACAGAAGTCAATGTAACAAATGAATAACTATAACTTTAGAGTCACGGTATGTTTATACAAGATAATACTATTAATATAATGTGACTTTTCTAGAGAAACATTATCCATAGTTATTTTAAACAGGGTTTCCACAGTCTTACATTATTTCAGAATTCCCTGACTTTAAACTGACTCAGGATTAGTTTTCCCTGACAAAATAAATGCAGCAACAAGACAATAATAACATAACAGTTCACCAATTTAACATGTCTAGCTCTATAAAATGCACCTCTCCAATGTCTGATGCTGCTCGAGATGGAAAAATTGAACTTTTGCTGTCGACGCGCCGCGTCAACCAATCAGTGAAGCTGATCTTGGAGCTGGCAGGGAGAGAGTGACACAGAGCGCTGTGATCGCTCCTCTGAAACCGTTTATTGACGCATAAATTAACTTAAAATCTTAAGGTCGGATTATTTAGATGAAAAACACCTACCAGCTGCGAGGAGGTGACCTGGCCAGAGGCTGCTGTTGAAGGGATTCCTACTGTCGGCGCACAGCTGGTATATGGGGGTCTGAGCGACTCCAACAGAAATTGGAAGGCAGGATGATAATCTGAATGAACTGACTGCAATTATGAAGTTTTCAGGTGTATTTTCTCACTTAAAAACATAGTAAAACTACTTTATTCCCACTGATCACAGCAAATATAGCTGCAAGGCAGAGAAAGGATAGTGAAGCTCCGCCCAACGCGCGTCAGAACGAATTTTGCACCGCGCAGCCAGAGCAGCAAAGCTGCTTCAGCCGCGCGTCAGAACTAACTGGTACAAGCAGCAAAAATTAAGCAGCAGACGCGATTTTGCTGCTTTTGCTGCGTCCGGTGTGAACGTAGCATGAGAGAAAAAAATTGAATCAACATTTTTTAATGTATGACCTGCATCACTGTACAGAAGACTGACATATGATAGCGCTTTCTAGCTTTTTGTCGTACATCAAAATTACCGCTAGGTGGACGAAAATCACGCCATCTGGCGCACAATCACCCGGCTTTTTCAAATCATGCGAGAATGTATACAAAACAACAAAGTTGGCGCCGGGAACGCTTATGGGTTGTTTTCAGTGAATGTCAGTAATTTTAAGTGCAATGAAATTTGTACTCTCCCGACAATAAAAACTACTCGCCCCGGGCAATGGTTAACATCGCGCCCTGTTATTGGTCGGTATCCTAAGAGACATCATTTGCTTTGTTGTAGATTTGGACAAGCAGTGGCTCGTAGTGTTCAGGAGTTGTTCTTTTATTTCAGGATTTGAACATAATTCTATCAAATCAAGAATAAAATGTCAAAATCATTGCAATACTGCTCCATCTACATAAGCTGACCTTCATGTTTCAGCGACTCGTCAGAGGAAACAGACTTCCCTGCGGCTTCAGGGCAAACGCATATATCAATAGCAAAACATAACTGATTCTCCTCTGAGCAGCACACCTTTCCATTTGCAGGTTTCTGAAGTTTCTGAGTCCTGACAGAGGCCATCAATCCACACTCTCCAAAGTAAGTTCCTCTATAGCAGGGGTGTCAAACTGGTTCCAGAAAGGGCCGTGTGGCTGTAGGTTTTTCTTTCCAACCAAGCAATAGCACACCAGACTCCTATCATCTCATCAAGTGAGTCCAATCTGAACATGATGACGTTATGAAATGACTGGAGTCTGATGTGCTATTGCTTGGTTGGAAAGAAAACCTGCAGCCACTCTGCCCTTTCTGGAACCAGTTTGACACCCCTGCTCTATAGTAAGGGTTCAGTGGAACCAGTTAGTTTGGTTTGGTTGGGGTTGAATTTAATTAAAGGTTTTTTTTTTTCTAAGGAACTATACTAGCATAAAATTCAATGCCTTTTGCCATTTCGAATCCTAAATTTGAGAACTTGGATGTTTTTTTTTCAAATTCCTTCAGATGTAGCAGGTATAGGCATACCAGTACCTGACGATTTCTTATTGGTGAACATTTTTTCCTTCAGTATCATGATTCATTGAAATAAGCTGTAATGCAGAGGCATAGCCTGACATCTTGTTATGAGTTTTTATTCACACTATTATTTCTGTTTTGATTTTCTATCTTTTTTGCTTGGTTTTACTGATTGCAAAAAAGTAAAAAACAATCCACTGGACCTTGTTTCCAAGTTTGAAGATGTTTTGCTTTCAGGAAGCTTTTTCCACTCAAATATCAGAAAGAGTTTGAGGCTTTATAGACACTGCATGAAAAGTGAGATTTTCGTCCCCGTAAACCCCCGTAAACTCCCGCAGATCTGCCTGATTTTCGTCAGTTTCCGACAATTTGCAACCCGTGCTTGTCCGCGTTTGTCGTGCCACAAATTGTCGGAAACGGACAGTGACGTAGGTGGAGAGCGATCAGCTGTACTAATGGCCCTAATTAGCATATGAATACAGCAAACCCGCGCGGCTGGCCAGGTCTGGCTTGAATAACCTTCTCAGTATTGGCTGAAACCACTATTCTCAAACAAATGAAATCGCTCGTGATTGGCAGCAAAACCACACGTGGCCACGCCAGGCTGTAATTTTCTTACTGAGTATTGGACGGAACCACTTCTTTTTAAACAAGTGAAGTCGCTCGTGATTGGTTGGCATATATATATATATTTACATATATATATTTATTCATATATATATATATATATATATATATTTATTCATTCATATATATATATATATTCATATATTTATTCATTCATATATTTATTCATTCATATGCTGTGTATTTATGTTATCCTACACTACTACACAATTATTATGCTACCATCAAGGACATGAATAAATTTATACAGGAAATGAAGATTTGCCAGGAAGCTGTTTATGCAAAGAAAGAGCTTTATTAAAACACACACAACTATATACAACGCGTATCCAAACACATGCGTATCTAAAAATTACAACTCCGTGAATGGTCCGTTTGCTTCCTCGGGGTTGGAGGTAACAGGCAGCATTCCCTCCGAGGCAGGTCCGATGTGCAGACGCCTACTGTGCGTGGCTCTGTACTTCGGCATCGCTTCTAACCGGGACTGCAGCTTAACACAGAGTTCAGTGAGATCCGGCCTACGAAATGGCGGCGACCGTACAATCCATCCAGAGACACCGCCGACGACGCCATCTTCTTCGTCGGACATGAGGTCGACGGTGGCGGACTTACAGAGTTCCACTTTCTCATCTGCCAGCACACTCTGCCTCGCCTTCAGCAGCTGAAAAAAAAAAACATGAATCAGCGCACTGCATATGGACACAACACATCTATCAATGCACCCGAAAAATAGTCACCAAATAAAGTCTTACCCTCTTTCGTCTTGCCCGACTCCGAGCAGATAGCCTGGCAGCCTCCGCACGCAGCGTGCTGGCTAGCAGCGTGTATCTGAAGCTCCTGCATACCGTCTCATAATACGTCTTACAGGCAGCTGGAAAACAATTAAATGAGAGTGGTATGAATAAAAAAATAAAAAAAATCAAACGCAAGTCACAGTAACAAGGAAGGAGAAAACATTAAAACAAGTCACTTACACACAATGTCGTCTTTATCAACATCGTGCAAATCCGAGCAAATAGGAGGTCACTGCCTCATTGTGAGGCGACTGTAGTCTGTGAAAAAAAAAAGTACAGCTATGGTCGGTATCCATCCGTATCCATGTCCTTTTACCGCAGAATGAAAGCATATTCTTTAAACCTTACCCCTGCCGGTTCATAGCGCCTGCAATTAGTCTCCGAGTTGTTAAGACGGCATAATGCTTCCTGTGAATCACAAAAAATACACTTTAGTAAAGCTTTAGGCTAGGCTGCTTTTAGCTTACCTAGCTAGGCTAGGCTGTCTTTAGCTTGCCTAGCTAAGCTAGGCTGCTTTTAGCATAGCTACGAACATATATTTACCGCTAGCGTGGCGTTGTGCACCCGTCTTCTCTTCCTCGAGTTCGTATATAGCCTACCGCAAAGTTGCTCGACTGCAGATAGGGTGGCCAGATGTCCGGCTTTAGGGCGGACAGTCCGGATTTTCATTGCACTGTCCGGCGTCCGGCGCTGCACCCAGCCGGACGTGTATTTGTCCTCCTTTACCCCCAGATTCCACATACTCCGTCAGCGCTCCGCCCCGCTCACGTACGGAGTACTTGTCTGTCTTCTTCTTCTTCTTGTCGAGTTTTATGGCGGTTGGCAACAAACTGTTAGTAGCATTACCGCCACTTACTGGTATGGAGTGTGGTTCGTGATGGTTTAAATATTGATCCTGATACATTCTACCCTAACTTCTTCTAAACATACATTCACACATTCACACTTAAAAATATAAACATATTTGTGCACAGCTTTGTATATCATTCCTTCACTCACAAACACACTTACTATAATGAAATTCTATGGAATAATTTCGTTTTCTTTAGAAATCGAATAATTATTTGTATGTGTTTACTCCCTAAATTTTTCCTCAGTATATCTAATAAATTAACCTTCTCCTTAATGTCTTCAAACTCTCTTCTCATATATCTTCTCTCTTTTTCATATTTATGACATTCTAATATAACATGTTCTATGGTTTCATATTTATCACAGAAATCACATTTGCCCGTTTTATGTTTTTGTATTTTAAAAAGTGTATGATTAAGTCCTGTATGACCAAATCTTAACCTTGTTATCACTCTTTCATCCTTTCTATTTCTTCTTCCATTTCTTCTTTCTCCTACCATCTTCTGAATTTTATAAAACCATCTTCCTGTTTTATCTTCATCCCACCTTTTTTGCCAAATTTCCATAAGTTTCTCTTTAATAATACTCTTTCCTTCTGATTTACTTATTTTAACTATAAAACTAATAGAATGTTTAATTGCCCTTTTTGCCATTTTATCTGCCCTCTCGTTTCCTTCCGCCCCAATATGTGCTGGAACCCACACAAATGTAACTATCAGCCCCATGTTTCGTATTCTGAACAGTGTATGATTTATTTCTAATAAAATGTCCATCCTACTATCTGTATTACTTGTCTGTCATGTAAATCAATGAGAGCTGTTCCACATCCTCCGCTCGTCACCGCCCACGTACGTCTTCTCCGTCCTTCACCGTCAAAATACGGAGCTGAGCTATTTTTTGCTCCCCTCCGGTCCGTCCAGATCAAGACCCGCTATTGCAATCGCACCAAACAGAAAAAAGAATGTAGAGAAGACCCGGTTTGTCAAATTAAATTATAGTAAAAACAGATCGGTATCTAGAAATTAGAGCATAGTTTGTATATATTCCCAAAAACTAAAACAATAAATTTAGATTTTATTTCCTGGCAAAACATTCAATTCGGTTTATCCATTAAAGAAAAAAAAATTTGGAATTTTTAATCAATATTCTAATAATTGTAACAAAGTATTATATCCATAAATGTCGCTATGCAAAATGCTCCCTCTCAATCTCTGCTCTCAAAAATGAACTTTCCCTTTTCAAAAGATGTCTGAGAAAGATGCAGAATTTAAATGCAATTAAATTGTTTGAGTTAATTGAAGAATTTCAGTAAGTAGTCCCCACTGATTAATTTACTTTAACTACTATTATTATTTTATTTATTTTTATTTATTTTATTTTATTTTATACTTTGTTCCAGCCTGTGCATTTAATTTTATTTTTCAAAAGCAGGAGTTGTGATATTTCTTCTTGTATTGAAATATTTGTTATTGACTTGTTATTTGAGATTGTTATTGTTTTCTTATATATTCTATAACAAAAAAAAAAAAAAAAGTGGAAATCTAAAAAAAGAATTAACCATTACAGCCAACTGATTCTGATTAAAATCTAATTTTTGAAGTAAATTATTTTGTGTATTTTTTTTACATAACATTTGCATACACAGTAATCTAGCGTACTTTAATTAAATAAATCAATTCAAGCTAAAATGTAAGAGTCTATAATTAGGCTATACTGAGCCTGATCTATTTCTACCATCTATTTGGGGGATATTTATTGCCACACTTTGGGCCACTTAAAACCAATTTAGCATGCTGACCTATGTCCTTATGACCACAGTGTACCAATCTTCTGATGGCTACTTCCAACAGGATAATGCGCCATGTTATAAAGTGAATCATCTCAGAATCATTTCTTGAAACTTTTCCACTTAAGTAATTGTGAATTGAGCATATTGACAGACAACATTTTATTTTTTATCTTAAATGCAAATAAAAAAAAAAAATAATTACTGCTCTAAATGTATTGCTCTGTCAGCTAAAGATCTGTTTTGGTCTCTATACTTTAATTAAATAAATCAATTCAAGCTAAAATGTAAGAGGCTATACCTGATCTCTTTGTATCAGAGATTTTCTTACCCAGGGTTGCAGGGGGAGGGGGTAAAACCCCCCCTGCAACCCTGGTTTGCATTTGTATAGCTCACAGCATGTTCATTTACATGTTAAAGCCTCCCCTAGAATTCCATGGGGGGGAGGCATGGGGGGAACACTGCCTAAGAAATTCCACGTCAATTTCTGACAATTTACGGGAGTTTTCGTCGAAGCCTGCAAATTGCCGTATACTGCCGCTAACCTGAAGTTCCACGACAATCTACAGTGCCGTATATTGACGAAAATCCCACTTTTCATGCAGTGAGAGTGGACCAAAAACAAAGCCTCGTTTTGGCTTAGAAAACATGCAAATTGAACCAGATCAAAGGGTCCGCCCCTTAGGAATGGAGAGTTGTTTGATTCTTTGTCTTTGTCTCTGAAAGCAGGGTTGTTAGAGGGAATTGTTGGCCTGGCCGAACAGTGAGGTATCCATAGGTTACCCAAATAGGCAAGGAAATCCAAAAGACACTTAGCAGAACATAACGGTGAGGAGATTAAATGCAATGAAATCATCATCCCATATGTTTCTGCCATGGGCGGTTCTAGACGGGCCAACGGGGGCCAGTGCCCCTGTAGATCATGTCCTGGCCCCTGTACTGCAGACATAATATTCAAAGAAATTCTAATGATGGAATTGTGCTGGAACAGACATGGTTGCTGATAGTTTTTTTTTTCCTTTACAAATTGTGTTTCATTATTTATTTAAAAACAATAAGGTAATAGCTTCAGTGGTATTGAGATAGAATCCCAGTTTTTATCTGCTAAATAAAAAAAAAAAAACTTATTTTTACAGCTGAATTTTTGAGTTCTAATTCAGATTTGATAGAAAATGGTAATTTTTACTTCAATTAAGTCAAAAATATGTAAATTCCTAAATTATGAATGTATATTGACCTAATAGGACATAGAATTTTATTTAAACCCAATTGAATAGAAGATTTACTTTATGCAGCTTTATTAAAGGAATAGTACACCCATAACATGATTAGCCTTCATTTTCTACTCACCTCCATGCTGAACAACAGTCTGGAGTACTTTTTTGATATCTCAAATGCATCTGGAGATCTGGGAGGCTTCTTGCTGTCTGCTGACATTCAAATAATGGAGGTCTATGGTGCCCGAGGCAGAAAGATCCATAAAAGTCCACAAAAAACGTGTCAATATTCCTCCATACTGCTCGTCCAATGTATTCCAAGTGTCCTGAGTGGGTAGCATCCATAATTTACTCGAAACGAAGTCATTTAGAAGGTTTTTAGAGCATAAACAGTAGTGTATAGGATTTCCTGAAAGCGCGTTCACGAGTCTATGGAAACCGTGGCAGACCAAACCAGCGCATTCAGCTCGGCAAAGAACTCATGCTCTTTCTCAACACTGAAGTCCTCAGACATTTTTCTTTCGTTGTTTCTTTCTTTGCACAGATAAACAGCACATTTCTTCTTCTACGCTTTAGGAAATCCTATACACTACTGTTTATGCTCTAAAAACATTCTAAATGACTTCGTTTCGAGTAAATTATGGACGCTACCCACTCAGGACACTTGGAATACATTGGACGAGCAGTATGGAGGAATATTGACACGTTTTTTGTGGACTTTTATGGACCTTTCTGCCTCGGGCGCCATAGACCTCCATTATTTGAATGTCAGCAGACAGCAAGAAGCCTCCCAGATCTCCAGATGCATTTGAGATATCAAAAAAGTACTCCAGAGTGTTGTTCAGCATGGGGGTGAGTAGAAAATGAAGGCTAATCATGTTTTGGGTGTACTATTCCTTTAATATATTTGAATCCCTCGCCCTGTTTTTTATTTCATGCTTTTCTTGGCCCCAAGGGAAACAATGCTGGCCCCCTGGTACATTTGGTCTAGAACCGCCACTGGTTGCTGCAGTCTCTGGAAAAACTCAAGAGGATTTTTTCCTAACACAAAATCCCAGAACATTTCAAACCAAACTGACCCTTAAATAGAGACTAGAGCATCCTAAAGACCTAATCTGAGCGGAGTGGTGTCTGCAGGCCAATGCAGTAAGGAATGCTCTGATCTTTATTTTGGAGAAAACAAACAACCTCTCCACAGACGCATGGCCCAACACGGAAGAGCGTCCTCCTCTGGACAAGACTCCGTGGTACATCTACACCTTGTGGACAAAGGACATTCTTTGGAGGACCAGAATGTTCACATTTTGGACAAAGAAGACAGGTGGTTTGAGAGGGGTGGGAAGGAAGCCATCTATGTTAAGAAAGAAAAAACAACCTTAAACAGAGGGGGGGGGGGGGGGGGGGGGGGTTGGACTCAGATTTCAGCTTTCAAAAACCTACAATTCAGCGATAAAGTTGATTCCTTCCCGCTATCATCACAACCCCCCAACCGCTTTACAGGAGAACAGAAGACCTCGCCTATTCAGCCAGGCCAACAATTCCCTTTATTGACCCCCCCCCCCTCCAGAGACATAGACAGGTATGGGGCATTGCAGACTAACAAAGAAGCCAAACGACCCCCATTCCAAAGGGGTGGACCCGTTCATCCGTTTCTGTTTGCATGTTTTCTAAACCAAAACAAGGCTTTGTTGGGCTGCCGAATAAAACCTGGAACGCAACGCTATTTCTGATATTTTGAATTAAAAAGTTTCCTGGATGGAAGAGAAACAGCTTCAAACTTGGAAGCAAAGTCCAGTGGATTGTTTTTACTTTTTTTGGAATGACTCTGACCTGGATGACTGAGAATCTTCACCAGCATACTTGGTTTTACGTATCTTTTCTATTTGATCCATTTTTGGTTTTGCAGTTTTATAAATTGGCCTATGAAAGTTGTTTTTCTAAAGTTGTCCCTGAATCATACTCACTCAGATGAGTTTTGTATGTTTTTTTTCCATCCCTTGCAGACTAATTATGAGCTTAACAACTTTAAACCTGAACAGACAGAAATTTCTGAAGCCTCCATGGAGCTGAATGCCACCAGCAGGGTCTCAGACACCAAGTACGCGTTTTCATTGTCTTACTGTTAGATCTGCTTCTAGCAATGGTATTGTTTTCTCCACCCTTATTTGTTTGGTTTTTATGATTGTTTATTCATTTAGCAGAACATTTTATCCAAAGCCACTTAAAAAGTAGATAAAACTTTACAGTTATCATCAATATGACAGGAAGTTCTCTAGAGGAAAATCCCTAGTCAGAATCAGTGTTGACAGCATAGAGAGAGAGAGGCAAGTGCAGAAGAGTAGAAGAGGAGTTTTTCATTTCATTTAAGATTGTAATCCCTTATTCAAAATTATTACTCCCCCACAAGAAATTCTATTTTGTATTCATTGACTTTTTGAAATAAATTTTCTCATGTGTCAATCCACACTATGAAATATCAACACTGTTTCCCTTCAAAATATAAATCATACTAAAGTCTCACCTTCAGCCACTTAAAAAAATTATCCAGTTTAGCTTGTTTTATTTCTGTAAACCTAAATATTGTTAATCAGATATTGTAAAATGGAACAGAAGAAAATAAGGTCTGAGCTCCACAGGAAAAGCACATCTTTCATTTTATGGAAAACCAATTAATCAGGTATTATAAATATTGATATTTAAAATCAGTCTGTTATCAGCAAAAAAAAAAAAGAAGTAATATTGGAATTAGAGCTGCTAATTGATTAATCTGTTAATCTTTTTTTTTATTCATAATCGGATAGCAAAATGTTCCCTTTAATGAAGATTTTTTTACAGAATCTAACCTGGTGAAATTAAATATTTCCACTAATGGAGTTCTCAGTAGAGCATATTTAAATAACCTTGCTTCTGACCCTTTTCAAGATGAAAGGGTCAGTTGTTTTTGTCTCTATTCTTCTCTGTTTTAGTAAATCAGTTCACCTAGCCTTTAACATTACACTAAGCCACAACACGACCAGAAATGCCACAGCATGACCAGAAATGCCACAGCACGACCAGAAATGCCACAGCACGACCAGAAATGCCACAGCACGACCAGAAAAGCCACAGCACGACCAGAAAAGCCACAGCACGACCAGAAAAGCCACAGCCAGACCAGAAATGCCACAGCCAGACCAGAAATGCCACAGCACGACCAGAAAAGCCACAGCACGACCAGAAAAGCCACAGCCAGACCAGAAATGCCACAGCACGACCAGAAATGCCACAGCGCGACCAGAAATGCCACAGCACGACCAGAAATGCCACAGCACGACCAGAAAAGCCACAGCACGACCAGAAATGCCACAGCCAGACCAGAAATGCCACAGCACGACCAGAAATGCCACAGCACGACCAGAAATGCCACAGCACGACCAGAAATGCCACAGCGCGACCAGAAATGCCACAGCACGACCAGAAAAGCCACAGCACGACCAGAAATGCCACAGCCAGACCAGAAATGCCACAGCACGACCAGAAATGCCACAGCACGACCAGAAATGCCACAGCACGACCAGAAATGCCACAGCACGACCAGAAATGCCACAGCACGACCAGAAAAGCCACAGCCAGACCAGAAATGCCACAGCACGACCAGAAATGCCACAGCACGACCAGAAAAGCCACAGCCAGACCAGAAATGCCACAGCACGACCAGAAATGCCACAGCACGACCAGAAATGCCACAGCCAGACCAGAAATGCCACAGCACGACCAGAAATGCCACAGCACGACCAGAAAAGCCACAGCACGACCAGAAATGCCACAGCACGACCAGAAATGCCACAGCACGACCAGAAATGCCACAGCACGACCAGAAAAGCCACAGCACGACCAGAAATGCCACAGCACGACCAGAAATGCCACAGCACGACCAGAAAAGCCACAGCCAGACCAGAAATGCCACAGCCAGACCAGAAATGCCACAGCACGACCAGAAAAGCCACAGCACGACCAGAAAAGCCACAGCACGACCAGAAATGCCACAGCACGACCAGAAAAGCCACAGCACGACCAGAAATGCCACAGCACGACCAGAAAAGCCACAGCACGACCAGAAAAGCCACAGCCAGACCAGAAATGCCACAGCACGACCAGAAATGCCACAGCACGACCAGAAATGCCACAGCACGACCAGAAATGCCACAGCACGACCAGAAATGCCACAGCACGACCAGAAAAGCCACAGCACGACCAGAAATGCCACAGCACGACCAGAAATGCCACAGCACGACCAGAAAAGCCACAGCACGACCAGAAATGCCACAGCACGACCAGAAAAGCCACAGCACGACCAGAAATGCCACAGCCCGACCAGAAATGCCACAGCACGACCAGAAAAGCCACAGCACGACCAGAAATGCCACAGCACGACCATGAAGGCCACAATAAGACAACGAGCCACAGCACAACATGTGATGATTTGTCAGGTGAAATGGTAGCGCTTGAAAAGATAACTTTCTGAACGTGAAAGGACATCTATATGCGGTCTGACAACCCCTTTTTCTGATAAATATTTAATCTTCTAAGAAATGCCACTTATTCCTTAATTGCATCCTCCTCAAAAGGACATGCATTGTTTTATCTACTGACTGATTTTGTTTTTATCGTTTGCACAAAACCACTCAACAGAATCAAGAAACCAAACAGCATGATTGGCTTTTTAAGGAGGGCTCGGATGGAGGACACTCAGTTTATTGTAGAAAACCTGCATCCGACCAGGTTAGCTCTTGGGAGAATGTTACTATGGCAACATACACAGAGGTTGGGTAAACCCGCTTCGTGAAACTGAAAACCCAAAGTTTCCCTGATTTCAGGTTTAAAATTTTTCAATAAATCTGCTTTGTGAAACAGACCTCAGGTCTAACTGGCTGTTGGACATCAGTTTTATTTTAACATCCGTTGTGGCTTTTGAGCTCTTGAGTTTTTGGCTTTAGCTGACCCCTGTGGGCCACAATAATATTTGTCTTGGTCAATACTGAAAAGCTGTGATACGAGTATTGTATCGGGAATGGAAGAGTTGTGTAAGACACCACTAAAAATAAATAGGTTGATGATTTAATTACACTGAATTTTTTGATACACAGTTTCCACATCTGGCAAATATCAGCCGTAATTGACATTTATGCACTATTTTTGCACACCACGCATCACTTTACTTGGATTTATCACTTTACTTGGATTTTCACTTTATTTGGATTTAGTTTTTACATATGCATAGATATACGTACAGATATATATACAGAAGAGCTATATGTGTATATATTCTTTCTCTTTTTATTATTATTTTTTTATCTTTATTATATTGTATAGTTGGATGTGTGTATATATTATATAAAACTGTAACTGGAGCATGTAACAAAAGTAATTTCCCTCTGGGATTATTAAAGTATTTCTGATTCTGATAAAAACTGTAGACATCTGGTAATGTGATAACAGATGTAAGGTTTACTTATCTGATCTTTTAGTGTTTTGAATACTTCAGAGGAGCGCAGAACAGAAGCAGAGATATGCAAGATTGAAGACGACATGATCTGTTCACGGTGAGACACGGGCTGCTTCCTCCGTTATTAAAGCAGCAGAACAATGCATATTGATAGGATCATTTAGATCAAAAAACGCTGTTTTTGGAGAGAAGGATCACCTAATTAAAAGGAGTGAGGAACCGTTGGTGGAGCAGTCTGATTGATTCCAAGAAAGTTAAAAGAGAAAAACAAACCACTGGACTTTGTTTCCAAGTTTGAGGACGTTTCGCTTCCAGAAACCTTTTTTTTTTTTTTTTTATTCAAAATGTCAACTATGACCACAGCATCAAATTCACCAGAGAGGATACCAACGACAACAAGCTACCTTTCCTGGACTGTTTGGTGAGCATGGAAGGAGATGGAAACCTCAACATGGAATTGCATAGGAAATCCACTCACACAGACCAATATCTTCTTTTTTGACTCACACCACCCACTTGAACACTAACTTTCAGTCGTCAGAACCTTCCAGCACCGGGCAGAGCATGTCCCTACTAAAACAGAAGGGAAACACAAAGAACAAACACATCAGAGGTTCTCTTAAAAAATTTGGATATCTAGATTGAGTTGATTCCTTCCTGCTATCATCTCAACCCCCGCCACATTACAGGGGACCAGAACACCTCACCTCTTCAGCCAGGCCCACAATTCCCTCTAACAACCCCCCTTTCAGAGACATAGACAGGTATGGAGCATTGCAGGCTAACAAAAGAAGCCAAACGACCCCCATCCCAAAGGGATGGACCCGTTCATCCATTTTTCTTCTCTCTAAAAAAAAAAAAAGGCTTTGCTTTGGTATATTCTACATTGTGTGCAGAATTATTAGGCAAATGAGTATTTCGACCACATCATCCTTTTCATACATGTTGTCCTACTCCAAGCTGTATAGGCTTGAAAGTCAACTACCAATTAAGTAAATCAGGTGGTGTGCATCTCTGTAAAGAGAAGGGACGTGGCCTAATGACATCAACACCCTATATAAGGTGTGCTTAATTATGAGGCAACTCTTTCCTTTGGCAAAATGGGTCAGAAAAGAGATTTGACAGACTCTGAAAAGTCAAAAATTGTCAGATGTCTTTCTGAGAGGTGCAGCAGTTTGGAAATTGCCATTATTTTGAAGCGGGATCATCGCACATTCAAACGGTTCATGGCAAATAGCCAACAGGGGCGCAAGAAGCGAGATGAAAAGAGCTGCAACATGTCTGGAGTGCCGAGAAGCACAAGGTGCTCAATACTCAGGGACCTGGCCAAGGTAAGGAAAGCCCGAAAAGGCCACCTTTGAACAAGACACACAAGACAAAACGTCAAGATTGGGCCAAGAAATATCTGAAGACTGGTTTCTCCAAGGTGTTTTGGTCTGATGAAATGAGAGTGATTCTTGATGGTGCCAGATGGATGGATGGGCACCAGGCTGGATCAGTAAAGGGCAGCAAGTTCCTTATAGACTCAGACTCCAGCAAGGTGGAGGTGGGGTAATGCTATGGGCTGCTATTATCAAAGATGAGCTTGTGGGACCTTTTCGGATTGATGATGGAGTCAAGATCAACTCCCAGACCTACTGCCAGTTTCTGGAAGACACCTTCTTCAAACAGTGGTACAAGAAGAAGTCACCATCATTCAAGAAAAACCTGATATTCATGCAGGACAATGCTCCGTCACACGCATCAAAATACACCACAGCGTGGCTGGCCAGAAAAAGTCTAAAGGGAAAAAATAATGACATGACCCCCTTGTTCACCTGTTGTAAACCCCATGGAGAACCTGTGGTCCTTCATGAACTGTGAGATCTACAGGAAGGGAAAACAGTGTCTGGGAGGCTGTGGTGGCCGCTGCACGCAATGTGGACCGCACAGCTCAAGACACTGACAGAATCTATGGATGGAAGGCTTTAGAGCGCCATGGTGAAGAAATTAAGCTATATTGGTCACTGATTTGATGAATGTCGTAAATGTTTATTTCTGAATTTTGAGTTGTTATATTGGTTTACCTGGTGAAAATAAACAAGTGAGATAGGTATATATTTGTTTTTTATTACGTTGCCTAATAATTCTGCACGGTAATATTTACCTGCATACACAGACATCCTCATAAAATGGCCAAATAAAAGAAAAAAAAAACACATCAACTTCCAAAAATATGAAACTTTGATATTAAAGAGGAACGTTGTTTGTTTTTTTTTTACATTGGGCCCTTGATTTTACATTATTACATCATGTTCTACTCACCCATATGAGTTTCGTGTCATTTGGAGCTGTTCTGAAGATATTCCATTAGGTTATATCCAAGTAACGTTTTCCTATGAGCAACGACTTGAAGGCACAAACTAAACTGTTCATAATTTATTCTTTATGGTACGCCAGCATTCATAACATGTAGGCAAATCACTGTCTCCCAGACATCCACGGTTATATTTTTTATATTTATATTTTTTTAAAACAAAGTGGAGTGTGTATGACATCATCCACGCCAAAACAAGGCTTTGTTGGGCTGCTGTATAAAACCTGGAACTCAACGCTATTTCTGACATTGTGAACCGAAAAATCTTCCTGGATGGAAGAGAAAAATCTTCAAACTTGGAAACAAAGTCCAGTGGATTGATTTAAATTTTTTTTGGATGACTCTGACCTGGATGACTGAGAATCTTCACCAGTATATTGACGATAGATGTGATGCTGCTCTTGTCCCTTTTCTTTTATTTTCATAGTGAAACATCTTCTGATCCAAGCTAAAGTATAAAAATGTAAAAAATGTACATTTTAATATTTAATTTAGAAAATTTAAAGGAAAAGTCCGGTCAGAAAGGATTAATCAGTGGATCATTATCTTTACCTTAAACTAATACAATTGCGGTGATTTCATGAATTTAGTGTTAATCAGTAAAAAATGAAAATAAATTGTTGTCGTGATCACTGAGTATGGGAGCGGCCATTTTTGCCCATATTTAGTAACCCCTCCCTCCAGCCATCTTCCAGCAGTGTCGTCACGGTGCGGTAAGCCTAGCGCCATTCTCCCCGCTTTACAAGCAAAATCAATGGGAACTACTAGACACATCTGCAATCAACAACAATTATTGAAGATTTCCAGAGGACTTCACCATTGAAATTCACCAGAGCTATAGTGAAACTGACAATGCCCACGTGCATGGCAGCTGGATGTTAGAATACATCGGGTAAAAGTAGAAAAAAAAAAAGTTATTTCACCTTTCCGATTCCTGATCCTCCACGGACGGGTTGGTCGTTGGATTGCCAACTTGAAGAGAGAGGATTTACCATCGAACTTCTGGCCAGAGAAAAAACACGTAATATGTAGCCGACATTTGGAAGAAGAATGTTTTCAAGATGACTTGGATAATAGCGCGTTGTGACAAACACCAGATACAGCACTGGGACTTGATCAACAGCCGATATCGCACCGTGACGTCAGAAACCAGTAGGTGGCAGTAGTGTTCTTTGACAAACATGGATGCCTCCAGTAAAGCACATTCAAAGGAAAATTACTCTGAATTAAAAACACTGATCATTTATTGAACAGGATGAATAATTTCATATTTTAAGTACTTTCAGGAATTTGAATTCTGAATATGAGCGGAATTTTCTATTAAACCTGGATCACTTGCCGAGTCGTTTAACTCGGGTAGACAAACGACAGTGAACTGCTTCCACTGCCACTAGAAGCCGATTGTTCCCGGGCTTAAACTGGTTTTTGGCCAGTTGGAAAAAGGGTTTTAGTTGTTTGATTCCAATCACCTTTTTCTGCCACCCTCTGTTTTGTAGCACCTTGAATAAAAGCAAATATAAAACTTTTAGCAAATATTTACAAATTCACAAATATACTAAAGGTGACAGAGCATCTTTAAAATATTTAATTACTAGTGATATATTTATTTCTAAAGTGTATAATATATTCAACACTTATTGAACTTACCGGAAAGCTGTAAAATAACCCAGGTTGATAAGTAGTTTTAAGGTTTTAAAAAAAATTCTTTCTGTAAAACACTTGTAAATCAAACTGAGGTGTTTTCATTTTTTAGTAGATTGTAAGGATGTTCTTTTAAACCTTGATTTGAATTTAATGAGTTGAACTTTGTTCCGTCTCCTGGAGCCTGTTGGAGTGGTTGAACCCAGAGCCTTTTAACTCGGATCCTGATGCGACGGATGAGGTGGTGAGTTTTCTTGGCTTTGGATATTTGAAGGAAGATTTTTAAACTTAATCACTTAGTTAAAGAAAGAGGCCTTCAATAACTTGATGAAAATGACATCAAATAATTGTTGCTTGAGTTGTTTTCTAACTTTTACAACCAAAGGAAATCTTCTGGTTCTTTAATACCTCAGATCTACTTTTTAACCTAACTGTTCTGTTTATTTTCAATCCCAGCTGCACCTTGGGCTCATACAGTCTTATTTTTTAAATGAATGTTTGCTTTCTAGGCCTTACCTGATGATCCCTGGATCAAGGGTGTTCTAGTGCATTCACCTGTTGCAGTGGAGCCATGGGAAACCGTGGAAGATGCTCCCATCGTTGATTCTCTCCGTAAGGTAAACGTCAATGTGCTCTGAGTGGAGTCAGACTGTTTTATATTTAAAGATGACACAAAAAGTGTGAATATAGAAAAAAATCTCCAATATTTACTTCTGATTGTGATGCCAACATTGAAATGAAAACAATTGGATATGTAAAAATATGTCTTTTTCTTCGTTTGAATCCGGCGGCTGTTTCCGACAACGGACCGATTAGTCAGCCGGCTATGTCATAGCGTGGCGCCGTGGCCTGTTCAGATTCAAAGACTCCTCCTTAAGTCTGTCATACAATATATGATTTTTTGCCCATTTCCGGACGATTCTCCAGTCCTGTGAGGATTTTTGCATTTTTCAATCGGGCCGACTTTCAGCCTGATGGTGCGTGGTGTAGTGTACGGGGCGTAAAGAGGGGCGATCAGCCTCTAACGACCACCTACCCATCAGAAATCGTAAGGTCGGCAGAAAATCAAACATGTTTAAAATTCAATCGGCCGTCCTAAGGTGGTCGTGGGCAAATCGCTCAGAGGGCAAACAAGGATTCTTCTTCTTCTCAGAGGAAAACCTAGAAGCATGGCGGGGATGCAATGAGTGAAATGTTCTTTCTGTCAAATTGACAGACTGTAGTAGCCACGTTTGCTCAGCCATGTCTTTTTCCAAATATGTCGTCGTGCTGTCATGCTGTCTCTAAAGGAATGAAAGATTTTTTCCAAGCACTAAGCTCACTTAGCTGATTGCTCCTTCCTGTGTTTCCAAAAAGGCCAAAGTAAATAACCCAGTCCTTCTTTTCACTGCAGACAGGCCATGATCTGCTTCTCTGTTCTCCATTTTTCATTTGGATGAAATAATAGCTGCATGAATCATGACAGCAGACAAGATAGAGGAGAGCAGGAGGCGGGGTTACCAATCTACTTGCTCTGGAGAGCAGAGTTCACTGCTTTTAGATGTTGTCTCCAAAGTCTCCAGTAGCAGAAAAAAGTCTCTAGATTTGGCGCTAGGAGCTTTTTAGAAATCAAAGTGCTAGAGGGGTCTGAAAAGTGGCTAAATATAGCGACTAAAGCGCTAAGTTGGCAACACTGCTCTTTGCATGGTTTGTTTTCAAATGGTTTGCTGCTGTCTGTTTGGACCTTTCTGAACATGTGCAGCAAATGGACTGATCCAATATGGTGGACACGGAGGGGGGGGCTGAGACACACTTAATATTATCAGCGTTCTGATGGCATTTTAGCCAAAGGATTTTTATTAAAAACATAATTAATGTGCAGAAATAAGGAATAGTTGTATTAACCATACATGGAAACAGAGTTTTATGGGGCCCCCAGGAACTTGGGGCCCTAGGCAGCTGCCTAGTATTGCCTAATGATATATCTGCCCTTGTGCAAGTGAATAGTTCCTACTGAAATGACTAAAAATAGTTGTTTTAATGGTTATTGAGTCAGATATGTGGCGGTAAAGTTGGGTTTATTGAAAGGTTTTATCTGTTTCTGTGTAAAAATGGGTTTGGCTGTAATTTAAGGACAGATTCCAAAATCTCTGCAGTGTGGGGACTATAAATCTGATATGTGAGATGACGGTACCAGAACAATTGTGAGATGTTCAGGATCCATTCTTTGCCTCCTTTGTGAGTGAACTGTCCTGGTTGCTAGCCGCGTATGTTAAGTGAGGGGCGATGACAGCTGGTGAAGACTGAACCTGTTTGAATTCTCAAATCTATAGCCAATCTTTTCTGGCCTCCTGATTTCATGGCCCTCGAAGGGCCCGGTCCAGGTAAGCCGGGTCCTCGTAGGACGCAGCCGCCTAAATCCAACAAACCCTCCTTTGCATCTACTGTATTTGTGCAGCCATTTAAAAAGAGATCTAAAGTAATTTTCAGTGATTTTTCTCATCTAAATTTGTCCAAACTGTTTTAATTTATCTGCAGGTGTTGCGTAAGAAAAACTACAGAACTCTCTCTCCAGCTGAGAGCTACAGTTGGCCAGCTGTGGCTCGTGGTTGCAACACATTTATTATTTCTCAGAATGCTGATCAGCCTCTTGGTTACCTCGTCCCCCTTCTCACCCATCTCCTGCTGAACTCCGTCCACGTGTCCCACGCCTCCAGTTCAGGAGTGAGTGAATATTGTGTGAATAAAGCGATCCATGCTTCCTTTGGGAGCTTTCTAACGATGTGCTCTCCTGCAGCCGATAGCGGTGCTGCTGTGTCCAGGCTGGGAGAAGGCGCAGCTAGTTTACGACCTGCTGGAGGAGACCAACGTTTCTCAGACCCTTCACCCACTTATCATGTTGGTGGGCATTGGCAAAGATCAAGCCAAGGATGTAAAAATCCCTAAAAACTGTGGGTCAAACAAACCGGATTTTATCTTTTTCCATTCAGACATTTCCTGAGTTCATGTTTTAAATGATTTTTCTCTATGACAGGCCTGCTGTTGGTGACCACCCCTTTCAGTTTCGTCCGTTTGCTGTCTTCTCACTGCTTTCTGTTTTTGCGGCTTTACCATCTACTGTTGGACGAAGCTGACGAACTCTTCACTCGTGCGCCTGATCAGGTGAAGGCTCATTTGTTTCCAGTAGACTCTCTGTCAGGTTGGGTGGAGGTTCTGAAGAACCAAAATGCAGAGATCGGGTAGGAAGAGATGAGTTCTGGTAGGTTTATTGTCCAAAAAAGCGGCAACTGAAGCAAAAATGCAAAATAACAAATACAGAAAACCAAAACCTTGGAGTCAGCTGGGAAAACACACATGAGGAACCAGCAAACAATCCTTCTTCTTCTCGTGGTGTTTTATTGCGGTTGGCAACCAGTTAAAGTGCATTACCGCCCCCAGCTGATAAGGAGTTGAACGAGGAAACAGGAAACAAGACTCGACCCCAGAAAAGGATAAAAAATAAAATAATAGTTTTCCAAACTGTATGTTTTATCCCAACATAATAAAATATATAATCAAATTCGTCTTCATAATTGCTAATTTGTCTTTATGCTAATGTCACTCTAATAGTGCAGCTTTCACTAGTATTTACATTTTTTTTGGTTTTCTTTGTGGTCTGAGCAGTGCAATTGATCACTTCTACCATAAAAAGTATAAAATCCCTCTTTTTAATAATCAATCAGTCTTCTGCCATTTGGGGCACTCCTGCAGAGGATTTTGCACTTTTCACTTGGGCCACTGTTGATTTGGGTTTTTCTGACTGGGATGGGATTCTGAACTTTTTCCTGAGCTCTAATTTCACTTTTCTGATCTCTTCAGATCTTTTGCTCACTTTACATCCGTGGTAGGCAGCAGTCTGTTCTATCAGAGCATTTAATTTTTACTTCTACTTACCATATTCCTGCTCTCCAGCACACCTTTCACATCATTGTTTTCCTTTACATTCAGCTGCTATGTGACCAAATTTTTGGCATTTAAAACATCTCAGAGGAGTGGACATTTTGACACTGTAGCTCATATATCCAAGGAAAAATCAGTGTCCTACTGAGCACCTCTGAGATTCATTTTTTTTTTTGTTCAAATTGCTATTTTGAAAATCATTTTGTAGTGACGCCCACTGTTTTGGATTCTCATCGCCTTCGATTTTTAACCAACTAACCAACCTGTAAATTTGCGTTATTCAAAAAACAATCTATTTCTTTTTTTTTTGTTTGTTTGTTTTTAGCAGTGTTCTTCAACAAACAAAGAAAAAAGTAAATAAAATGGTTTTATGGGAGAAACATTTAGTTTTTTTCTGTGTAGGCATAAATAAATTCTCCTTTTTTCAGATGGAATCCATCCTACAGCATTTTCAGAAGGTGACATCCAGAGTAGAGAAAGGATCCTGTCCTCGGCAGCTGATTGCTGCAGCCAGAAGATGGAGCATTCCAATGGAGAAGCTAATCTCCTGTCACATGCCCAACCCTTACATTGTCATAAGTGTCCTGGAGGAAGCTGCGCTCTACGGCAATATTCAGCAGGTTAGTTAAAGTTAGTGAGACTGTGATGCAGCGGCGGGTGGTGGAGTTATCTCCAGGGGGCGCTATTAATTCAAAATAGACGTATACTAATAACCAATCAAACGTATACTAGGTTATCACACCAGTATATTTACATTAATGCCAACAACAAGAAAACAAAAAAATATACATAAAAAAAAAAAAAAAAAAAATGTATTTTTAAAATTTTATTTAAAAAATATAAAAAATAAACATAATTTCATGCACAGGTTTACTTTCTGTCCATAAATCTTTTCCTTCTGAGGCTGTGAAGGTAAATCAGGTTTTTCCATGGTCCAATATTGCGTCAAAAACCTAAAAAAATAATGAACCAGTTTAATAAATGAGAAGCTATCAGTCAGCTTTATATTTTTTTATATATAAAAACTATTTTCTGAGAATGTTTATTAAAGAGCAACTATGCAAATGAAAAAAACACCTAGAAAAGTAGACTATTTTCTATAATCCCAGATTGTTCGTCATTCTTTGCCTTTTCTAAAAAACAAGACTCTACCTGTCAATCACCTGCAAACTATCTGCGCTGTGGCTGAAGGCGGTGAGCAGATACACTTCCTGTCACCTCAGGGCGCTGCTCCCCGTGCCTCAGAGCTCTCCTATCCTTCTGTATTGGCCATGGAAAACTTAACGACAGTCACTGGGCAAACATTTGGAATGGCAATTTAATTGTCATTAAGATTAAATATTTATCTTGAGCATAAAAAAAACAATATATTTCTAAATATTTTACATTTTAATTTAAAATAAGATTATATCTATATTTATAAAAATTAATAATAAAAAAAAAATCTATATTTTTTGTCTTAAAGCTGAAGTCTAAGTTTTTAAAAATCACTTTTTTGTCATATTGGCTAAAACTGTCCCTATGCCCAGACAGCAGTACATCTGATATGTAATCTGTGAAAAAAACTGCTTCAATTGGTCCCGCCTACTGCCTGTATTTCAATCTGGAAAGAATAATTCGGGACGAGTCAAAACAACCAATCACAGCCAGAGGAGCGTCTGATGGAGTGTCAATCACAGCTCACACACGCTGAATCCCACCCCCCTCACCGCTTAACCTGCCGCAACGCCCGGCTGCCGCAGTCAGGAGGACGCGCGTGGAAGTCATGGCAGAGCGACAGCCACCAGCGAAAGAGAAACTGCCCTTACTGCCCCTGGCGACAACTGCTTACACGGCAAACTTCGGTATAACCAGCATCTTATATCTAGCTGCTTGGAGGTGAGTGTTATCGCTCTTACCGGTTCACACTCCGTGCCGCATACGCTGCTTGGACGCTTCTGGTCGCATGCGGTAGCCGCGCAGGTGCTGTGAGAGGGGTGGAGCTTGAAGGTGGGGCATGAGTGAAGCAGAGAGGGTGGGGGAGTGGCGTGAAACCTGTTTTTCTTCAAATTTTCAGTCGAAGTCTGCTCTCTTCTCAATGTTACAGACTGCAGCTTTAATCAGGGTCATTGTGTGGGTGGGGCGGCACCCTAGCGCCCTCTATTGACCAGTCGCCACTGCAGTGATGTTTATATATTGCTTTAAAACACTAATTATGGAATGTCTGATCATTGAAGGGTCAGAGCTAATATGTTGTAATACTTCTGATTGTTTTGTTCTGTTTAGGTCGTCCTAATGACTCCTGAGAACAACAAGATATCTGTACTTTTGGACGCCTTGGATTTCTGTCCTGATGTTGGACAGAAGACACTGATTGTGGCAAACTCTGCTCAGGAGGTTGAAGATGTGTTTCAGGTCCTGATAGTTTTTTTTTGTTCTCATCTGTTGTGTTATTTAAATAACTTCAGCTTTTGATTTAGTGTAAAGTTTTTAGCAACTTATCTAAGACGAGAGACAATTTTTTTGGTTCAGTTATGACATTTGGCATCAAGATTCTTAATGCACTGTCATTAGACACATTCGGTGAGAGTCGGAAGACAGGGGCGAGGATAGACTGAATGATTTACTTACTTTATTTATTCTGGACTCATGGTCCAATCAATCAATAGAATAAGAAATTACAAGGGAAAAAGACAAAAAAAAGGAGACAGGAATACTAGTGTCTCCACTGCTTCGACTGGTATTGGATTGTCAGTAAGTGACAAGATAATTTGATTGCCAGATGCTTTTATCCTACTGATAAAATTATACACTAACCTTCGTAAAACAGCATGTAAGGTGTTGACTCTTGCTGTGATGAACAGCTCACTCATCTCTCACCTGCAGCCTTTGTAGGTTGGTTGTTTATATGTAGACCACAGGTGAGCAGTTTACAGAAAGGTACAACATGCATTTAATAGTTCCACTTTTACTACATCAGTTCATGCACCAAATTCAAGAGCAGGTCTATTAGTTTGAGATTAGGGCGTAAACATTTAATTAGATTAGGAATGCATGATATAATCGGCCCCCTATCGGTAGCGGCCTGTATCGGCCTTAAAGGAATAGTACACCCAAAACATGATTAGCCTTCATTTTCTACTCACCCCCATGCTGAACAACACTCTGGAGTACTTTTTTGATATCTCAAATGCATCTGGAGATCTGGGAGGCTTCTTGCTGTCTGCTGACATTCAAATAATGGAGGTCTATGGTGACCGAGACAGAAAGGTGCATAAAAGTCCACATAAAACGTGTCAATATTCCTCCATACTGCTCGTCCAATGTATTCCAAGTTTCCTGAGTGGGTAGCATCCAGAATTTACTTGAAACAAAGTCATTTAGAATGTTTTTAGAGCATAAACAGTAGTGTATACGCACATGCGCGCTCACGACGCTACAGAAGCCGGCAGACCAAACCAGCGCATTCAGCTCGGCAAAGAACTCATGCTCTTCCTCAACACTGAAGTCCTCAGACATTTTTCTTTTGTTGTTTCTTTCTTTGCACAGGTAAACAGCACATTTCTTCTTCTACGCTTGCATTATTGGCAGAGCAGACGCTGAATGCGCACTTTCATCTGGTTTGGTCTGCCGGCTTCCGTAGCGTCGTGAGCGCGCATGTGCGCGCTTTCAGGAAATCCTATACACTACTGTTTATGCTCTAAAAACATTCTTAATGACTTCGTTTCGAGTAAATTCTGGATGCTACCCACTCAGGACACTTGGAATACATTGGACGAGCAGTATGGAGGAATATTGACACGTTTTTTGTGGACTTTTATGGACCTTTCTGCCTCGGGCGCCATAGACCTCCATTATTTGAATGTCAGCAGACAGCAAGAAGCCTCCCAGATCTCCAGATGCATTTGAGATATCAAAAAAGTACTCCAGAGTGTTGTTCAGCATGGGGGTGAGTAGAAAATGAAGGCTAATCATGTTTTGGGTGTACTATTCCTTTAAAACTGAATATCAGACATCGGCCACCCCACCGATATTTAACCCGATATTTGATCAGCTTCTGAGTTTTTAAAGTCTAAAAAAAAAAAAAAAAAATACTACTTCTTCTTCTTCCTCCAAAAACTTCTTTTTTACAGACTTAAAAACTTCTAAAGACAAGGGAAAAAATATTGACACATTAAAATATCACAATATCTTCATATGCTGATATATTGTCATTTAAAAACACCATATCAATCACTTTTACTAATGAAATATTGCTATATGTCATCGTTATGCTACGAAATCCCCTGATAAATCACGAAATTTTGCCATATTTTTATATGTTGATATATTGACGCGGTATTGATCTATTTTACTAACAAAATCTCACAAGAATTTGCAAAATATCACGAGAGTTTCTAATAGAACAACGAAATTTTGAAAGTAAAATAGATCAATACCGCGTTTTTAAAAATCTATTTGATATCAGCATATGAAAAAATATATATAAAATATTAAATATATTTGAGTATGTTATTTTTCAAAGTGTCAGAAATGGATAACAAAACTGCTATTTTCAATGACTACTTATTTTTGTCCAGCTTTAACATCGGTATCGGCTACATGAGTTTTAAAATATTGGCATATCGGATATCGGCAAAAATCCCAATATCGTTCATCCCTAAATTAGATTATTACTGATCAATCGATTATTGTAATAATCTTCAACTAATTTAGTAATCAATTAATCTTTAACTGGAGTATAGAGACTGTAAAACATGCCTTTAGGTGACAGATCAGCCAAACTTTCAGCTGAAATTTCTACCAAAATTATAAAACAAATGTATAAACATTTTTGCATTTTTGCATTGCTCTATAACCCAGAACTCCTTTTTCATAAAAAGTCTTCTTTAAGGAACATTTGGCTATAGGATTATTAATTGAAAAAAAGAATCGACATTCATGCCCGCCAAAAAAAAAGGAATAAAGGCTAAAATAAAGCAGGTTTTTGGTGTCAGCAGATTGACCGTCATGTCTGCTAGGAAGTTTGTTGGTGGTGGGCATGAACGCAGGGAGGATCCATCACCCTCACCTTCTGGCTCACCCTATGATGGGGATGAAGTCTGGAGGAGAACTGACGGTTTCCTCCTGTGAACCCCCTTTATACCAAAACGCTGCCAATACGCCATTATACAGTAGCTGGAAGTTAGAAACACGTTCAGCGCTCGTCTGGAACACGTCAGATACGTTGATAAGCGTTGGAGAGAAGTTACGCAAAAGTTATGCACAAGTTACTCAGAGGTTTAGGATACGCTAGATGCCATGACTGATGAGGAACTGACACTAAATGGATGTCGACCATCAGAGAACTGATCTGGTACTGACGGCCCATGGATGGCAGATGCTGGAAAACGTATGTCGACGTGTTTCAGCGGATTTCAGTGCGTACTTAAAACCTACACATAGCTTATCCAACGCACGCCAGCACTTTTGTCAGATTTTTCGTACGTCAGAAGGACGCTGGTCTAAATCGTCATGGGGTGACAGGAGCTTAAGTGTACTTGTCACCTCTGCGCATACTCAATGAAATGAAGACAATTAAATTCATCTTTGCAGTTAAATGAAGTCACACACCTGTCACAATAAATAAAGATATCATTTAATTGTGCTAAACTGATGAGGACATTTTTATTTTGCAGGCTCTCAGCAGCCAATCAGCTTTCTGCCTCAAGGTCCACGAGGGATTGCTGGACCAGCTGGACTTTGTCCTCCAGCAGTGGAAGAAAACCATTGGTCCTCGCACTCATATTGTTCTCGGTAAATTTATCATGAGATTTGTTGCTGTTGTCGTGGGTGATTGTAGAAAACGTAGGAAAATGAAGAATTGAAAAATGTTTTGTTCTTTCTTTAGTGAGCACCAGTGAGTGTTTGAAGGGTCTTGGCATCAGAGATGCATCTTGTATCGTCCATTTTGGATTTCCGTCCTCGCCCAGACTGTTTGGCAGCAGACTTTTCTGTATGGCAGAACATTTCCAAAATCTATCTGTACAAGTAAGCTGTGCCTTCATTCCCTTCATTTAGCCAGTTTTTGTTTTGTAAAAGTTTGGGAAGATCTTGATAATAAACGCATGTATCAGCTAATTTATTTAATTCCTCAGTTAAGGAGAAGCAAAATGATGCTGTGCTCCTTTTCAAACAAGAGATCTGTCCTGGTTATTGCTGAAACTATTAATTATTGAAATAAGCATCAACTAATTCAGTAACAGAGTAGTATAGAGACTGTAAATCGTGGCTTTAGCTGACAGAGCAACCCACTTAAAGCAGGAATTATACCAAAATTATAAAAAATGTATAAACATTTTGCATTTAAGATAAAAAAATATATTTTTTTTCTTCCATCAACATGCTTTGTTATCTGGAAAAAAATTAGCTTGAGCTGGTTTAATTTAGTAAAAATGTTATTTAAGGAGCCTTTGGCTATCTGATTATTAATCGATTCATCGAAAAAATAATTGACATATTAATTGATTTGCAAAATAATTGTAGTTACAGCCCAGTTTGGGGAGCAGCCGCCTACCTGTCAGGGCAAAGAGCTTGGAATCCTGAGGTTCTGAGTTTGAGCCCCACTCCCACAGACTGCCACTCTGGGTCCCTGAGCAAGACCCCTAACCCCACACTGCTCCCCAGGTGCCACACAGTCCCCTGCTCGCCAAGGGGATGGGTTAGAATGCAGAGAAGGAATTTCATTGCTCTGTAGTTGTGACAGTGGAATGACAATAAAACAGTGGGATTTATTATGGTGGGAGTAGGTAGCGAGGAAAGCATTTTATTTATTTTTTTGAGCTTGCTTTCTGCTGTGGGGTCTGACCTGCCGTTTGGAGCGTATCACTGCTGCTGCAGCGTTCCAGTCCTCATAGCGCTTCCCTCATGACTGCACATTCAAAATGACATTATTGATCCCAAAAGGAAATTGATCGTTGTAGCCTGGTATCAGCTGTTTTCCACACTGAGATATTAAAGCTTTGACGAGTTTTATAAATACAGGTTTATAACATGATTTTATTTTGCTTTACTTTCCATTCCTTACTAACTTCCAATCAGTGTTGTATAAAGTACTGAAATCTCTGAGTCAAGTAAAAGTATAAGTACCTCTCCAAAATACGACTTTGGTAAAGTCCAAGTCACTGACTGAAATGTTACTTGAGTAAAAGTCTTAAAGTATCTGAAATGGCTTGGACTTAAGTATAAGAATTACTGTAAAAATAGATGTACTCAAGTAATGTAGTGAAAAGTATAAGTAAAAAGTAAGTGCAGTTTGAATGACATTTTTTTTAACATTTTGGCAAACTTTGAAGGTTAAATTCACTTAAAATAATATAAACAACCAAGTGTAGGATAAATTTAGACTGGCTTTGCGAAACAGGCGTATCCTATTGGTGTTGAAGCACAAGCCCAGGCAAGACCAGACTTTGTAGTCAGTAGGTGGGGTCAAAACACTTGCCTTTCTCTCGCCTGTTTTTTTTTTTTTTTTTTTTTTTTTTTTTTACTTAGTAACTAAACCAAACATTGAAAATGTATCGGAGTAAAGTATGCAATTCAGTTCGTAAATCTAGTGAAGTAAAAGCGAAAGTTCTGAAAAAAATGTATACTCTATAAAGTACTCCAAAATATACTTAAGTACAGTAGTGAAGTATTTTTACTTTGTTACTATACAACACTGCTTCCAAGCATCATGTTTATGTTTTTTATTTGAGATGTATATATATGTTCTCCTGGTGCACGCCTTGTTTAAAATATGCTGTTCTAAAAGCTCATATAGCTGACTGTGTCCACATACAGCGGGGACCTCATAGTGAACTTTATAGTGAACTCAGTTAACTGACCAATCAGACAGATGATCACTGCTTTTTGCTCTGTTGGTCACATAACTCCGTCTGCGCCATCTTTATTAGTCGCCGCTGTCGAGTAGCGACAGCCTATGGCGACAGCAGGCCGCTGTGACAGCAAATCCCAGAATTCTGGGATATATCTGCCTGTTCTGAGGCCTTTCTTTTCTTCTCATACACTTCGTAGACACTTTTTCATTTTCAAAGAACCGCGGTGAGATAGGTGAGCTTCAATAACCGTCTGAAACCGTAGCTCACCACAGATATGAGCCTGAAAGAAAAAAGATCGCTAACGGGACATGCGCTTAGGACGGCCTTACATAAACACATCACCAGAATGATTGACAGTTAGGAGGACCACTGATTGAGATGATCGGCCCGTAAATAAAAGATCATCCTCTATAGCTTGAAGTAGGGCTGGGCGATAATTCAATAACAATATATATCGATCGATAGACGTGTGGCGCAATAGAAAAAAAGAGGGTCGATAAAAGTTCGATAAAAAAGAAACGCAGTTTTCCTTCCTTCTCATTGTAGCCTAGCATGTAGGTTTATGCTAGTCACTACTTCCTCCCAACCAATCACAATCGCGGACCCAGGCATGCCGTCACCAAGCGCCGCCCTCTCAAACCACAACACAGAGCACATGAAGCTGTGCAGCAAGGAGAGGCGGAGGAAATTGTTCCAAAGAAAGGTTTTTGTAGTTCGGCAGTCTGGCAGTATTTCGGTCATGGCAAATCGGACCAAAAACAAACCACAGTCATCTGGAAAATGTGTCGGGAACCAGTGAAAACGAAGTCTGATAACACAACCAACTTTTTTTTATCATCTCAGCCGCTCACAGCCGCAGAAGTACGAGCTGTGTAGGCCCCGACGCGGCTCTCCTCCGAGGAATCTTCAGGAAATATATATATATTTTCAGTTCTGGGCAGTTTCCCACGTAGTTCTAACAATTGAGATAAAAATGCTGAGGGGCCAGAAACTTCAAAGTAATAAGTCAGGTTAAAGCAGGAAACGGGGGCGGCGGTGGTGGGGGGGCATTTATTTATTTGTTATATTTATTTTGGTCACTTTTCTGGTCACTTTAGTTTATTCTTTGTCAGTATTTAATAACATAACTCAGGTCTCTTAAGTTATTTTTCTTTAAAACAATTCTGTTATGGTTAAAAAAGTTGGTTAAATAAAGATTTAATTCGAAGTCTGTGTTTGTGTTTTTTATTAAAATTAAATCATTTAGCAATATTATAAAAAGTCCAGGCAGAGCTGCACATAAAATATGGTTTTAAATCTTTTCAATAATTATCAATATCGATCAATATGCATTTTTTTTTATCGATAAGCTTTTTTTCTATATCGCCCAGCCCTAGCTTGAAGCTGCATGAATGCAGCTCACACAGTAGATCGCACACAAGTCGCATATATTTGGGAATAAGAATGACCACGCAAAAGAACCGGATTTCACAAAACAATCCGAATTAAGCTTTTAAACTATAGTGGAGGATGTTCTTTTCCAGGAGTATCATCATTTAATTGGTCCTCCTAACTGTCAATCATTCTGGTGATGTGTTTCCGTGAGGCCGCCCTTTGTGCTCGTCCCCATTTCCACTGACCGCTGGTGAGTCTGACATGGTGGAAAAATTACTAATCATCTTAAGTTAGCTTGTATGAGCGATGCAAACCCAACTTTTAAACAGCTTGTCCACGGTATCACACGTGTTTAATAGGCGGTCCCTCTCCGGAGCGGGTACAGGGTTGAACATGTGCGTATAGAGGCCGGTTTTTTAAAAAGTTCACGAAAGTCCTCCACTACACCTTTAAGGCCCACAGTGTGAACGTTATTCATTAGTGACTTGAATCTGATTAGAACTGCACTGAGAATGAAATATTGAGCGACGCAGAAATGTTTCTTTGTGCTTTGACACACAACATTTACTTCAAAGTTTTTTTTGGAGTAGTTGCAGCTCTACTATAAATACCTGCTAAATAAAGCTGATGTAAATCAGGACGCCATTGCTCATGTGCCAACGCTGACGCAAACATATTTATTTTCCCCTTCTGGTTTTCCGTCAGCGTAAAGATGGTTCCCGGGTCACCAGGTCATTGCTGCTGGTCTCTGAAAGAAATGCTCGCCATGTTGTGGGAGTTCTCCGTTACCTGGGGCGCACTGCTACGCATCTACCTCCTGTGCTTCTGAGATTTGCTGAATGGGTGTGTTTGTCCCGTGAAGAACAGAAGATCAGTCGACCTCTCTGTAGATATCTAAAGAGCTTTGGAGTCTGCAGGTATGTTTAATGGTATCACTCAGTTCAGATAAATGTTTTGTTTTTTTCATTTCAAAAAGGGAAATGAACGTTGTTGCATGTAGGGAAATTATTATTATGGTGACTCTCTGAAATCTCTGTAATAAATAAAATTATTGCTTTATTTTCAAAACTGATCAACATTGAAAATGTTAACTGATAATAAAAAAATAATGAGACTAACACAATTCACACCAAAATGAACTAGCTTTGGTGAGATAGGCCTTATAAGGCTTTTGATAGTATTACTGAAGGACTTTCAGTCCCGTGTCTTTTGGCTGGCCTACCAGATTTTTGCTCCACCTTTAGAAAGATGGGAACCAGGAGGACGTTAGGGCTACTATTTGATCCCAGGAGACTAGAAGCCAGCATAGACATGGATAGACCCCGGGTGAGAGGTGTGCCGACAGAGCGGCCTTCTTAGGTCAGACCAAGCTGCTGTCAGAGACAATAAGTATCAATTGAAGCTAATGCTATTTTATGACTTCAGGCACTAAATCCTCTGAACTCTCAAACGATTTCCAGATAAATTGGATGACTGTAAACATCAAGGTGTCAGGGGCTACATGTTACAATTTCTAGCCTAATTTATTACATAGTTTCTATTTTATATTGACTGTTAGCAAAGTTCCAGAGCTACCTCTCAGAATAATGCCAAACTTTTTAATCCATCTATGGGCTAGTCATTACAATCCTGTGAGCATAAGTCTGATCTAAAGGATAGTTTCTTCATGTGTGCATATCTCTATGTGTTTATATATATATATATATATATATATATATATATATATATATATATATATATATATATACACTACTCAAAAAAAATAAAGGAACACTTTGTAATCAGAGTATAGCATCAAGTTAATTAAACTTCTGGGATATTGATCTGGTCAGGTAAGTAGCAGAGGGGGTTGTTAATCAGTTTCAGCTGCTTTGGTGTTAATGAAATTAACAACAGGTGCACTAGAGGGGCAACAACCAGACGACCATCAAAACAGGAATGGTTTTACAGGTGGAGGCCACTGACATTTTTTCCCCTCCTCATCTTTTCTGACTTTTTCATCAGTTTTGCATTTGGCTAGGGTCACTGTCACTACTGTTAGCATGAGGCGCTATCTGGATCCTACAAAGGTTGCACAGGCAGTCCAACTCCTCCAGGATGGCACATCAATACGTGCCATTGCCAGAAGGTTTGCTGTGTCTCCCAGCACAATCTCAAGAGCATGGAGGAGATTCCAGGAGAGCTGGACAGGGCCATAGAAGGCCTACAACCCATCAGCAGGACCGGTATCTGCTCCTTTGTGCAAGGAGGAGCAGGAGGAGCACTGCCAGAGCCCTACAAAATGACCTCCTGCAGGCCACTGGTGTGAATGTCTCTGATCAAACAATCAGAAACAGACTTCACCAGGGTGGCCCGAGGGCCCCATGTCCTCTAGTGGGCCCTGTGCTCACTGCCCAGCACCGCGGAGCTCGATTGGCATTTGCCACAGAACACCAGAATTGGCAAGTCTGCCACCGGCGCCTTGTGCTTTTCACAGATGAGAGCAGGTTCACCCTGAGCACATGTGACAGATGTGAGGGTCTGGAGAAGCCGTGGAGAACGTTATGCTGCCTGTAAATACATTCAGCATGGTTTGGTGGTGGGTCAGTGATGGTCTGGGGAGGCATATTCATGGAGGGACGCATAGACCTATACAGGCTAGATAACGGCACCCTGACTGCCATTAGGTATTGGGATGAAATCCTTTCACCCATTGTGATCCTATGCTGGTGCAGTGGGTCCTGGGTTCCTCCTGGTGCACGACAATGCCCGGCCTCATGTGGCGAGAGTATGCAGGCAGTTCCTGGAGGATGAAGGAACTGATACCATTGATTGGCCCCCACGCTTACCTGACCTAAATCCAATAGAATACCTCTGAGACATTATGTTTCCACCCATCCGACACCACCAGGTTGCACCTCAGACTGTCCAGGAGCTCAGTGATGCCCTGGTCCAGATCTGGGAGGAGATACCCCAGTACGCCATCCGTCTTCTCATTAGGAGCATGCCCCGACATTGTCAGGCATGCATACACGCATGTGAGGGCCATACAAATTACTGAATACCATTTTGAGTTGCTGCAATGAAATTAGTCTGCCGCATCATTTTTTCACTGTAATTTTTGGGGTGTCTTTGAATTCAGCCCTCTGTAGGTTGATAATTTTCATTTCCATCAAATGATGTGGCATCCTTCTGTTCCTAACACATTGCCCAGTCCATCTCAGTTTAAATAAACAGCAGGATTCTTGCCCCATTGAGATCTGATGTGTTTTCAAAGTGTTCCTTTATTTTTTTTGAGCAATATATATATATATATATATATATATATATATATATATATATATATATATATATATATATATATATATACACGTATGTATATGCTTGGATGCAGCAGGAGCAGCACGTTGTAAGCTTCTGAGCATCTATCATTATGTTAGCATAAATGAGAAAACTCCTTCAAGTCATTTAAATTTTCGCATCCCCAGTCTGACTTGCTGATTACTCCAAAGGCAGTTAATAATTACAACTCTTTTAAACAATTAACCCTTAATTTCCTTCATCCAAATTGTCAAAGCAAGAAAACCTTTTCTTTTTGTAACTTTGTATCGTCCACTAGGTCCTTACTCTTAATTTTTAGATTAGTTTTCAGAGTTCCTTTCTGATTTGGTATTAAATACTGACAGGGTCATCATAGTGGGAGATTTTAACATCCATGCTGACATTGAAGGCAATAGCTTAAGAGCAGCCTTTAATGCTATCTTAGACACTATTGGCTTTGTTCAAAATGTGAATAGTCCCACACATTCTCATATTCATACTTTGGATCTTAACAGAGTACTCCTTCCCCAAAAGAAGGTTACACTTAAGCAGATCATTATCAAATAGTGCAGTTATAAATTTTAAAGCATCTGTTTCACTTTCCCTCTCCTCTCTGTCGCTGAGCAGTGCTGCAGAGTGCAAAAGCTTAGTTTGTACCTCTTCACAGGTTGATGATTTTGTTGATGGGGTTGCTAGTTCTCTGCGTGCTGCCTTAGACAACGCAGCTCCTTTGAAAATGAAAACCGTTAAAAATAGAAAGCTTGCTCCTCGGTTTAATGCAGAGCTGCGCACTTTGAAGCAAAATGCTAGGAAACTGGAGAGAAAATATCACTTCACAGGCCTACGGGACTCCTACTTAGTCTGGAAAAATAGTTTCCTGCTGTATAAGAGGACCCTTTGTAAAGAAAGAGCAGCATATTTCTCCTCATTAATCCTAGATATCTTTTTAATCCAGTTGCCAAACTCACCCAGAGCCATAGCTTAGTTGAACCATCCATTCCTGATTGGACTATATGCATAAGTGCCCAAAATTGAAGGCATGTATATAGGGGAAAAAAACACCAGTTTTGATCAGCTGTACATTCTAATGATCACTATGAATGAAAGGGTTAATGTGCTAAGAATTTTGATTTCAATGAAAGGAAATTGGCACAAATAAACGATCTGTCCTGCTTACCTCCGACCTGCCTGCAGGGACAGGAATGCATGTCTTGATCGCCACAGCTTCAACCCACATTTGGATCAATCTGCGCTCCCTACATCCGGAGTCATTGAAGTGAGAAAGTTTCCTTTTTTATGTAATTTATTACTGGTGTTGCCACCAGTTGTCCTTGAGTGGCCATACCTATGAATGGATGGTAGAAGGGATCCGTTATGTTTTTCTTAAATAGATGCTTCAAAGAACTAATGGTTTTGCAAAATGTTTCCTCTGGTGTGCTTGCAGGTTTTGCCTCTTTACATAAAGACAGCATCTGTCTATTATGGTCGTTTGGTGAATTCCAGCGATGAAGGATTTGAGTCGATGGCTTCTGAGATAAACTCGTATTATGCCGACACAAAGCCAGGAGCCAAGGAGCTGCTGCAGGGGGCTTTATATGCTGTGCAAGAGGACGGGGTCTTCCACAGGTTTGTGAATGAGTTCCCTTTGCTGTATCGATCATTAGTGCTGTTTACTTAAATTGCTTTTGAAAAAAAGCTTTGGGTTTTCCGCTCCACTGTCACTACAAGCATTCTTTGTATGAGGGATTGCCTTTGAGTCGCTCTCAGGGATCACAATAAAAGTAACTAGTTACTAGTAAAAGTAACTCCAGCGTTACTTTTGTTTCTCGTTTCTCGCCCCCGTAACCCTCACCACCCGGCCCCCACCTTCTCGCCGAGTGTTTCAAAAGCCAGCTGAATAGAGAGGACAACAAAGACAAGAACCTGCATAGAGTTTTGCATTTTTTGCAACTTAACATAAATTACATCGGGGGGGGAACGCTATCTGACAAGCCTATGAAACCCGTCAGATAGCGTTCCCCTGCTTAAAGGAATAGTACACCCAAAACATGATTAGCCTTCATTTTCTACTCACCCCCATGCTGAGCAACACTCTGGAGTACTTTTTTGATATCTCAAATGCATCTGGAGATCTGGGGGGCTTCTTGCTGTCTGCTGACATTCAAATAATGGAGGTCTATGGCGCCCGAGGCAGAAAGGTCCATAAAAGTCCACAAAAAACTTGTCAATATTCCTCCATACTGCTCGTTCAATGTATTCCAAGTGTCCTGAGTGGGTAGCATCCAGAATTTACTCGAAACAAAGTCATTTAGAATGTTTTTAGAGCATAAACAGTAGTGTATAGGATTTCCTGAAAGCGCGCACATGCGCGTTCCTGACGCTACGGAAGCCGGCAGACCAAACCGGATGAAAGTGCGCATTAAGCTCGGCAAAGAACTCATGCTCTTCCTCAACACTGAAGTCCTCAAACATTTTTCTTTCGTTGTTTCTTTCTTTGCACAGGTAAACAGCACATTTCTTCTTCTACGCTTGCATTATTGGCAGAGCAGACGCTGAATGCGCACTTTCATCTGGTTTGGTCTGCCGGCTTCCGTAGCGTCGTGAACGTGCAGGCGCGCGCTTTCAGGAAATCCTATACACTACTGTTTATGCTCTAAAAACATTCTAAATGACTTCGTTTCGAGTAAATTCTGGATGCTACCCACTCAGGACACTTGGAATACATTGGACGAGCAGTATGGAGGAATATTGACACGTTTTTTGTGGACTTTTATGGACCTTTCTGCCTCGGGCACCATAGACCTCCATTATTTGAATGTCAGCAGACAGCAAGAAGCCTCCCAGATCTCCAGATGCATTTGAGATATCAAAAAAGTACTCCAGAGTGTTCTTCAGCATGGGGGTGAGTAGAAAATGAAGGCTAATCATGTTTTGGGTGTACTATTCCTTTAACATGGTTGGAACGCTATCTGATGGGCTTCTAAACCCCGTCAGATAGCGTTCCCTGTCTAACATAGGGGAACATCCTGTGGGTTTGGGTTGTTATAGATACTGCAACATCCATCCATCCCGATTTCTCGTGGCGCGAGCACCGGGTGGCTTTTACCCACCTTTAGTGAGCATGCATGTTTCCTGTTGCTTGCGCTGTGAATCATGCTGCCTGTGCTGTGCGGAGATGCAGAGGAAACCGTATTTGAGGGGAAACGCAGCTTGATGTAATACCGGTATTTCCATCTGGAAAATGCTGTTTTGCTGCTGGAGTCCTCCTCACTCTCCATCTCTCTGTGTGTGCTGTATGTTAACACTCATGACAAGGCGCGCACGAGTCCTATCATGAAAAAAAGGCTAATTGTGCGACCTGAGTAACGTGCAGTAACGGGGTGTTGGCAATGGTAACTGCGTTATAGTGACAGTAAGAGTAATAATTTTGATTACTCGTTACTAAAAAAAGGTAACGGCGTTAGTAACGCTGTTACTTTTAACACCGTTACTCCCATCACTGTTAACCTCACGACACAACTAATCGATAATGAAATAAAAGTAGATTTTTATCAGTTTGATCAATTCCTTGTTACAGCTCTACTTGGTTTTTCTGCTCTCCCGACGCTCCTGCTGGACGCGGCCAGAATGTGCCTGGTCTGAACTTAGCTTTAGACAGTAGAAAACTCGATGCCTATATTTGATCTCAGGAAGGGTACAAACATTGGAATTAAACCATATTTAGCTGGGATGTTTCTATCATTCATAAGGGTGTCCATTTAAACATGTGACACAAAGTCGCGGGCAGGCTTTTAACTAACCATGTGTACGGTCTTTATTTTAAAAAAAGACAGCCTGTTTTCCCCCCGGGAACTTCTTTCAATTGCTGAAAATTTGCTGATCCAGTCTTCACCGGATAGGCAAATCATTAAAAAAGCTGCAGAGTGCTACGGACGGATGTCAACAAAACCACAGCTGAAAATAACGGACGGTGAAAGAGATGCACAAGGCGGAGAAAGCAAGGCTGCAGAGGGGGGCTGACTGTGAAGCTAAAGAAAAATCCCCACAGACCTCTGCTTCTATCCAACCTCTCCAATGTCCGCTCGTTGGAAAACAAAATGGATAATCTCTGACTCGAACTCTCTTCAAAAAGGAGATTAGTAACTGCTGCACCATCATTCTGACAGTCATGGCTGCGTCCAGCAGTACTGGACGTTGCTGTTGGCCTGGGGGGGCTGCTGCTGTACCACGCCAATGGGAACAAAGAGCTCTGCTTGAACTGAGGCTCCTCTGAGACTGTTCCCAGGCAATCTTCAGCATCTAGAGGGGAAGCTCTGCCCTCTGCAGGTGAAAATGAGCAGAGCACTCTAGATGCCTCCCTGCCAAATGCTGAAACATCCCCAGCCGGCTCCTCCCACCCCCCTCCGGCTTCCACACCTTCTGTCGCTGCTAAACCCACCGATGGAACCACTGCTGCTTCAACCACGTCAGCCTCTTCAACCCAGGGGGCTACCACCCTCACAGCATCGTCATCATCCTCCTCTTCCTCCCCTGAGCCAGGAGAAGCGAGTGCTTCAGGAGCTGGAGGCTGTAGTAGCAGCTCAACAACAACCGATGGGTGAAGCCCAGGAAACAGGCCCCTAATGCTCCAGCATCAGATCCTCTTCCATCAGGGTAAAAATCCCATTTAGATGCTAAGATCCTATCCAGATCCGTCTGACATCACTGCTGCCAAGCAAACATGAAAGAGGCGCATTCCAGAAGTAGATATAGTGACTTAATATCTCAATGTTTTTTTTTTATTATTGAAATTGTCTAGAGAGCTGTTCTAAACAACGTTTCTTTTTCTTTAGGCTTATGTATACAAAATGACAAATGTTAGCCCTGCTAATGTGAAAAAGCTAATGTTAGCCCTGCTGGAGGCTGCTGCAGCCCTCTGTCTGCATAGCTGAGAGTACCGCTTCTTCTGATGGCAATGCATTTTTTGTTGTATTTGGCAAATTGTTAATTTTGTCTGTGTTTATCTGACTGTGTTAAATATTATTCCCCCAATAAATGAAAAAAGTCATAATTTATTATAATCTAGAGACTATTAATAACAGGAGGTGAAATGCAGCTCCAGACTAGCTTTGAATGTGGTGATGTCATCAGTACGCTTCTGTTCCAATTAACCCAGATTATTCTGCGTGCTCCCGTTCCCCCAGAGTCCAGACTTTCCTGGGTTCTTCTCAAGAACAGACTTGGAGAGGACACGAGTCCATGCTCGCGTTCTTGTGAAAACACTGTTGTGATTTTATGTTCTTTTCTATTCCCAGCCAGCTGGGAATTTATCTTTCTGATACTTTAAGATGTTTATTGCCCTTCCCTGTAGGGGGGGTTAAATATATTATTTAATCAGATATTATTTTGGCTGTTATATATTGTTTATGACACACAGCCCTACTAGTGTTAGAACAATAAATGAAAGAGTGACACCTCTGTGACTTGCCTGTAACTGCTTTGGCTGAAAAGGGGGGGCTGCAGAAGTCCCCTAGCTGTTATTCACCAAAGCTGCATGTTCTCCTCTGGTCATTCTGTCAAGATGAAATATGGACACTGGTTCCCAATGTCCAAAAAGTATGATCACGCCATATGGCACAACAACAGCCACTATTTTTCGTGTGTGTTTGAAAGAGTTGAATTCCAACTCTGACGGTTTAACAATTTCCAAGACCAGCAGGGATTATCAGAGAGGATCATGGGGGCTCCTCTTCCCTCCGTTAAAGACATTTCATCCCAGCACTGCGTGTCCCTAGCCCGTAACATCATAAATGACCCCTCACCCCCCCACCATGGACTGTACTCCCTGCTGCCCTCTGGGAAGAGGCTTCACAGCATTCAATGCAGGACCAGCAGGTTCTGCAACAGCTTCTTCCCCACCATCAGACCGATGAATGTTCTGTAAAATGGGTTATTGTATTGTATTTTATCATTATATTTATTATATTTTATCATTATTTATATATATATATATATATATATATATATTAAAAAATGTTAGAACTGTTAATTTATAGTCATTTTTACTATTTTTCAAGGCTGCACTTGTAAAAGATGAAATTGTCCGGTGAGCTGTTTCCAAACGAAATTTCTTTTGTTTTACACATGTGTAAAGAAAATGACAAATAAAATCTGTCTAAAGTCTAATTATTACCCATATTAGCTTCCCCATGCCTATTGTTCCCTACCAGGAAGGATAATTGTCATTTAACTTAAAAGCGGAGCAATGCCTGAAGTTGCGATACACCAAGGTGTTCACCCTATGAAATATTCCTAGTAAGCTTGGTCTCTGGAAAAGAGGGATCTCAGCGGACTGTGTGGGTCGGCAGGCAGACTACAGCACAAGCGGATCCGCTTCTGCTCTGACCTCATAGTCTGCCCTTTATGGAAACCCTGTTTAACAGTTGCATGTTTAACCAAGGAAATGTGTAGACATGGTTGAGAAATGATGTCTGTTTGTGTTTCTGTGATGAGGCTGTGTGTTTCCTGGCAGGGTGAAGATCCTGTCGGTACCTGACCCCGGTGAGAGCCTGTTTAACAGCATCTCTGTTCGGTTCGTTGATATCGGAAAGGAAGTGGAGGTCAAATCCTATCAGGTCCTCGAGCTCCCAGAGCAGTTTCATTCTCTGCCCCACCAAGCTGTTGAGATAGTGGTGTGTGGGGTAAAGCCAGTCGATGCTGAGATGGAGTGGCATCCAAAGGTGCGTCTCTTTCTGCACACGTTATCAAGGCTTCATCAAATAACTTTTTATGTCCAGATTAACATCAACTTCCAGCTCCTTTTATGTTTAATTGTATCTTTCTTACTGCCAACTGATCTAAAAGGTAGCTGGTATCCTGTTGAGGTCCGAGACTCTGATTCCTCCATCTGTCTTCAGGAACTCCTTTAGACATCTGCAAAACACATTTTTCAAATGTCACCATTTTGATGTTTTGACAGGAAGTTGTTAAAGGGTGGAGCTAAGTGCATCCAAATAAAGAAAGGAACCTTGACTGTCCAAGCCAGGCATTCACTGTGCGATGTTTTCGATCTTTGCACTCCAGCTCAAACTGTTCAACGAAAAACCCAGGGGGAAAAGTTCTCCGCTCTCGATGTTTGTTCTTCCAACGTGCGGCCTGACGCTCTGATGCCATCTAAACTATTACACTGCACGTCCAAAATTCACACGTCGGAATGGGCGCCGAGAGATGGCGCAAAGTCGGACTCTTCAATCTGGAAGAACTTGTTTGCACAGTGCAAAAGGTTCTGGCAAATTGATGCGTAGCTCTGCTTTAACAGCAGGATTTGCCCAATAAATCAGTGTTTTTAATTCAGAGTAATTTTCATGTGAATGTGCTTTACTGGAGGCATCCATGTTTGTCAAAGAACACTACTGCCACCTACTGGTTTGTGACGTCACGGTGCGGTATCGGCTGTTGATCAAGCCCCAGTGCTGTATCTGGTGTTTGTCACAACGCGCTATTATCCAAGTCATCTTGAAAACATTCTTCTTCCAAATGTTGGCTACATATTACGTGTTTTTTCTCTGGCCAGAAGTTCGATGGCAAATCCTCCCTCTTCAAGTTGGCGATCCAACGACCAACCCGTCCGTGGAGGATCAGGAATCAGGAAGGTGGAATAACTTTTTCTTTTCCACTTTTACCCGATGTACTCCAGCATCCAGCTGCCATGCACGTGGGCATTGTCAGTTTCACTATAGCTCTGGTGAATTTCAATGGTGAAGTCCTCTGGAAATCTTCAATAATTGTTGTTGATTGCAGATGTGTCTAGTAGTTCCCATTGATTTTGCTTGTAAAGCGGGGAGAATGGCGCTAGGCTTACCGCACCGTGACGTCACTGCTGGAAGATGGCAGGAGGGAGAGGCTACTATATTTGGGAAAAATGGCCGCTCCCAGACTCGGTGATCATGACGAAAATTATTGTTTTTATTAATTTTTTTGTGATTAACACTTTTCCTTTAACGCCTCACGAGGATTTCAAGCATGTTTGATTTTGTCCAGATCTTACGTGTGATCTTTAGAGTCTAATTCCTCCCTCGTTACCATCTGTATGCTACACGACGCACAATGAGGCTGAGATTTGGGACGATCCAGAAAGATTCTGACATGACTTGATAATCAGCCCGAAAATGGCAAAAACTTTTACAGTGTATGCCCAACCTAAATGACAGATTAATATACAAAAGTAAAGAATGAGTTGTTTAGTTCAGGGTGTGACCGTCAGAGGGTGGAGTGGAGGTACGGTCTGTTTATGTATTGTAGCATCAGAGTGAGGTGGTCTTTGTCAAAATAAAGCTTCTACACAATAGATGTTTGAAGTATTCACAGACGAGGACGGTTCATAATTTGCAGAGAACTCTATTGTTTTTCCCCACAGGTCACAAGAGCCATCAGCCAGAAAATCCGGGGTCTGCAGCATCGAGCGGGAGTTGTTCTGAGCCTGGGAAACACGCTTTTTGTCCATCACATGGTAACTTTGTCATTCAGGGTTGCTAAAATAGTTTTATCTGTTTCTCAGAAACAGATTTATTCCCCACGGTTAAATGCTGAGACGATGGCTTTTACCGTTTTCTTTCAAGGTGGTTTGAGTAACGTGGTAAAGCAAGAGCAGCTGAGTCACTCTCAGATTTGATGTTCTCTCCCTAAGGTGCGGGTTACTAAGATGGCAGGCACCAGAGCCCTCATCAATGAGTACAGCCTTCAGTCTGAGATCCTGAAGACCGGGATGGGAGTTAGCAACCCCGAGCATCTGGATGTACTAAGAGAACTGCTTCAGGACAGTGTGGTCAACCAAACCAAGGATGGAGGTCCCACTAACAGGTAGGAAAAGATTGTCTAAGAAAGAGGCCGCTGGGCAGCAGTCAGATTTAAGATGGACAACAACATCTGTGCTCTGGTTCTCAGAACGATGGCTGGCTTCCTGTCAGAGGAAGAGATGCTGACTGCAGAGTTCAGAGACCATGAGAAACATGAAGCTTTAGATCCTTATCAACTGACGTTAGATCCATCTGGACCCATGCCTCCTCCAAAAAGGTCCACAGTGCCGGAACCAGAAGAACCTGAAGCTCCACGGCTCCCGGTTCCCACCCAGACGCCTCTGCTGCACAGGGGAACAGACGGCGAACAGAGAAACCGCCGCCTGCTGGAGGAGACGATGAGATCAGATGAAAGGTCAGCCTCCCAGCAGAGTAGAGCCAAGCAATACTGCTAGCGCAATATCTAGCTGGCTTTTTAGCTTCTCTCCTCACAGAGAAACGGATTTATTTTCACAGTGACAAAGACTGCAGAGAAACGGACGAAGCCGACGCTGCTGCCTCTGTGAGCCTTCATAAAAACGGTAAAACAGTTTAAACTGTCAGCTTTCTGTTCTTCAAGCTTCATTTCTTTGTTAGCTTTTAGCTTGCTTGTTGATGTTCTGTTTTTTTACGGACAGTTTGTTTTCATTTGTCTCCATCCTGAAAATGGCTTATACTTTAGATAAACATACCGTAAATTCTCTAATATTGGCCTGTATTCCAATAGCGGCCGGGTCTCTAATAATGGCCGGTCTCGCTGTCAGAGGAGGTAAATAATGGCTGGTCTCTAAATGGTAAATGGTAAATGGCATGTACTTATATAGCGCCTTTATTCAAGTTAGGAGACTTGACCAAAGCGCTTTACACTACATTCATTCACCCATTCACACACACACTCACACACTGATGGTGGCAAGCTACATTGTAGCCACAGCTGCCCTAGGGCTCACTGACAGAAGCGAGGCTGCCGTACACTGGCGCCACCGGGCCCTCTATCCACCATCAGTAGACAATGCTGGTGAAGTGTCTTGCCCAAGGACACAACGACAATGAAAGTCGGAGTCGGGGCTTGAACCGTCAACCCTTCGATTACAGGGCAAACTCCTCCATCCAACGCCACTGTCGCCCTAAAATACAGGCCGGGGCTATAAACGTTTTTTCTGGGCATACCTCAACATTATACTTGTGGTAGTAACATACAAGTACCACAGCCCTGCGCAGCTGGACGACAAGCCCTGCTGCTGCCCGTCTGCGCGAGGAAGAGAACAGACACGCAGCAGAACAGGAGGAGCAGCGCGAGTGATGAGGAGAATAAAGGGAGAGATGAAGAGGAGGAGGAAACTGAGGAGGAGAATTAAACAGAATTGGAGGATTTTTATGTTTTTTTTTTTACTTCAAACCAAGCGAGACATGGTAACTGTACTTTTTCAATAAATGAACCTAGTGTTTTATAGGTTCAAATAGACACAAAATCTCATTTTTATTCATTCCACTGGTAGTCTGTTTTGCTCAAATAGCAATAGAGGCCTGTCTCTAATACTGGCCTCTATCCAATAAAGGCCTGGACCGCGATGCACTTGAGTGAAATAAAGGCCCGGGCCTATATTAGAGAATTTACGGTAGTTACCATTGAGTTAACAGCTGTTTGTTTCCCCAGGCATGGCGGACGGTGACGAGCACGTTGTGTCCGCTGGTGGAGAAGTCTGCAATAAGAGGTGAAAAATAACTGGACTGTTCTGCTAAATCATAAGAACAGGAAAAGGAAGGACCAGATTTTTCATGTGCTTAAATAACAATGAGTTGTGTCTCATGAAAACGTAATGGGCTGGTTATCGTCCCTCAGCAGTGTGTCACAGATATTTTTGATTTATGCCCAATATTGAAGCGTGGTCTGCGCTATGTTATTCCACGCCACAACACCAGAGGGCCAATCAGGAACTTGCTGTGGGTCTAGATACGGCCGAGGCGGTGAGGAAGTGGGGGCAGGTTTGTGCAACAACGGAGGAAGATGAGGGCCAAAAAGAGCGGGGATCAAGGTGGAAAAAGATCTCGCGAGCTTTCAAGGTTTCACTCGCAGATCAGTCTGGAGACTTTCCGTTAAAGAAAATTTGGAGCCGTTCACCAAACGAACATCCAATCAGCGTTGGCTTTGAGGCGGGTTGAGGTGTGACGCAACGAGAAGCACGACAGTTCAGTCTAAAGAACATGGCGGCTTCAGCCGATGAAACTAGCGTTAGCGTGGCTATCGAGCAAGTTTTATCGGAATTACAGAGTATTTCTTCACTGAAAGAAGAGCAAAACACTGCTCTGGAGGCTTTTCTCAGAGGAAAAGATGTTTTTGCTCTTCTCCCGACTGGTTTAGGCAACAGTTTGATCTATCAATTGGCTCCTCTTCGTCGTTGCTCTGTTACGTCATATGCTTCGTTGATCTGATTGGTTTATTTGGCCCGTCTATCACCAACATAGGCCAATCAGCTAACCAGTATTTTCGCCCCTTCACAAAATTACTTCAACGGAAGGTTTCCAGATGGATATGCGGAGCAACTCCATCTGGCGGAGTCAGGTTAGGAAAAAGGCTCCCAGCGTTCTCGCGCACCTCGCTCTTCTAGCTGTTCCATCTTCACCAGTCGTTTTCCATAATGGCGGTCAGACAAACAAAACCAGCCGTTAAGGTACCAAACAGGAAATACGCATAGTGTAGAGCGGATGGAGATCTGACCAATCAGAGGCCTCCTGTCTGTGGTCACCTACAGTTTTGGAGAGGAGCAGCAGAGTGTCTGGGGAGGGGGCGGGGCATATCTGCGTGCTCTGCGACACAAACGCAGATGACCTGGTTTCTGAATATAAATCAGCCATAAAGCTACGTTCAGACCGCTAGCAGCAGAAGCAGCAGGTTTACATGCAAAGTCAATGGTTGACGCGCATCAAGGTGCAGCAAAAGGTCCCACAGCGTCTCATGAGCATCTGACGCCTGTGACTCAGTTTATTAATGCCGGAATTAACTTAAAATGTAGAAACCTGCCGGCAGAATATGTTCGCTTTTATTATCCTGCTGCTTCCAGTTTGGATTACGTACATGAAAAACGCCTTAAAGCCGCCACCAACAGTAGAGGAAAACCCCCAAGAGGTGAGCGGGCCTCAGGCAGCTGCTGCTGGGGATTCCCAGTGACAGCGCACCGCCGGTATGTGGGGGTCTGAGCGGCTCCCACAGAGAAATAATCTTTGAAGGCAGGATGGTAATCTGGATGAACTGACTGCACAGACCATGTTTTCAGAAAGACTTTCTCACTTAAACATAGATTCTAACTACTTTTTACCCGCTGATCACAGCAAACATAGCTGCCATTGTTCCAGGAAAAGAAAGGATAGGTCAGCTCCGTCCAACGCGCATCTTTGATGCTCCAGCTGCGTGTCAGAAATAAACTTGGACAAGTTTTAAAAATGAAGCAGTACGGGCGTTTCTGGTGCTCCTGCTGTCTGAATGTAGCATAACTCTGAAGGAAATGTTCTACGTATTTTTTTTCTCTGGTTGCTTTTCAGTTTTTCCCCTCAAGTCGTCTGGTTCCAGACCTGCGACTCTGTCATCGTAACAGTGAAGCTGATGAACCCAGAGGTTCAGCAGTGCGATTTCTACACCGACAGAGTCGTTTACAGGTCAGTCAGGATGGCCGTCTGTCCACAACTCTCTATGCTAGCTGTGGTTCTCTGTTCAGTGTTCCTGATTAAACTCTGAAGACCAGTTGATAAAAACGTAAGAATGTGAATCTTTTGGGGTTTTATGTTAAGGAGGTTGCTGCCCAGAGCTGGCTGGGTCAGTAAGCTCTGTTTCTTTAAATCTAACTGCTGTGTGTCCTCCTGAAATACTTCCACAGTAACGATTGTTTTAAAAATGTAAGGAATAGAAAGTACAGATACTTGTGTGAAAATGTAATGATTAGAAGTCAGAAGTAGGAAGAAAAATAAGTAATGGAGTAAAGTATAGATACCTAGAAAGTGTACTTAAGCACAGTACCAAAGTATTTGTACTTCGTTATTTGATACCTTTGAGAAGGAGGATTTTAAATTCTATTCTGGATTTAACAGCAAGCCAATGAAGAGAAGCCAGGATAGGAGAGATAGGATCTGTTTTAAAAGTATTTTAGATATATTTTAATATATATTTTACTCAAACTCTGATTTAAAGTAGTTACTGTTGTAATTGTGTCCAGTGGCAGAGTGAACGGTCGATCCTATAGGGCTGACCTGGAGCTTCACCAGAACATAGCCGCTGACGCTTGCCACTGGGAGATGAAGTCCAATCAGCCCATTCTTAAACTGGTGAAACAGGAGCCGGGATACTGGGAGAGACTGGTCAGGGGGAAGGTACTGTAATCCTGTCCAGTGTTGAACAGAAACTTTACTGTTAAACAAGTAATTTTCCTCAACATTGGGCTTGAATCCCACAGAATATTTTCGTAAGTTTTGACATGGACCATGTTGATGAAAAGGAAGATGAGTCATCAGGCGGTAAGACAGAGAATGTCTGAAAAAGGAGAGCTGTGATGTCCTCCTGGAGCCGCTGCAGATGATTGCTTTGTTTTATTTCCAGGACTGCGGTTTGTTGAAAGCCCTGAAGCAGGAAGCTGCTACTTGAGCTCTGACAGCGACAGCGACTGAAAGCCAGACTTTGTCTCCTTATTTACATTTATATTTTAGACATTTTTCAGTCTTTATGTTGCTTTGGTTTGACTCTAGTTCTTTAATTACATTTGAAGGATTTTTCAGTTTAATAAATGTTTAAAATCCTTTATCCTTCATCTTTTTTCATTAAATGTTCATAAATAAAGAGTTGAATGTCGATTTGTTCTGTTTGGCTTGGTGTTTATTTAATTTAATTTATTTCTATAGCATCATTTCACATCATGTCATCCCAAGGCACTTTACAGATACAATTCAACCAGATCATCCAGTCAGATTGATTAAAAGTTTTCTATCTAAGGTAAACCAGCTGATTGCATCGACTCATTGACTCTTCAGCAATCCCTCACACTAAGCATGCTTGTAGCGACAGTGGAGAGTAAAACTCCCTTTGAACAGGAAGAAACCTCCAGCAGAACCAGGCTCAGTGTGAGCGGCCATCTGCTGAGGCCGACTGGGGTTCAAGGAGACTGAAACAGACATAGAAAAAGAATCATAGATACAAAAGGCAACTGTCAACCAGCTCCACAGGCGGCCCTGTCCAGGAAACACACAGCCAGGCAGACGAGCTCCGAGCCAGCTCCCATGTCAGAGGATGAAGAGAGCACATCCAGTTAGTCACAGTCAGAGAAACAGGACTACACTGGAAAACAGGCCAAGCTCCAACATCTAGAAACAAAGGCGTTGATGGCAGCAGCACAGCTGATATTTCTCTCCAGGATGGAGTCACAGCCAAACAGGAACAGACCAGATGAAGCTACTATGAGAAAAAGCAGAGAGCAGAACGTTAGAGATTGAACTAATAGATTCTGCAGAGTGGGAGAATAGAGATAGAATGAAGCAGAATGATGAAATAGGGGTCCCTATGTCCTCCAGCAGTCTAAGCCTATAGCAGCATAACTATAGAGATAGCTCAGGATAACCTGAGCCACTCTAACTATAAGCTTTATCAAAAAGGAAAGTTTTAAGCCTAGCCTTAAAAGTAGACAGGGTGTCTGCCTCACGGACTAAAACTGGTAGTTGGTTCCACAGGAGAGGAGCCTGATAACTAAAAGATCTGCCTCCCATTCTACTTTTAGAAATTCTAGGAACCACTAGTAAACCTGCAGATTGAGAGCAAAGTGCTCTGTTAGGAACATAAGGAACAATCAGATCTCTGATATCAGATGTAGCTTGGCCATTTAAGGCTTTATATGTGAGAAGGAGGATTTTAAATACAGGAAGCCAATGAAGAGAAGCAGATATAGGAGAGATATGATCTCTGTTTTTCATCAGAACTCTGACTGCAGCATTTTGGATCAGCTGAAGGCTTTTAACTACAGTTTGTGGACTTCCTGATAGTAAAGAATTACAATAGTCCAGCCTTGAAGTAACAAATGCATGGACTAGTTTCTCAGCATCACCCCTGGACAGGATGTTTCTCATTTTTGCAATATTCCTCAGATGAAAGAAGGGAATTCTAGAAACCTCTTTGATATGGGATTTAAATGACAGGTCCTGATCAAAAACAACACCAAGATATTTTACTTTATTTTCTGAAATCAGTTTAATCCCATCCAAATGAAGTGACTGGCTAATCAGCTTCTTTTTCAGAGACTCTGGTCCAAAGACTATAACTTCTGTTTTGTCTGCATTCAGAAGCAGAAAGTTAAGAGTCATCCAGGTTTTTATGTCTTCAGACATGCCTGTAATCTATGTAATGGGTTAGCTTCATCTGGATTTATAGACAGATATAGCTGGGTATCATCAGCATAACAGTGGAAATTAATCCCATGCTGTCTAGTAACTACCGATTGGGAGCATATATAATGTAAAGAGAATTGGTCCTAGCACTGATCCCTCTGGTACGCCTCAGATTTTTCACTAACTTGAACAAACTGAATTCGATCAGATAGCTCAGATTTAAACCAGTCTAGTGCTGCTCCTTTAATTCCAACAAAATATTCAAGTCTTTCTAAAAGAATATTATGGTCAACTGGATCAAATGCAGCACTGAGATCCAACAAGACGAGCACATACAAGCCCATTATCTGAGGCCATGAGAATATCATTAGTGACTTTCACCAGAGCTGTTTCAGTGCTATGATGAGCTCTAAAGCCAGACTGAAACTCTTAAAAAGTTCATTATGGTGGAAGTGATCGCACACTTGTTTGACAACTACTTTCTCAAGAAGTTTAGATAAGACAGGAAGATTGGATATAGGTCTATAATTGACCAAGTCATCTGGGTCAAGAGACGGTTTCTTAAGAAAAGGTTTAATTCCAGCAACCTTATAAGCCTTTGATACATGACACTGTGGAGTCTTTCCGCTTCCTGGGAACTATCATCTCTCAGGACCTAAAGTGGGAGCTGAACATCGACTCCCTCACCAAGAAAGCCCAGCAGAGGATGTACTTCCTGCGGCAGCTGAAGAAATTCAACCTGCCCAGGACAATGATGGTGCAGTTCTACTCCTCCATCATTGAGTCCATTCTCACTTCCTCCATCACCATCTGGTACGCTGGTGCCACCGCTAAGGACAAGAGCAGACTGCAGTGTGTCATCCGGTCTGCAGAGAAGGTGATTGGCTGCAACCTCCCATCTCTCCAGGAGCTGCACGCCTCCAGGACTCTGAGGCGTTCAGGGAAGATGGTGGCTGATCCCTCGCACCCCAGTCACAAACTATTTCAGTCACTACCCTCTGGCAGGAGGCTGCGGTCCATCAGGACCAGAACCTCCCGTCACAAAAACAGTTTTTTCCCATCTGCTATCGGCCTTATCAACAAGGCCAAGACCCGCCCGTGACACTGAACAATGTTTCTCTCCCCCATTCAGGATTTCTGCGTTACATTAACGCACAGTCTACTGTTTGTATATAGCTTGTGTGTATATATATATATATATATATATATATATATATATATATATATATATATATATATATATATATATATATATCTATTCTATCTTATTTTGTGGTTTTGTTTTGTTTTTTGTCTGCACCAACAACACCAAGTCAAATTCCTTCCACGTGCAAACCTACTTGGCAATAAACTTGATTCTGATTCAAGATCCAAAGTATGAAGATGAGAATGTGTTGGGCTATTCATATTTTGAACAAAGCCAATAGCGTCTAAGAAAGCATTAATGGCTGCTCTTAAGCTATCGCCTTCAATGTTAGCATGGATGTTAAAATCTCCCACTATGATGCCCTGTCCTGGTCTGCACCCTGGGTGGTCAGGGTTTTGGAGGACTAATAAATGTGGCCAGATTCCTAGAAAGAAGAGCTGCACCATCCAAAGTGGGATGGATGTCGTCTCTCTGAATCAGACTAGGCTTTCCCGAAAAGGATTGCCAATTATTAATGCAGCCCACGTTGTTTTCAGGACACCACCTAGACCAGAGGTCTTCAACGTTTTCTAGGCCAAGGACCCCCGAACTGATGGCGAGATGGAGCAGGGACCCCCTAATTATATATATCGTATGAAATTATGTTATATTGGGATTATTAGAGTATTTCTGATTCTTGGTTGATGGGACAGGTGTTGGGAATGAAATGGTGCCCAGCTTGAAAGAGCTCCTGGGTGTCGTTGAATGTGTGCCTACAGTGTGTTTTAAAGACATTGCAATTAGTGGAAACAATTTCAGGGGTGAATATAAAAGAAAATCTTAATCCACTAAATCTTTCGCGACCCCCATGCAGTACCTCTGTGGAGCCCCTAGGGGTCGGGGCCCCCCTGTTGAAGACCTCTGACCTAGACAACCACCGGTTGAATGACGACATGCGGCTAAACATGTCATCACTGGTCAGATCATGGAGGGGACCAGAGAAAATTAGTCTGACATTGCTTTGGCAAAATTACACATAGAAGCAACAGTAATTTTAGTGACCTCCGATCGGCGTAACCGGGTGTCATTACCACCAGCGTGAATAACAATCTTACTGTATTTAACCTTATCCTTAGCCAGCAGTTTCAAGGAGGATTTGATGTCACCCGTTCTGGCCCCCGGCAAACATTTGACTATGGTCCCTGGTGATTTGATGTCACCCGTTCTGGCCCCCGGCAAACATTTGACTATGGTCCCTGGTGTCTCTAATGCCACGATTCTGACTATGGAACTGCCAATCACCAGAGTGGGCTTTTCAGTGGGTGTGTCACTGAGTGGGGAAAACCGGTTAGAAACGTGAACCGTGTGAAACTGACAAGTGCTCAGTAGAAAAGTGCAGCAGAAGGCGTTATGTTTTAAAGTGGTTTTAAAGTGGTTCTGGTCAGTTAGAGTTAGTTTGATACAGAGATATCGCAGAAAAAATTACTTTAATTCAGACGGAGATAGTCTGGACAGTAACAACGCTGCTCAACAGTCAAAACAGGAAGTGAACATGATACGTCTCACCAACAACAGTAAACACACAGCCAGGCAGAAGAGCTCCAAGCCAGCTCCCATGTCAGAGGATGAAGAGAGCACATCCAGTTAGTCACAGTCAGAGAAACAGGACTACACTGGAAAACAGGCTGTTCTATTCTACATATGCAGTGTATTTATATCCCTAAAAACACTGCACAGTTTTATTTTTTACTCTGTCACTTACTGTCTTATTTTTATACACTTTTAAGGTCCACAGCTGTGTGACCACTTTAGCAGTAATCTTTAGCTGCTGTAACACAATTTACCCATTATGGGACAATAAAGACAATTTGTATTCTATATAGGCCTTATTTATATATATATATATATTTATATATAAATAAATACATTTATATAAATAAATATATAAAAAATGTTTATTCAGTAATGTTTAACAAAGCTCTGCTGTTACAGTCCGTCATTTACACAAAGCAGGTTAGGGTAGCAGGTAGACCTCCCCAAGAAGGCGCCCGTAATTTCTGTGCTACAACAGTAAATGCTGAGTCTATTCTTATATGTATGTGTGTGAGGACCATCTCAGCTCCTGAAATAGGACACACACTTGGAAGTTGTTTTTTTTCCGTCATTCCTTTTTCATATATCGTTTCTCCTGACTGCTTTGCTTCAGTGATCTTTAGATGGATGGAAATAAAATCCAAACCGTTGACTCCATAGCATTCTCTGCAGCAGAAATCCAGTATTCCTCTGAAAGGTCTTCCCAATTGTAGTGTGAAATTTTATTTTTATTTTTTCCTGCGCTTGTTTTGATATAACTTGGATGAATGTTTTGGGTAGTTGTTGTTGGACCTAATTTTCTTTTTTACTTTGTCCATTTGAACTTTATTTTATTCTTAAATGTATATATATTTTTTGTGTTATTTGCAGAGTTTATTTATGGGTTAGTTGTTGAATTTGTGTATTTGTTTGTTGTTTTGTCATTTTTCTTTCTTTATTAAGTAAAACAGGAAGAAATGTGGGCGGTCCACTTTCTATAAATGTAGGAGCCTGGTAAGGACCAGCAGGCATTTGGGTTAGGGGCCTATGGTTTTTATCAGTGCAAGAGAGGTGACAGAGCAAGGGAAAGTTTGAACTCTGTAATGTTGCTAAACATAGGAAATAAATCAACTGAACATCTACAAGTTTGGACTTCAACTTCTTTTGCCTGCGTCAAGAAAACATGACGCCTGTGCCTAAGTGGAACTTTATTGGATGTTTAGTGTGACAAACAATCGCCACTACAGTTGTGTTTCTGTAGAATGATCCTCTGACTGCAGAATTCTGCAGTAGCCGCTTTGGTCACTGACCCAGATCATCATACAGGCTTCTTTGTCTTATTCTGGGATCTTAACTCTTGCGTTCTTGCTGCAGTCTTCTTCAGGATACAGCTGCTATATGAAGGTATTCACTGCTGTCCCTGAAGCTGCTCATCATACGGTCTGCAAACTCTCAGAATCCTGTCTTCTACAGATGTGGCTTTGCATCATCCAGACCTTTTTCTGTCAGGATTTCCCCACTTTTCCAGTGATGATAAAGAAAATGGTAGAATTCAAATTTACCCAAAAATTGATTCCACGGTTTCCGTTTGAACTTCACTTGCTTATTTGTACAATGCTTTCATTTTAGACAGCAACGAAACATTAAACTGACTAATCTATGTTACGCTTGTCTTTTTAGGGTGAAGGTTGCCCTTTAAAGTGGGGGGGAAAGGAGTGATTGCTGCTCTTAGAGGATTAGGATTAGCAATAATTGTTTCCCTAATTATAATCTAAAGTAAAAATAACACTGAAAATGTAGATGAAAAAATATAAAAAGTAAATAAAGTGTTTTTACTATTATAAATTGTAACTGTGGACATTTTTACAGTATAAAATGTGAGTGGCTGTGCTTTGCAACGTGAATCCATCCTATCAGATTATTTCCCACTAAGAATATTTAAAATAAACTGAAACATTTGTTTGTTTTCAGCATAAAAAAATAAAACTGAAAATTGGTTCAATATTCAGAAAGTTAAAGTTGATTAAAACTGATTCTGTGAGCAGAGCTGAGACCGCCCTAAGATGGCGTCCATGCGGGCCTATGGGTGACATCATGGCGGAGGCTCTGGATGTTCTGCTCTGTGACCAGTAGGGGGCAGTATAACCTTAGCAGGGTAAACAGGAAAGCCCAGCTCCAGTTGAGCTCCTGTCACTGGTTCCACTGGTTCATATGGTCAGTCGCTTTGATCCGGGTAACTTTAGAAGTTTTTTCCAGCGGAGCTCCAGCGTCTTGATGAAAAGCTCCCCTTCCGGTGAGGAGGCAGCCTGACGCCGCAGCTGCTCAGCGGCCCGCAGGTCGGAGCTCCTGGGAGGCTTTGGCTCCAACATGCGGCTAAGCTGAGGGGCCTCCATCGCTGCAGGTAACCCCCCACTGAGAGTCTCTGACTCCGGGCCCCACCTTCCTGCCAGCGGCTGAAGAAGCTAATGCTAATGCTAACATGGCTGACCTGATGCGGGCCTTTCATCTCTGGCTTTAATTCACCTGCGGCCTATCAAAGAGGAATGTTTGTTTCCGACGGAAGTTGTTCCTCTGCTACTACCAGCTGACTGCCGCGTGACTCGATGAGCAGGTTGGTGGTAGAAGATGAGCAGCGCCCCCCCCAGCAGACTGAGCATCTATACTGGGACACAGGGACGGATATAGGAAATCTGGGATCCTAGGCAAAGACAGGCAGGGGGCCCTTCAGAATTCAGAAGACAACACATAGATCAGACCCATTATCCAGATAGAGAAATGTTAATAGAATAGACATCCATTATCTGTTCTAGGTTTTGTCCCTCTCTTCTTGTCCCTTTTCTTCTTGCTTTCCTCTCTATGTTTTGTACTCAGCTGACTTTTCATGCTGTCTCTAAAGGAATGAAAGATTTTTTCCAAGCACTAAGCTCACTTAGGGGATTGCTCCTTCCTGTGTTTCCAAAAAGGCCAAAGTAAATAACCCAGTCCTTCTTTTCACTGTAGACAAGCCATGATCTGCTTATCTGTTCTCCTTTTTTCATTTGGATGAAATAACAGCTGCATGAATCATGACAGCAGACAAGATAGAGGAGAGCAGGAGGCGGGGTTACCAATCTACTTGCTCTGGAGAGCAGAGTTCGCTGCTTTTAGATGTTGTCTCCAAAGTCTCCAGTAGCAGTAAAAAGTCGCTAGATTTGGCGCTAGGAGCTTTTTAGAAATCAAAGTTCTAGAGGGGTCTGAAAAGTGGCTAAATATAGCGACTAAAGCGCTAAGTTGGCAACACTGCTCTTTGCATGGTTTGTTTTCAAATGGTTTGCTGCTGTCTGTTTGGACCTTTCTGAACATGTGCAGCAAATGGACTGATCCAATATGGTGGACACTGAAGGGGGGGCTGAGACACACTTAATATTATCAGCGTTCTGATGGCATTTTAGCCAAAGGATTTTTATTAAAAACATAATTAATGTGCAGAAATAAGGAATAGTTGTATTAACCATACATGGAAACAGAGTTTTATGGGGTCCCCAGGAACATGGGGCCCTAAGCAGCTAACAAGTTTTGCCTAATGGGAAATATTCCCTCAATCATTTAGATGTTATTCATTATTCACTGCTGATGTTTGCTTTATGCTCCGCTCATCCGCTCAGTCTAAATATGTCATGTTTATCGTGCAGGCCCCTCTGGGGGCCGCGAGCGTGTTGACTGACTTTCCACACTGTGCAACTAGGAACATCTAAGACCACAGAGATGGTCACATGACGGCGTGCCTTTAGAACACGCTTGGCACTGGATGCCTTAAACATCAAATTAATCAAGGTTTTTAATCTGAATTTTAAACACATCCTGTTTCACATGAATTTCTTTTCAAATTATTGAATAAATGTTGATTGCAGATTAAATTTAGGCTAGAATTTATACAAAAAGCTTTTTTAAAAATGTTTACATTTAATGATGAAAAGGCATCTAAAGCAGTCTGGTAACTAAAAAATGTTTATATAAAACCCAAAGTAAATTAGCCTAAATGTATAATAAAGTATTAGAGCCAGGCTAGAGATTTTTTTATTTTTTATTACGAGAATAAAGTCATCATTCAATAACCCGTTAATACCAATAATACTCCATTATTTAAAAGGATCAAAGCTTTTGAAACCTGTGTTTAAACTCACTATCAAATTGCACACATTGTGATTAAGATCCAAAAAACTCCTCATTCGGAACATGGCAATAAAAACACGACTACTGGCAGAGAGCAGCGCAGTGGAAACTGGTTTTCTCCTTCAATTTTCAGTTCCTTTAGCAGAAACGGGAAGAAGTTTGCATCTAAGTTTGCATCTAAGCTGTTTGCTTTGAGTTTATGATGTCTGTCATGTGACTCAGTCCCAGTTTCATGGGCGCTCGGTCTCCTGACAGGGGCCTGAGTGGGGGGGGAGTGCAGCTGGGTGAGGCTGCAGCTGATCTGGGAGCGAGGTGAGCAGGTGAGGCTGCAGATGGGGAGGATCCAGAGGTCAAAGGTCAGGATCCAGACGTTTTTAATGTTTGCTTTGTTTCTGGGATGGAAAGTCTGCAGGCAGACATTATTTCAGTAATCCACTCGTCTATATATTCATTTTCTAATTCACAGAAATATTAAAAAAGAGACGCTTTTGGTGAATTCACACACCTCAATAAACAAGTGATTAAAAACGGTTTAAATGAAGTCATTTAAGAGAAACGCTTTTATGTTCAGAAAAGCTCTACTTGAGATCTAGATAGAACAAATCTACAGACCTCCAGCGGTTCTAGATGAAGCAGGTCTACAGACCTCCAGAGGTTCTAGATGAAGCAGGTCTACAGACCTCCAGCGGCTCTAGATGAAGCAGGTCTACAGACCTCCAGCATTTCTAGATGAAGCAGGTCTACAGACCTCCAGCGGCTCTAGATGAAGCAGGTCTACAGACCTCCAGCGGGTCTAGATGAAGCAGGTCTACAGACCTCCAGCGGTTCTAGATAAAGCAGGTCTACAGACCTCCAGCGGCTCTAGATGAAGCAGGTCTACAGACCTCCAGCGGTTCTAGATGAAGCAGGTCTACAGACCTCCAGCGGCTCTAGATGAAGCAGGTCTACAGACCTCCAGCATTTCTAGATGAAGCAGGTCTACAGACCTCCAGCGGCTCTAGATGAAGCAGGTCTACAGACCTCCAGCGGGTCTAGATGAAGCAGGTCTACAGACCTCCAGCGGTTCTAGATAAAGCAGGTCTACAGACCTCCAGCGGCTCTAGATGAAGCAGGTCTACAGACCTCCAGTGGTTCTAGATGAAGCAGGTCTACAGACCTCCAGCGGTTCTAGATGAAGCAGGTCTACAGACCTCCAGCGGTTCTAGATGAAACAGGTCTACAGACCTCCAGCGGCTCTAGATGAAGCAGGTCTACAGACCTCCAGCATTTCTAGATGAAGCAGGTCTACAGACCTCCAGCGGCTCTAGATGAAGCAGGTCTACAGACCTCCAGCGGGTCTAGATGAAGCAGGTCTACAGACCTCCAGCGGTTCTAGATAAAGCAGGTCTACAGACCTCCAGCGGCTCTAGATGAAGCAGGTCTACAGACCTCCAGCGGTTCTAGATGAAGCAGGTCTACAGACCTCCAGCGGCTCTAGATGAAGCAGGTCTACAGACCTCCAGCATTTCTAGATGAAGCAGGTCTACAGACCTCCAGCGGCTCTAGATGAAGCAGGTCTACAGACCTCCAGCGGGTCTAGATGAAGCAGGTCTACAGACCTCCAGCGGTTCTAGATACAGCAGGTCTACAGACCTCCAGCGGCTCTAGATGAAGCAGGTCTACAGACCTCCAGCGGTTCTAGATGAAGCAGGTCTACAGACCTCCAGCGGTTCTAGATGAAGCAGGTCTACAGACCTCCAGCAGCTCTAGATGAAGCAGGTCTACAGACCTCCAGCGGTTCTAGATGAAGCAGGTCTACAGACCTCCAGCGGCTCTAGATGAAGCAGGTCTACAGACCTCCAGCGGGTCTAGATGAAGCAGGTCTACAGACCTCCAGCGGTTCTAGATAAAGCAGGTCTACAGACCTCCAGCGGCTCTAGATGAAGCAGGTCTACAGACCTCCAGCGGTTCTAGATGAAGCAGGTCTACAGACCTCCAGCGGCTCTAGATGAAGCAGGTCTACAGACCTCCAGCATTTCTAGATGAAGCAGGTCTACAGACCTCCAGCGGCTCTAGATGAAGCAGGTCTACAGACCTCCAGCGGGTCTAGATGAAGCAGGTCTACAGACCTCCAGCGGTTCTAGATAAAGCAGGTCTACAGACCTCCAGCGGCTCTAGATGAAGCAGGTCTACAGACCTCCAGCGGTTCTAGATGAAGCAGGTCTACAGACCTCCAGCGGTTCTAGATGAAGCAGGTCTACAGACCTCCAGCGGTTCTAGATGAAGCAGGTCTACAGACCTCCAGCGGCTCTAGATGAAGCAGGTCTACAGACCTCCAGCATTTCTAGATAAAGCAGGTCTACAGACCTCCAGCGGGTCTAGATGAAGCAGGTCTACAGACCTCCAGCGGTTCTAGATGAAGCAGGTCTACAGACCTCCAGCGGTTCTAGATGAAGCAGGTCTACAGACCTCCAGCGGTTCTAGATGAAGCAGGTCTACAGACCTCCAGCGGTTCTAGATGAAGCAGGTCTACAGACCTCCAGCGGCTCTAGATGAAGCAGGTCTACAGACCTCCAGCATTTCTAGATGAAGCAGGTCTACAGACCTCCAGCGGCTCTAGATGAAGCAGGTCTACAGACCTCCAGCGGGTCTAGATGAAGCAGGTCTACAGACCTCCAGCGGTTCTAGATAAAGCAGGTCTACAGACCTCCAGCGGCTCTAGATGAAGCAGGTCTACAGACCTCCAGCGGTTCTAGATGAAGCAGGTCTACAGACCTCCAGCGGCTCTAGATGAAGCAGGTCTACAGACCTCCAGCGGCTCTAGATGAAGCAGGTCTACAGACCTCCAGCGGTTCTAGATGAAGCAGGTCTACAGACCTCCAGCGGCTCTAGATGAAGCAGGTCTACAGACCTCCAGCGGCTCTAGATGAAGCAGGTCTACAGACCTCCAGCGGCTCTAGATGAAGCAGGTCTACAGACCTCCAGCGGCTCTAGATGAAGCAGGTCTACAGACCTCCAGCGGTTCTAGATAAAGCAGGTCTACAGACCTCCAGCGGCTCTAGATGAAGCAGGTCTACAGACCTCCAGCGGCTCTAGATGAAGCAGGTCTACAGACCTCCAGGGGCTCTAGATGAAGCAGGTCTACAGACCTCCAGCGGCTGTAGGTGAAGCAGGCCTACAGACCTCCAGCGGCTCTAGATGAAGCAGGTCTACAGACCTCCAGCGGCTCTAGATGAAGCAGGTCTACAGACCTCCAGCGGCTCTAGATGAAGCAGGTCTACAGACCTCCAGCGGCTCTAGATGAAGCAGGTCTACAGACCTCCAGCGGCTCTAGATGAAGCAGGCCTACAGACCTCCAGCGGCTCTAGATGAAGCAGGTCTACAGACCTCCAGCGGCTCTAGATGAAGCAGGCCTACAGACCTTCAGCGGCTCTAGATGAAGCAGGCCTACAGACCTTCAGCGGCTCTAGATGAAGCAGGTCTACAGACCTTCAGCGGCTCTAGATGAAGCAGGTCTACAGACCTCCAGCGGTTCTAGATAAGAAAGATCTACAGACCTCCAGCGGCTCTAGATGAAGCAGGTCTACAGACCTCCAGCGGCTCTAGATGAAGCAGGCCTACAGACCTCCAGCGGCTCTAGATGAAGCAGGTCTACAGACCTCCAGCGGTTCTAGATGAAGCAGGTCTACAGACCTCCAGCGGCTCTAGATGAAGCAGGTCTACAGACCTCCAGCGGCTCTAGATGAAGCAGGTCTACAGACTTCCAGCGGCTCTAGATGAAGCAGGTCTACAGACCTCTAGGTTTTTTTTACTGCTCTTAGTTGATGTTTTATCAAACGTTTAGAATCTTTATTGTCAGTTATCAGATAATTCAGATTTGATCATGAATTAATAATGGGTTTATCAGGATTAAAGACGCTCATCAGTCCAGGCCCGATGGGACGCAGGTAGAAAGAAGTCTTTCTGTGTGGCTGTGAAGGAGCAGCTGGTCGGTTGTTTGATGTTCAGTAACCTTTGACCTGCTGGAACGGAGCGGCGCCCACAGTTCCTGCTGATGAGCCTTCCTGTTGGTTTCCATCTGAAAACCAGAGATGCTCTCAGACCATCTGGTCCCTGAACGTCTCTCTCTGAAGGTCTTCCACCTAAAGGAGGCTCAGTGGACAAAGCGGGACACGCTTGTCCCTCAGCTGGCCTTGGATCGTCTCCGTGCTTCACCCAGAGGAGGGCTCTGTTTCTGCCTGTTACCCGGCCTGAGGTGATCAGCTGGTACCGTGCTTCAACATGTGCTGGATAGACTGGCTGGTTTTGGTGCAGAGCCTGGAATGAAACCCTTTTGTCCTCTACTGCTACAAAACCAAGCTTGGTTTGTAAGGAGACTTAGAGGAGAATCAATGCTCTGATATGAACCGTTGATCATGTGATCTCCTGCAGCATCCTGTGACGTACCTAAAGACGGATTGCTTTGTCTACAAACGCTGAACTGGGAGCTTCTTCCAGTCTTCTTAATCTGCCTTCTGTGTGTCTGATTCCTCCTGCAGGTCCAGGACCATCAGCTCCTTATGGCTGTTTATGATGAGAACATCCTGAAGAATCCGTTCTACCTGGCCTTGGAGAAGCAGAGACCTGACCTCTGCAGGAATGTGGCAGACTTCCACGGCATCGTGAGTCACGTTTGCTTGCCAATGTTCTGTGTCCGTATTAGGCCAGGCGTACACTGTGCGATTTTCGGGACGATTTTCCAGTCATGGACAATCTTTCGATCGCGCCGACTTTCAGCCTGATGGTGTGTGGTGTAGTGTATGGGGGGGTAATGAGGGGCAATCAGCCTCTAACGACCACCTCTCCATCAGGGGAGGAAGCAGGTCGAGAGAAAATCACTCAGTGATTCAGTGCAAACAAGGATTCCTCTTCTTTTTCTTAGAGGAAAACCCAGAAGCATGGCGGGGGTGCAATGAGTGAAATGGAGTTCTTTTTGTAAAATTGACAGACCGTAGTAGCTACGTTTGCTCAGCCATGTCTTTGTCCAAATACGTTGTCTCCTTTTCTTTTTAGGGCTTTCAGCATAAAATGGCCCATATTGCCAAGGCAGCGCGTTTCACTTTAGTGAGCTTCATATACCTCTGCTACTAGTTTGGCTTCCGGATAGACGAGTCAGAGTAGCGCCATCTCACTGCGGAGCTGTTTTTTAGACGTACAGTGTGAGCAGGTAGATCGCATCAGAGCGCCATGCTGCACATAGATCGTGAGCTGTGAACTCGCACTGTACGACTAATAAATGAATGAGATGAATCAAACTTTCTTTGCTCCTTGTTTCCCTGTTTAGTAAAATAGTCTTTAATGTCAGTCCGCCTCCCCAGCAGAGTAAAACTATGCTGTTTCAGCTCAGAGTTAATGTATTTTATAGAACAATCATCTTAAAGAGCTTCACATGAGATAAACGCCTCCAGTTCTGATGGTAGCTTACAGTGATGGTCATAGTTCATGTATGTGGAGCGCTAGTTAATCGAACCCTTTCTCTGTCCCACATGGAAACCCTGCAGGTTCTGGTTCCGTGTTGTGGAAGTTTGGCCGCCAGCAGCTACTCAGACTCTCACTTTGACAGCTACGTCCTGCAGCCTGTGGAGGACAGATACAAGACTGTGAACGGAAAGGTTTGGTTTTCCTTTATTTTGGGTTCATCTCTATCACATTCTATACAATATGTCAGCACAAGAACCAAAGTATGAAGATGAGAATGTGTGGGACTATTCACATTTTGAACAAAGCCAATAGCGTCATAAGCCCCATTTCCACCACCCTCTGAAAACCGATCCGTGCCGAGGTTGGATCAGTTAACCTTGCCGAGCTTGGTTTCTTACAACCATTTACACACGACGTTAGCACGGTTCCTCGCCTCCTAGTGGCGATCTACGGTACTACTGCTCTAGAGGGAAACAAACAAACTAACATGGTGGCGCCCGTAACTTTCAGGAAATTTTATTTTAGTATCATTGTGATATTTCGTTGCTTACAGAGAGTCAGGCGAAGAAGGCAGCCTTTGGTGAATTTACTCGACAGTCAGCTTTTGGGAAGTGGATACGACAAACAATAGTCTAATCAGGGCTTCCAGATGCAGGAAACAACAACAGACATTGAGGTTCATCGTAGGGAAGCTAGGATTTTTAGGAATGTCTAAAATTTCCCGATTACAGAGGCTGCTCATGAGAACCGAGCCAGAACTGAACCGCATCGAGCCCTACTGATGAACTAGTATCAGTTTAGCGCGGTTCGGTTGGGTCTGGCGCGGTCCGTCACGCGGTCAGTTGTGCCTGCCATTTACACTTCACAGTTATCTCGGTTACCGTGCTCGGACCGATCTCTGCACGGTTTCATAAGGGTAGTGGAAATGGGGCTTAAGATAGCATTAATGCTGCTGTTAAGCTATCGCCTTCAATGTCAGCATGGATGTTAAAATCTCCCACTATGATGACCCTGTCAGTATTTAATACCAAATCAGAAAAGAACTCTGAAAACTCATCTAAAAATTCAGAGTAAGGACCTGGTGGACGATACAAAGTTACAAAAAGAAGAGGTTTTCTGGCTTTGACAATTTGGATCAGGGAAATTAAGGGTTAGATGTCAAAAGAGTTGTAAGTATTAACTCACTTTGGAGTAATCAGTAAGTCAGACTGGAAGATTGTTGCTACTCCTCCTCCTCACCCAGAACTTCTGGGGATGTGAAAATTTAAATAGCTTGAAGGATTTGCCTCATTTATGCTCACATGATCCTCTTGCTGCAGCAAGGTTTCTGTAAGGCAACATAAGTCAATGTGATTATCACAAATCAATCATTAACTAGCAGACTTTTAGAGGAAAGAGATCTTATGTTAAACAGACCACATTTAATCGTTTTAACTTTTTCCCCAATTGGAGTTATTTTAACACATATCTAACACTGTCTAGATGGAGTAAAGAGTGGGTAACAGTAGAGAAGCTGCAGAGAGGTCTGTTAAACTAGGACTCTGCTTCCTGGTCTGCACCCTGGGTGGTCAGGGTTTTGGAGGACTAATAAATGTGGCCAGGTTCCTAGAAAGAAGATCTGCACCATCCAAAGTGAGATGGATGCCGTCTCTCTGAAGCAGACCAGGCTTTCCCCAAAAGGATTGCCAATTATTAACGTAGCCCACGTTGTTTTCAGGACACCACCTAGACAACCAGCGGTTGAATGACGACATGCGGCCAAACATGTCATCACTGGTCAGATCAGGGAGGGGAGCAGAGAAAATTATGGAGTCCGACATTTTTTTGGCAAACTTACACACCGAAGCAACACTATTTTAGTGACCTCCGATCGGCGTAACCGGGTGTCATTACCACCAGCGTGAATAACAATCTTACTGTATTTAACCTTATCCTTAGCCAGTAGTTTCAGGTAGGATTTGATGTCGCCCGTTCTGGCCCCCGGCAAACATTTGACTATGGTCCCTGGTGTCTCTAATGCCACGTTTCTGACTATGGAGCTGCCAATCACCAGAGTGGGCTTCTCAGTGGGTGTGTCACTGAGTGGGGAAAACCGGTTAGAAACGTGAACGGGTTGGTGGTGACCAGTGGGCAGAGATCCACGACTACGCTTTCTGCGTACAGTTACCCAATCGCCTGGCTGCTCAGGCACTTTTGGAGGACAGCTACGTGGGGGGGGCCTACTTTTACTCCTGGATGTTCAACAGCCTGAAGCCTGGATTCTAACTCTGACACCCTCGCCTCCAAAGCTACAAAAAAACTACACTTATTACACATCCCATTATCACTAAAGGAGGCAGAGGAATAACTGAACATCTGACACAGAGAGCAGGAGAGAGGAGAGGAAGAAGGAAGAGTTGGAAAAGAGTCAAGGGAGGGAGAGAGAGAAGCCATAGCGATGCTAAGCTAGCGCTAGCCTACGCTAGCTACTCCTTACCTCCAGAGATAAAACTGTGTGAACGCAGCAAGTGCTTAGTGGAAAAGTGCAGCAGTAGAAAATGCGTTTTTAAGGATTTCTGGACAGTTAGTGTAACTTGGAGATAAAACAGAAAAAATAACGTAGTTCTGATGGAGCCTGAACAACAACACAGAACGTAGCTTAGTAGTCAAACCAGGTTTGAATTTGAATTAGTGGAACCTGTAGAACATTGAGCTCTCATTGATTCTGCTGGTTCTGTTTGTGTGAAGATGAAGGAGTTTTCTGGTCCACCTCCAGGTATCAATCAGCTATGGTCATTTAGAACCAGTCTAGAAGCTGCATTAACCCTGACAGTGTTTTCCTAAAACTCTGAACATTTTTCAAGCATCTCTGATGCTTCCATTTTGGACAAAGAGTCAAAGTTGGTTTTTAATGTTTCACATGTGCGACTTTGTGTCTATTTTGGGTTTCAGGAGGTCAGAATCCAGGACAGGACAGTTCTGCTGGGATCTGGCTTCCCCTCTCCCTCTGTGGTGCCCATCCTGTTTGAGGAAACCTTCTACAATGATCAGGAGCAGAGCTACAGCATCCTGTGCATCTCCAGACCCCTGGAGGTGGAGCCCACCCCCGCTGAGGTCAGTCCACCCCCAGCTTACTGTCTGCGGAGCCTGGAAGATGTCCGGGAGTTCCTGGGCCGTCATGCCCTCAAACTAGACCGCTTCATCCAAAGCTTCTGTCAGGCTTTTGAGGAGCAGGAGAAGAAGGGACTCCGACAGCACATTGTACGGAGGAGTCCTTCAATCTGTCTGATCTTTACTCCAGTCTTTGTTCTTAGCTTGCAGGCTGCATTAACAAAGTCTTTCTGTCCCATCAGGACGCTGTAACCGGACTTTACACTAAATCTCTACAGTGTCTGCTGAGGGACTCTCGCCTGGTGAGTAGATCTTAGACCAGCTTCTTGTTCTGTTCTGGTGATGTTGGGACTTTCTGCCACTGGTTTTTGTCTTTTTTTAGGAAATTAACCCCTTACGCCCAGAGAGCCTTAGGAGCAAATTCAGCCTGAAACTACATCTGTGAATTAAATCAAGTTCAGCTCCAAAACTATAAATTGGAAATACAATTGTTTGTATTTGTGTGACAGAAAGACAATGAGGAATAATCTTCAGGTGGAACAACTATTTTAAATGTCACCATGTCTGATGTATAGGTGATTAAGCAAAGAAAAAAATGAAACAAAGTGGCTACATTTTGCGGTAGGCGGTTTTTTAACTCAAAGTGCTAGAGGGATCTGAAAAGTAGCTAAATATAGCGACTAAAGCGCTAAGTTGGCAACACTGCTCTTTGCATGGTTTGTTTTCAAATGGTTTGCTGCTGTCTGTTTGGACCTTTCTGAACATGTGCAGCAAATGGACTGATCCAATATGGTGAATAGTTGTATTAATCATACATGGAAACAGAGTTTTATGGGGCCCCCAGGAACTTGGGTCCCTAGGCACCTGCCTAGTATTGCCTAATAGTAACCCCCCCCCCCCCCCCCCCCCCAACTGTATCAGATGCACTCATTATGACTGATAAAATGCATTAATATTTTGTGTTTACAGAAACTTCTGGCAAAGCAGGAGCTTCAGATGACTCTCCTCAAACAGGCTGTCGGGGTACCCTCATTAGCTTTGACTTTAATATTTCAAGAATATTGAGACGTTCTGTATAAGACTACAGAATAATGAGAGGCAACATACTCACTCTAAACAAATGTCATTTTTCTTATTTTATCAGATATATCTCCATCATGGTATCCATGATTTGATCTTTAACCTTGTGGGAACTCTGGAAGCCAGCCAGGTAGGTGGGAGATTTCTGAACAGTATTAGTTCAGTTTGTTTCCAACTTTCTTTTATCCAATTATCTATCAATTAGTTTGGTTTTTTATATTATTTATGATTTTAATATTTCATTTTTTTCTCTTTAATTGCTACTGTTTAATTATTTCATTGCCTTTATGCTCCCGTAATGCCCTTTCTTTTGTGCATGCTCAGCTTTATTAAGGAACTCTCCTTGCTGAGTGCCCATATGCTCGTTTTAAAGACCTAGGGATATCATTTTAAATGACAAATAATTCTGGCTTAAACATGTATATAAATGTTCTCTTTATCAGACCAGATTGTGCCAAAATTTAGAACATTTCTATTAAAAAAAATTCCTATCTTAAAATCTGTGTTTTTTTTTTGTTATCTTATGCAGGCCAGTTAGTTATACATCAGCCTGAACACCTAAATCCGGCCAATCATATCTCAACAGTCGACAGGGCGACAGTGGTGTTGGCTGTAGGAGTTTCCCTGAAATCGAAGGATTGACGGTTCAAGCCCCAGTTCCGCTTTTCAGTGTCGTGTCCTTAGGCAAGACACTTCACCTGCATTGTCCACTGATGGTGGTCAGAGGGCCTGGTGGCGCGAGTGTATGGCAGCCCTGCTTTTGTCAGTGAGCCCCAGGGCAGCTGTGGCTACAATGTAGCTTGCCACCATCAGTGTGTGCGTGAATGGGTGAATGACTGAATATAGTGTAAAGGGCTTTGGTCAAGTCTCTTGACTTGGAAAAAAGGCGCTATATAAGTACAGGCCATTTACCATTTTACCATCTGTCAATCAAATGTTTTCAGTCATAGCATCTTGATTCATATGTCGCAGCTAATATACGCGAAGAACTGGCAGCGTTGCGAGGAAAGGGCTCAAACATGTACGGCTGGAAGCCTTCTACACCAAACCAAGCTTCTGCCGCCCTGGCGTCCTCTTCCACAACATCTTCATCCCGCTTTCCTCCTCTAAATAAAAAATGGATGACGGAGGAGACTCATCCACGACCTCCGACACTAAACTCTCCTCCTCTTGCATGTTTCCTCTGTTCATAGCGTTCCTTGACAGTGTTGTTTCTAAGTCACCAATTTAGTGCTACTTGGTCCCAATGGAATTTCCCATTGGGAACCTACTAGCACTAAGATGTTAACTGGTTAGTAAGATGCTTCCGACAAACTGGCCACAATCAAACATGCTTGCAAACCTTGCTCCACAACAATCCCACCCCCTTGATTAACGTCCAATCACATTAACTTTATTCAGTCGTGTAAAGTCGTGCACCACTCGGGAGAATCGGAAATGCAACGGTTGGAACGGCCGCTGCCCTCCGACTTTAATACATGTAAATGAGGAATCTGTTTCTGTTCGACCTCTTTAAGTGGAGAAGTGAAGAATTTCTCTGTCTCCACAAAAAAAAGAATGGCCGTATGTTTGCTGCTGTTTTCTGTGGTGATGTTGACGTTGTGGAGCTTCTCTTAATGCCCCTCTGATGCTCTCCACATCAACAGGATGCGTCTTTCAACAAAATCACCAGGAGCCTTCAGGACCTGCAGCAGGAGGACCTGGGGGTCAAACCAGAATTCAGGTAAGTTCAGGACATTCTGACCTACTTTTTGGAATTCAGAACTGAGATCCAGATGTTTGTGATACAGACTGTGATCCACAGGGTTAAAATGATTGGTGGGGGAGAAGGCAAAAGGCCATTGAAGCTATTTATCACCTCTTCAATGGTTTCAGATCCACTGTTGGTTTTAAGTCTCTATAGTTGGAGAGTGTGGTTCTAATAGCTGGTAAAGATTCTCAGTCATTCAGCTCATAGTCATTCCAAAAAAGTTAAAAACAATCGACTGGACTTTGTTTCCAAGTTTGAAGACGTTTCCCTTCCATCCAGGAAGCTTTTTCAATTCAAAATGTCAGAAAGGCGAGGTCTTCTGTTCCCCTGTAAAGGTTTTGGGGCTGTGATGATATCATTGTGATTTTAAGTTCAATGCCCATCCAGGTAGGATGCCACATTAATGTTGGGATGTTATATTCTATTATATTTCCAACCAGCTGGGAATTTATATTTCTGATACTATAAGATGTTTATTTCGCCAGATAATGTTTTATTGAATGATTTGCTTAATCAGGAAGCAATAACCTTTAGTCAAATGATTCTTTGCTCCCTTTGAAATAGCTAGCAGCGAATAGACATCAGGAATCACTAAATGACTCTTGGTCATATCCATATCAACAGCTTGCTTCTTTCATACTTGGTAATGGAAATGTAATGAGCATCTGATGAACACTGTTATATCAGTGTTTAACCCTTAGTGAAATAAAGCTTGTCCAAGCTTTAGCAACAGCTCAAAACATGTTACTGTAGCATAGTGTAGCATGGGATCCATACTGTTAAACAAATATGATCAACATAATCGAAACACATATTGTTTGTTCTGTCCCTAATCATGCCAGACTTCTTGCCCTTAAAGCGGACCAAGCTTCAAGGGCAAGAGAGGGAAAGAGAGAATTCTGTGTGCTCTATGATTTTGTCTGTCCTCACACAGAGGGGGGTGGTTGGTCACACCTCTGTGGACTGCCATGTGATTTGCCTGTGGATGCCTTGGCTGAAAAGGGGGGGTTAGAGAGAACGTATAGCTGGTTATTCCCTTCTCTGGTCATCATTTCAAGATGAAACATGGACACTTGTTCCCAATGTCCAGAAACAATAGCGGGAAGACATCAACTCTCTCGCTGCATTGTAGGTTTTTGAAAGCTGAAATCTGAGTCGTCCCCCCCCCCCCTGTTTAATGTTGGTTTTTCTTTCTTAGATAGGTGGCTTCCTTCACGCCCCTTTCAAACCACCTGTCTTCTTTTTCCAATATGTGAACATTCTGGTCCTCCAAAGAATGTCCTTTATCAGAGCATTCCTCACTGCATTGAACTGCAGACGCCACTCCACTTAGATTAGGTCTTTAGGATGCTCTAGTCTCTATTTAAGGGTCAGTGTGATTTGAAATGTTCTGGGATTTTGTGTTAGGAAAAAATCCTCTTTGAGTTTTTCAGAGACTCCAGCAACATAAGGGATGGAGATGTTTTTCCGTTTAATCCTCTCACCCTTATCTTCAGCGATAGAGTTGTTTCTTTCCTGCTATCTTCACAACTCCGTTACAGGGGAACAGAAGACCTTGCCTATTTAGCCAGGCCAACAATTCCCCCAACGACCTCCTTTCAGAGACATAGACAGGTATGGGGCATTGCAGGCTAATAAAGAAGCCAAACGACCCCCATTCCAAAGGGGTGGACCCGTTCATCCGTTTCTATTTGCATGTTTTCTAAACCAAAACAAGGCTTTGTTGGGCTACTGGATAAAACCTGGAACTCAACGCTATTTCTGACATTTTGAATTGAAAAATCTTCCTGGATGGAAGAGAAACGTCTTCAAACTTGGAAACAAAGTCCAGTGGATTGATTTTAACTTTTTTTGGAATGTGGTTCTAATCATTCAGATCCAGCTGTTTTTTTTCCTCTATTCTTCAGTGAAGAGTAGAAACATTAGAAATGTTTCTATTCTTCACACGCTGATTATCTGTTGGACGTACCTCATCTCGCTTTGCTTCCATCCTCCAGTATAAACTTGTTCCGAGCAAAGAGAGAGCTGAGTCAGCTCAACCAGCAGACGTCCCCCCTCCTCAAGGTTCAGTGCCTGCGCAGGGTTGTCCTCGCTGCCACCCAGACACCCAGACGCACAAGTAAGTATGGGGTGTTCATCAGAGTTGTTTGGTGTTAGTCTCTAGAAGGAAGAAAGATTGCACTGGAACAGCCTAGATCTACTCCTTCTAGATCTTGGGGCATCTGTTACCTTTAAGGATTTTGTTTAGTCTGAAATGAATCCATTCATTGCTTCATAAAATCCGTTCAGAGGCCTCTGAGCTGCTGTTTTCTCATGACTTTTAGAGGAACTTTTGATCCAAAACAGACCAAATCAGATCTCTAAATCTTAATCTAATTCATGGTGGCTTAAACTAATCATGTTTTTGGGGCTTTGGTCTATTGAAAGGTTATTATTGAAAGGAAACTGCATCTATTAGCTGTGTAATGAGGAGTGATGAGCTGCTGAAAGACACTGTGCTGTTCTTTGGTAATTCGTCTGTAACCTTTCAGAGTGACGTCGTAATGGGATCCTCACTGTCGCCTGATTGTTTGTTTTCTGACAGCCAGACTCTGATCACAGCAGCCTCACTGTTAGCGTGCAGAATAACATGATCTTATCCTAATTCCTGTTTGTCAAGAGGCCACTTTAGACATTGGTTGTGAGGAGCAGCAGGGAGAGGAGCTGACTTCCATTCAGAAAGGAGGTGAATTTGTTGATTGGTGTTTGTCTTCCTCTGCAGCCAATATCGAAGCTGTGAGCGCAGACGACCTGCTCCCTGTCGTCCTTTACCTCCTCATCAAGAGCCAGATCCCCAACTGGTGAGCATGGAGAAGATCGTTCAGGTTGCCATGAAAACATGGCATCCAAATGTTGTCGAGGTGTGCGGGCTCGTTGGCTGCCCTCAGCCTGCATGCTGCTGTGCACCAGAAGGTTAAAGGTCACTCTGAGAGCCGTACGATGTGGTGGGAAGTTTTTTTATGATGACGTGTTTTTTACAGGATTTTTCAATGTTTTTTTCAGCCCGAAGGAACTGGCTGTTTCTCAATGAGAAACAAATATTACTTCACATCTTGTGAAGTAATACTTTGGTATTTGTTCCAGTAATAAGGAAGTATTATGTATTTTAGATCACCAGCATCAAATTATATTTTATTATTATTCTTTCTGGAACGGGTTGTGATACGATGACTTCATGCACGCAATTTTTCCAAACTATTCTTGTAAATTTACGACTTTATTCTCATAATGTTATGACTTCATTCTTGTATTTGAGAAATAAAGAAATCTCTTGCCTTGTCCTAACACTCAGTGGTAGGCACCATCCTCTGGTTGTTTCCTTGCTGGGTTTTATCTTACAGCAGAGACAACCAGGTGATGCGTCTGCAGACTGAGGGGGTCCCAGGAGCTCAGTGGGCTTTCATTAGTGTTGGAGTTCTAGCCAGACTGTGGAGGTGGTCAGAGCAAACCATCTGAGTGCAGCTTGATCCTTATTCTATTCAGTTTATTTCTATAGCTCCAATTCACATCATGTCATCTCAGGTCACTTTCCAGTTCACCAGATCATCCAGTCAGATTGATTCAAAGTTTTCTATCTAAGGAAAACCAGCTGATTGCATCGACTCATTGACTCTTCAGCAATCCCTCACACTAAGCATGCGTGTAGCGACAGTGGAGAGGTAAAACTCCCTTTTAACAGGAGGAAACCTCCAGCAGAACCAGGCTCAGTGTGAGCGGCCATCTGCTGAGGCCCACTGGGGTTCAAGGAGACAGAAGCAGACATAGAAAAAGAAGCATAGATACAAAAAGCAACTGTCAGCCAACTCCACAGGCGGCCCCATCCAGGAAACACACAGCCAGGCAGACGAGCTCTCAGCCAGCTCCCATGTCAGAGGATGAAGAGAGCACATCCAGTTAGTCACAGTCAGAGAAACAGGACTACACTGAAAAACAGGCCAAGCTCCAACATCTAGAAACAAAGGTGTTGATGGCCGCAGCACAGCTGATATTTCTCTCCTATGGGTCCTTATCTAAGCTTTCAGTGCCTCTGTCTAGAGGATGAACTAAGGGATAAACTTAAAGGATCTGCTTCTAGATTGTGTCTTTCTTTAGTTTATTATGGAGCTCATATCGCTAAGCATCATTTGAACCAACGAGCCGCTAAAGAACCTGTTTTCTAGTGGATTGTTCTGTGTTCCAGGATGGCCAACCTGAGCTACATGAGGAACTTCTGTTTCAGTACCTCCAGCAAAGACGAGCTGAGCTACTGCCTGAGCACGTTTGAGGCGGCGGCGGAGTACATCAACCTGGGGAAGCTACAAAACACGTCCTCTGTGAGACGCTCAGGAATGCTAGCATGTTGGAGCGCAGCAGGTGCAGGTGTTTATTTCTGGTCTGATGATCTCAGGTCACAGGGGAGCTTGGTGACAGAGCACTGTTCAAGGAGAGGATGAGCGTGCTAACTCAGAACATGGCCGCACCCATCCAGCAGCTGTTTGAGGTGAGCTGTTACAGTCCGTGCTGATTGTTCAGGTGGATTTAGCCTGACCTTTACCACAAAAACTCCCATCAGCATTGCAGTTCTTTCCCTGATGCTGCCGCTGTCTGCTGATTATTGCAAAAAGCTGAATTTCATCTTTTTCTTTTTGTGCTAAAGTCAGACTTCCTTCAGAGGCCTTTAATCTGATCGTCCCAGTTTGATCTGTCTGTTTCAGCACATAGCGAATGGAAACGAAGCCAACGTGGAGCGTCTGCTGAGTGAGAGTGAAGGTGATGAGGACGTCAGGATGTGCCATCCTCTTTGTTCCTGTGACCTGTGCGACGGCCGCCGCTCTGGGTCAGTATACAGAGCTCCCGTAGCAGCACACGGTGTGTTAAGGGCTCATGGTGGTTGATGCACGGACGCTCTGTGCAGAAAATGAGGTGCTGTAAAATGTGTGTGTAGTACTTCCTTGTACTTCTACAAGGAAGTAGAAAACGGCTGTTAACAACTTTATCAAAACTTCATGCTGTTTGAGAGTGACAGACAGTTCTTTCCTGGAATTTTTCCACAATCTGTTGATAGTGGTTATATTTATGAGCTAAAATCACAGGATCTCTCTAAATGTTTTTCCTAAAAAAATTAAAATTAAACCACTGGACTTTGTTTCCAAGGTTGAAGACGCTTCTCTTCCATCTAGGAAGCTTTTTCAATTAAAAATGTCAGAAATAGCGTTTAGTTCCAGGTTTTATACAGTAGAACCACAAACCCCCCCCTGTGTAAGGTTGTTTTTGCTTTTTTCTATTGCTCTAGATATTTACATTTGCAAACCAGACAGGGCCGCCTGTGGAGCTGGTTTACAGTTGGCTTTTGTATCTATTCTTCTTTTTCTATGTCTGCTTCTGTCTCCTTGAACCCCAGTCGGCCTCAGCAGATGGCCGCTCACACTGAGCCTGGTTCTGCTGGAGGTTTCTTCCTGTTCAAAGGGAGTTTTTCCTCTCCACTGTCGCTACAAGCATGCTTAGTGTGAGGGATTGCTGAAGAGTCAATGAGTCGATGCAATCAGCTGGTTTTCCTTAAGTAGAAAAGTTTTAACCAATCTGAATGGATGGTCTGGTTCAACTGTCTCTATAAAGGGACCTGAGATGACATGATGTGAATTGGCTCTATAGAAATAAACTGAATAGAATTGAATTAATATTAGCAGCAGTCCTAAAGGCTTTTGAGGCAGCCTCCATTGAGCAGATCAGGGAGTGTTTTCTGTTAAAGGATTCAGATGGTGTGGCATCCACATGGTCGGTGAGTCAGTATCTCACCTGTTCCTCAGGTAAGTGATGCACATGTGAGAAGCCGTTCACACGATGGAAAATAGGATTGGTAATAAGGGTAATAAGTCTATCAGGACTGATGCTCGTATCCTTTCTGAACTTGATGTGTCGGGCCAGGATTAAACAGATGGTCACAGCAGCAGTACTCCTCCTTAAAGCGAATGAATCCAGGCAGCACGGTTGGCGTCAGATAAACGCCACCTTAAAGCGAATGAATCCAGGCAGCTGGGTGGCGTCAGATAAACGCCACCCAGTGGAGGGATTTTAAACTAATCTGAATTGTAAACGTTCCTTTTCAGACATTTGAACGACCTGTCTGTCGTTACGCCGTTCTCCAGAGACGACAGAGGTTACACCCCACTGCACGCTGCTGCCATCTGTGGTGAGCTGCTGCTACCACACACAAAGCCTCATTGCTTCGGCTTAGATCGGCCTGTGAATGGGTGTTTGCGTTTTGTACTGCAGGTCAGGCGCAGTTGATCGACCTGCTGGTTCATAAAGGCGCTCCAGTCAACGCCACAGACTACCACGCCCTGACACCACTGCATCTGGCCTGTCAGCGAGGGTACCAGGGCGTCTCAGTAAGTGCTGCGTTCATCATCATTAACATTTCTAAAGGAGAACCTCCCTCAGCATCAGCAGCCTGGGGCCCCTGAAGAGAGAACATGTTTTTTTGTTTTTTTTTGTCCTTTTGTGATTGAAAAATTAAAATTAGTTCAAAGGGCCTAAAATATGGACAGTTTTATTATTGAGCCTTACTGCTGTATTCAAGGCTACATTCACTGTATTTTGTATTTCTTTCTACTTATCAATCAATCAATCAAAATGTATGTATATAGCACTTTACAACAACCAGCAGTTGCCCAAAGTGCTTAACAAAATAAGTAGAGTCACAATCAGAAAGTAAAGTAAAATCAGAAAGGTTACAAAGGAACAAAATTATGAAATATTTACACCACTGCTACGTATTAAATGCCCGCCTGAACACATATATCTGGAGTTTTGACCTAAAAAGACTGATATCTGTAACAGTGCGAATATTCGGGGTAACTTGTTCCTGTTGTCTATGTATTTCTTACAAAACGTACACATAAGATTTAATCGTGTGGGTGTTGCACCATTTAAAGGTTAAGTAGAGAAGAAAAGCTCTCAGAGAACAAAGGACATCTCATGTAGTTAATTTTAATGTAAGTGTAAACCTTCTCATTTGTTCATTTATTTGGGCCGATTTTTAGCTTCCCGTGAGGCTGAAACACGGAACAGGAGAAAAGAAACCAGGTGGTCTCATGAGAATTAACGAGAATTAGAGAATTAAAAATGCAGCCCTGTCCAATAAATGTCTAAAACAGAGAGAGCATACCAAATGGACCACTGGTGATGAAACCACTGTGGACTAGAGCTCCACTTCACACTGTCAGCAGTGAGGGACGTCCTGATCGCTGTCTTCTTTATCTCATTCCACCTAAAGGCAGAAATATAGACTATCTGTTGTTCAGACTCCCAGAATGTGAATGTGGGAGTCACTGCAGGTCCCTACAGGTCACTGCAAGTCACTATAAGTCTGCTTTAACTAGGGTTGGAAGTTTCTTGTTGATGTTTTTTTTCCAGTATTTTTTTCTGGATGGAAGAAACATTTTCTTCTAGTTTCTTCTGGTAGAAACCTGGAAGGTCAAATTTCCTGTAAAGTGGAGAATCTTTTGGTGAATATTTTGTCTGAGCGGGTCCACATCCAGGGGAATGAAGAGCATTGCATGCTACGCTATGCTACAGGAATATGTGTTGAGCTGTTGCTAAAGCTTAGACAAGCTTTATTTCACTAAGGGTTAAACACTGATATAACATTAGTGTTCATGTGTTCCTCAGATGCTCATTACATTTCCATTACCAAGTATGACCAAGAGTCATTTAGTGGAATCCTGATGTCTATTCGCTGCTAGCTATTTCAAAGAGGGTAAAGAATCATTTAACTAAAGGTTATTGGTTCTTGATTAAGCAAATCATTTAATAAAACATTATTTGGCCAAATAATATTTTATTCACCTCATGGATTTGCATTGTGAATTGGTCTGAAAACCATTTCTTTAAAATTAGTGAAAAGCTAATTTGTTCACATCCCAAATTCTTCCAGATAAACTTTGGTTTCAAACACAGAATCCATCTTAAACTGTAATATGTTTTTCAACCGTTTTCCCCTTCCTCTTTGTACATAGTAGTTAGTTTAGTTTAGTTGAGTTTTACTAGTCTTAGTTGAGAGTGTTAAACTGAATTATGTTTGAGGTGGGGCTGAATGATTTTTGTTAATAAACTCTTATATTTTGAACAGAAGTTGTGGTGAATTTATTCCATGTATGTGCAGAAATAACTGTTTGACCATGATTAGTGCTCAAATAACTCTTTCATCCATTGTTCTAACACACAGTCAGTAAGACCGTGTGTCATAAACACTAAATAACAGCTGAAATAATATCTGATTAAATAAGATATTTTACCAGCCCTACAGGGGAGGGCAATAAACATCTTAAAGTATCAGAAACATAAATTCCCAGCGGGCTGGGAATAGAAAAGAACATAAAATCACAACACCTGGGAGTCACACATGACTATGTTGGTATAAGATTCTCAACCTGTGCATGCGTAAGAGTGATTATTTGTGCTTTAAGCACCACCTCTGGCAGTCAGTAGGGATGAACTCTCTTTTTCTAATCTGACTGGTTTGTGACTGAGGATGTTTTTAGGTACGTTTAAAGCATGTGACTTAGACTCCTCCCCCTCCTCTGTCTGTCTTCCAGCTTCTGCTTCTGCACTATAAGGCAAACACAGATGCTCAGGACAACAATGGCAACACACCTCTGCATCTGGCCTGTCAGCGCGGCCACGAGGACGTACGTAAACCTCCAACCTTCCTCCCTGTTAACAAAGCAACACACGACAAACAACAGATAATAAATCATTTCCACAACATGTTATGATTATTTTGGTAGCATAATCTTTTCTTGGGTCAGTTTCACCGTCTATTGGACAGCTAACTGCATCAAGTTGTGGAAAACATTGCATCACTTTGCTGGTGAAGATTCTCATCCAGGTTATAGTCATTCCAAAAAAGTAAAAAAAAAAATCCACTGGACTTTGTTTCCAAGTTTCAAGACGTTTCTCTTCCATTCAGGAAGATTTTTCAATTCAAAATGTCAGAAATAGCGTTGGGTTCCAGGTTTTATCCAGCAGCCCATGTTTAGAAAACATGCAAATAGAAACGGATGAACGGGTCCACCCCTTTGGAATGGGGGTCGTTTGGCTTCTTTGTTAGCCTGCAATGCCCCATACCCGTCTATGTCTCTGAAAGGGGAGTCGTTAAAGGGAATTGTTGGCCTGGCTGAATGAAACAGGTGGGGGTTGCTATCAAAGAAGCCAAATGACCTCCATTCCGAAGGGACGGACCCATTCATCCAGTTTAATTTGCATGTTTTCAAAGCCCAACAAAAGAGGCTTTGTTGGGCTACTGCAGAAGTCACAGATTAGCGGGCCACGGTCCAGATCTGGACCCACCTGCTGGTTAATCCAGACCCAACCTGATTTCAAACATTTATAAATTACCGCATGTTGTCCGATGACAGTGTCTAACTTCACTTGCGCCTCTTCTCCTGTTAATATGGTAAAGCCCTCCAGAGCGTCCGGCTCCAGGCTGCACGTGATCCAAACTAGCCAATGAGCTGCTGTCAGTCTGGGTTGTTGCTGCTGCTACTTTTAGACACAGCAGGCAAACCTGTGGCGAGCCGGGCGATGGGAAAGAAGGAGAAGATGATGAGAAAAAGAGAGCAGAGGAAGTGTGGACTGCTGGAAGAACTGTGGTGAACTGGTGAAAGAAAAGTGAAATGGTGCTCAAAGATGACCCTGCACATTTAGAGGATGTTTGGCTCAACCTGCTGCTGTGAAGCAGGATTCTCCACCATGAACAGAATCCAAAATAAATATGGATCCAGGCTCAGAATGAGCTCCTTGATATGTGCTTTAGAATGGCTTAGTCTCCATTCAAACCCAGGTTTAAAGCCTTGCAGGGCAGCATAAGGCCCTCATTAAGACAGAAAAACGAAAGGAAAATAAAAAACACTCAGTTCAGGTGTTTGATAAAATAGGAATTCCTATAGGAATCAGGAAATTGTCTATAAACCAAACTGAACGATTGTTGTTCTCTACTGTAAATGTTCTAATTTTTTTTTATATTTTTGTATTCAAATATTTCAATGTATAACATGGATGCATAAACACCTCATTTTATTTCTGTGTTAAATTCTGTTAAAATTAACAGATTATAATTAAAAAATGTCTCTGGACCTTTACTGGTTGATGATTTCCTTTATTCAGACCCAAATGATTTTTAATGGGTTACCCCTGGGCTGCTGTATAAAACTTGGAACTCAACGACATTTTGAATTGAAAAAGCTTCCTGGATGGAAGAGAAATGTCTTCAAAATTGGAAACAAAGTCCAGTGGATTGTTTTTTTAACAATTTTTTTTTTTGACAAGCCTTAAAGGAATAGTACACCCAAAACATGATTAGCCTTCATTTTCTACTCACCCCCATGCTGAACAACACTCTGGAGTACTTTTTTGATATCTCAAATGCATCTGGAGATCTGGGAGGCTTCTTGCTGTCTGCTGACATTCAAATAATGGAGGTCTATGGCGCCCGAGGCAGAAAGGTCCATAAAAGTCCACAAAAAACGTTTCAATATTCCTCCATACTGCTCGTCCAATGTATTCCAAGTGTCCTGAGTGGGTAGCATCCAGAATTTACTCGAAACGAAGTCATTTAGAATGTTTTTAGAGCATAAACACTAGTGTATAGGATTTCCTAAAAGCGCGCGCTCGCGCGTTCACGACACTACGGAAGCCCTGCCGGCTTCCGCCGGCTACCAAACCAGATGAAAGTGCGCATTCAGCGTCTGCTCTGCCGATAATGCAAGCGTAGAAGAAGAAATGTGCTGTTTACCTGTGCAAAGAAAGAAACAACGAAAGAAAAATGTCTGAGGACTTCAGTGTTGAGGAAGAGCATGAGTTCTTTGCCGAGCTGAATGCGCACTTTCGTCTGGTTTGGTAGCCGGCGGAAGCCGGCAGGGCTTCCGTAGTGTCGTGAACGCGCGAGCGCGCGCTTTTAGGAAATCCTATACACTAGTGTTTATGCTCTAAAAACATTCTAAATGAATTCATTTCGAGTAAATTATGGATGCTACCCACTCAGGACACTTGGAATACATTGGACGAGCAGTATGGAGGAATATTGAAACGTTTTTTGTGGACTTTTATGGACCTTTCTGCCTCGGGCACCATAGACCTCCATTATTTGAATGTCAGCAGACAGCAAGAAGACTCCCAGATCTCCAGATGCATTTGAGATATCAAAAAAGTACTCCAGAGTGTTGTTCAGCATGGGGGTGAGTAGAAAATGAAGGCTAATCATGTTTTGGGTGTACTATTCCTTTAAGAAAATCAAATCCTTCAGATTATTTTGCTCTTTGAGGACCTGTAAAGACGTTGTAGTGCACCTGAATCATTTTACTGTAATAGACTCCTGTATTTTATATTTCGGTGTTTATGTTGCATTATTATCCCATCAGTTTGCTAAGTGAACCTTACAGGAAGCAATGATGATGTTCCATTTAAAGACAAAATTCCTGCTGCTCCTTTGCAGTAACCTGAAAGTCTGCTTTATCAGAAGGATGGGTGGCGACAGATATGCTGAGAGTTCAGAGGAACAGGTTTTTCCTCATATGCTCTTTTATTGTTTGCAACAGTGTGTAAAGGCCTTGGTGTACTATGACGTCCAAACCTGTCGCCTGGACCTGCAGAATGATAAAGGAGACACTGCGCTGCACATCGCAGCCCGCTGGGGATACGAGGGAATCATCCAGGTTCTGCTGGAGAACGGAGCCAGCACGCACATCCTGAACAAGAACAAAGAATCTCCACTGCACTGTGCTCTGAACTCTAAGGTGAACCATTGCCTCACTCTGGTGTTCTGCAGGGGTTAGTCTATGTAAATGAGAACATATGAAACACTGCAGGAGGACAGCCCCCATCTGATGATTAAGGTCCTGCCTCATCTTTTTTGAACTGAATGAGCTCAGTAAAAACAGTAAAACACAATGGACTAAGGTAGCTAATCAAGCTAAAGTTTCCATGGCCAGTATGGTCATTAAAAGTTAAGGTATTCTGCATAATTTAATACTAGTTCTAATTAGGGATGCACGATATAATCGGCCGCCTATCGGTATCGGCCTTAAAACTGAATATCGGACATTGGCCACCCCACTGATATTAAACCCGATATTTGATCAGCTTCTGAGTTTCTAAAGTCTAAAAAAATTAAAATAAATACTACTTCTTCTTCTTCCTCAAAAACTTATTTTTTACAGACTTAAAAATTTGTAAAGACGAGGAAAAAAATATTGATACATTAAAATATCACAATATCTTCATATGCTGATATTTTGCCATTTAAAAACACCATATCAATCTCTTTTACTAATGAAATATTGCTATATGTCATCGTTATGCTACGAAATCCCCCGAAAATTCATGAAATGTTGCCATATTTTTATATGTTGATATATTGACGCGGTATCGATCTATTTTACTAACAAAATCTCACAAGAATTTGCAAAATATCACGAGAGTTTGTAACAGAACGATGAAATTTCACGAGATTTTGAAAGTAAAATAGATCAATACCGCGTTTTTAAAAATCAATTTGATATCAGCATATGAAAATATATTTGAGTATATTATTTATATTTATAAGTGTCAGAAATGGATAACAAAACTGCTATTTTCAATGACTACTTATTTTTGTCCATTTTTAACATCGGTATCGATATCGGTTATCGGCTACATGAGTTTTAAAATATCGGCATATCGGATATCAGCCAAAATCCCAATATCGTGCATCACTAATTCTAATGCTACGTTGAAAATGGATGCGCTTTGAATAGCAGAAGCGGCCGATTTACATGCAGTCTATGGTTGACGCGCATCAAAAAGTCCTGCAGCACCTGGATCAGCAGGAGTACAACCTCATGAGCTTCTGAGCATCTGAGGCGCATGATAGTTTAGCTGTTAGCTTCATTAATTTTTGCTCAGCTGTTTTGTTGTGATATTTTAATCTTTTTTGTTTTTTTGTTTAGATTCTCATGCTGTTGAAGTCGACACAGAACAGCCATCAGCGCAGCAGAAATGATGTGAGTCCTCATCACCATCTTGTCTTTCTCTAATAAAACCAGTTCTTCATAGCCTGACGTAGTCCTACTCAATTCTAGTCAGAATATGAGTCTGATAATGCTCCATAGAGCTGTGATTATGGGGCGTGTTTCCAACGAACCAGGAAAAAAAATGCCTCTGCACTCAATTGGATAGACCTACAACCAATAAGAGCAACGGAGTGCGTGACGTATGTTAAGCGACGCATAGCTGTTGTCAACAAAAATCAAAGCGTGCAGTTGCACGCCTAGAATAAGAAGATGAGCCTTGATCGCGTTTCTCTGTTAAATTAATTTGCTGTCGATATCTTCTAGAACAGACCTAATAGCAGAATCTACACAGCTCAACTCTCCAGCGGCAGCCATTATTGTTGTCACCCAAGCGCGCTTTGGTCACGTGGTTGATTACGTTACTGTTGGTCATCTGTCCATCATCGTATAAAGCCCGCCCTGACAATTTGATTGGATCGCCTGACAGTGGGCAATAATACTTGCGCTACTATGGAGCAGAGCCAGACCGAACTTCCCGACCTCAAACTTTGTGGGCGGGACTAAGTTCGGAATGGCACCCAGGCTAATTTCTTCAATTAACTGAGCTTAGATTTCACTGCAGGTTTCAATCTTGGTTTAGAGAAACTGAAACTTCTTTTTCATCTTTATATTAAATAACCTGTAGTTAGTGCGACTGTAAGTTTAGTATTAATGATAACATGCATGTTTGAAGTAACACAGATAAACCATTAGATGCAAATACAGAGATAACTTAAACCATGCATTCATAGAACTTAATATCTGGCTGGGGGACTACCGATGAAAATTGGCACTCCTTAGCTAACTCGGGTATATTTACATTGTTTTAATGTTGATTAATGTACACTGTCCCCTTTCAAATAAACAATAAATGAAATGAAACTTCATAACGTCATCGCGTGCGCCGGCTACCGTTCATTCATCCTGTCCGCTGAACTGCTGCTAGTTTTCCTCACATGCCTGGAAGATGTCTAGTGCTGCTACCACAGGTGATCTCGCTCTCCAAATGGAATTGAATGATTCAGATTAGCTGGAATGAATAGAAGGGGTAGAGCGTAGCCACCTGTGGCCTTGGCTGCCTCTAACAACTCCAGTCCGCCGGGCGGATGACATCATATACACTCTGCTTTAAAAAAAATATAAATATAAAAAATATAACCGCTGATGTCTGGGGTACAGTGATTGGCCTACATGTTCTGAATGCTGGCGTACCATGAAGAATAAATTATGAACAGTTTAGTTTGGGCCTTCAAGTCGTTGCCCATAGGAAGACATTACTTGGATATAACCTAACGGAATATCTTCAGAACAGCTCCAAATGACACGAATCCCATTGGGGTGAGTAGAACATGATGGAATAACGTAAAATCAAGGGCCTAATGGAAAAAAAACGGCGTTCCCCTTAAAGCTACAGTGTGTAATAATTACAGGGATATACAGTCAGAAATGTAATATATTATACATAACTATGTTATTTATCATCATCTACGAGCTCAGCCTCTTAACCTTAATATTTGCGTTGCCTTAGAATTCGTTATTTATAATTACATAGGAGCGGGTCTCGCAGCCATGGAGGCAGACATCTTTGCGCTACGGCAGCGCAGAGCCAACAAACTAGCGATTGCGAGATCGCCCATTACGCTCGAAAGTAACTACGGCAAGTTGAGAGAGATGAACTGAGACGGTACTGAAATCTATACCCTACACAGACTAATAAATACTATCTGTAAAATTATCTATGTAAACAAACCTCATCACTTGAGAAGGTAGGTGATGCGGACGTCGTGGAAGACATTTTGTCCCGTAACGCTCGCCGTACTGTTGGGGGGGAGAAGCGGTGGGGGGGAGATGTTCATGTTGCTGCGGTCTGGACGTTAGATGTCGCTGAAAATTACACACTGTAGCTTTAAGTGCATTTTTGAGGCCACGTTTTTTACTTTTTCTTTTTTCCCCTTCTGGTCCACTAAGGAGCCTAGAAATCATTATCTTAGAGAGGAAAACACTATGGACAAGTTGATTGACTGTTGCTGTGTGAATCAAATGGCGTTATTTAAGATAAAACATTTCAAATTCAGTTATTTATTTTAGACCAAATAACATTTTACATTTACATCCCGCTCGCTCCCTGAGGGTAAACATGCTGTGGTTCTGACTGCGGAGTTGGGACGGGGGAGATGCCCCACGGCAGCACCTGTTTCTGGAGGACAAGAGTAGGAACGATACGTGCTTTCACGTAAGAGTCTCCAAAAGCCGCCTGTGACACCAGAAAAGAAGCTAGATTTGACTCTAGTCGTTTTTTTGAAAAAGTCGCTGGAGGGGTCTGAAAGTCGCTAAATATAGCGACAAAGTCGCTGAGTTGGCAACACTGACCGGGCGGGCCGTTCATTAATAGGAAACACTGATATAGCCAAGCTCCTAATAATTGTAGAACTGTTCTTAATCTACATGGATTGTTACTCCTCAAATTCTCCAATTCTTCATGTTAGGTATCCATAGATTTTGTCAGGTGAGGGATAACAGAGATGCAAAGAAAACACGCTGAACTTTTATCTAAAAATGATTTAGCCTTACAACCTCGGAAAACAAAATTTCCTTCATGATTAGATTTTACCTGAACAACGTAACTGTAACCGTTGGTTACCAACTTTCAAAGTTAAACACATTTCATGCAGGTTTGTTTTTAAACCAAACGACCTCTAGTAAAAATGTACAGCAGCTTCACTATCTGGGACATTTTTAGTTTTAGACTAAGACTAACTTTATTGTCATTTTCTGTTTGCAGAGTGTATACAAAATTACATTTGGATGCAAACAGTGAAATGAACATTACCAATTATAAAGTACAGCAGTGATCAGAATGTAAAGAGTTTAGAAGAAAAGGAAAACAGTTTAAAGTCTTGGTGCAAAAGGCTTAAATATGAAAAGGTTCTGTGCAATGCAAAGTAACTATGGTGCAAAATGCTGTAGAACATGGAGTCGTGTTCTATTTAAAGGGATTATGAAAAAAAAAACTGTTTTCTACAGGATGTTGTTGCAGTTTTTGAAGCAGTTTGAAGCATTTTAAAATCTTTTTCCATCTGTTTTTGTTGCGTTCCTCCTCCTCCTTATCGATCCAGTCTCCGAGTTGCTCCCCCCTGGCGTCGGACTGCAGCAGCAGCCGCCGCTCCTCCGTCTCCAGCACGTCTTCTGTCAGCTCAGAGTCCAAACCCGAGGCTGAAGGCGTTCGACACAGAGAGGTGAACAAACTAAAGCACCACCCTAAACCAAGCAGAGCTTTTGATCCTAGTAGTCATGTGGCAGCCGTGATGGGAGGAAGAGGAGGAGCCGTAGTGTGAGCATGAGTTCATCTCTCCATCCATGTGTTTGTCAGGTGGAGAAGCTGCTGCGGGCTGTAGCTGATGGGGATGTGGAGATGGTGAGTTCTTTGATCTGGCAGCTCCGGCTGTAGACGGCTGCTTTGTCAACCGTTGCCGTCTGTTTCAGATGCGCTACCTGTTGGAGTGGACAGACGAAGAGGAGGATGAAGGAGAGCTGCGGTCTGAGTCCCGCCTCTGTCATCCGCTCTGTCAGTGTCCCAACTGTGCTCCTACCCAGAAGGTCTGCAGCCTTTGGTCCAGGAAGGTTTTATCCTCCTGGGAGCAGATGTTGTGTTAAAGGACGTCTGTGGTTTCCTGCAGCTCCCTGTGCAGCAGGCCGGAGTGCTGGGAGTCAGCAGCTGCAACGCAGACAGCTTCACGCCGCTCCACGTGGCCGCGCTGCACGGCCAATCGTCCATAGCGGCGCTGCTCATCCGCCACGGGGCCAACGTCAACGCCCGCACCAACCAGAACGCCACACCTCTGCACCTGGCCAGCCAGAACAGCCACGTCCAGGTAGAAGAGCAGCTTCTCAGTTTAGGGATGAAACAATTCATCGGAATTATCCTGATTAATCAATTATTGAAATTATCGCCATCTAAATCTAGATTGATCATTAACTGGAGTGTAGAAGCTCTACGACGTGCCTTTAGCTGAAAGAGCGACCAACTTAGAGCAGGAATTATTCCAAAATAGGCCTATATAAAACTCTACATTTAAGATGAAAAAAGTTTTCATCTGTCAGCATGCTTCATTACAAAGGAATATTAGGGCCGGGCTAGAGATTAATCTATGTTAAATATGAGAATAAAGTCGTAAATTTGTAAGAATAAAGTTGTATTTTATGACAACTCTTGCAAGAAGCACTTTCTTCCCTAAGATGAGAAAAGTCAAGGATTCTGTTTGGGCTCCTGTCACACCTTGCTGATTTATCCAGGGTCTACCTGACATCCCAGAATCTCCTAAAACGTGTCCAGAACTTCTGTCCAACGACAGAAGCGTAATGTCGTAGCGACAGTGGAGAGGAAAAACCTCCAGCAGAACCAGGCTCAGTGTGAGCGGCCGTCTGCTGAGGCCGACTGGGGTTCAAGGAGACAGAAGCAGACATAGAAAAAGAATCATAGATACAAAAGGCAACTGTCAACCAGCTCCACAGGCGGCCCCGTCCAGGAAACACACAGCCAGGCAGACTAGCTCCGAGCCAGCTCCCATGTCAGAGGATGAAGAGAGTACATCCAGTTAGTCACAGTCAGAGAAACAGGACTACACTGGAAAAAAAACAGGCCAAGCTCCAACATCTAGAAACAAAGGTGTTGATGACAGCAGCACAGCTGATATTTCTCTCCAGGATGGAGTCACAGCCAAACAGGAACAGACCAGTTGAAGCTACTATGAGAAAAAGCAGAGAGCAGAACGTTAGAGATTGAACTAACAGATTCTGCAGAGTGGGAGAATAGAGATAGAATGAAGCAGAATGATGAGAAAGGGGTCCCTGTCCTCCAGCAGTCTAAAGGCCTGGTTGTCCTCCCCCAGCAGTGTGTCGCAGTGAGCTTGTCATAGATATTTTTGATTTATGCCTAATATTGAAGCGTGGTCTGCGCTATGTTATTCCACGCCACAACGCCAGAGGGCCAATCAGGAACTAGCTGTGGGTCTAGATATGGCCGAGGCGGTGAGGAAGTGGGGGCAAGTTCGTGCGACAACTGAGGAACATGAGGGCCAAAAAGAGCGGGGATCCAGGTGGAAAAAGGGTCCCAGCGTTCTTGCGCACCTCACTCTTCTAGCTGCTCCATCTTAACCAGTCGTTTTCCACAATGGCGGTCAGACAAACAAAACCAGCCTGTAAGGTGCCTAACAGGAAATACGCATAGCGTAGAGCGGATGGAGATTTGACCAATCAGAGGCCTCCTGTCTGCGCCCACCTACAATTTTGGAGACACGCAGACCACCTGGTTTCTGAGCATAAACAGGCCCTATTAGTTGCATTGTAAATTATTCCCTGGTTGATCAATATTGGGCACTGTTGCCTAGCAACCAACATTCTACATAGAACTCTTTGGCTAATAGAGAAAAATGGCTTTCCGAAGAAATCTAACTGTGAAACAAGCCTTAGAAATGCCTCAAAATATTGATGATAGAGATTCAGGCCCAGAGGGAGAAACCAATGAGGAGGAAGCGGCTCAGATTCTGAGGCTTGTGGCTGTATTTTATGATCTGCTGGACATAGCAGCTGTAAACGTGCTGGTTTTGTTTAGGAGTCGTTTGAACGTCACCGCCTCACGCAGATTTTATCCTTGAACTGGTAAAACAGTTGCGTGCCGACCACATGCGCTCTGCAGGTTAGCAGCCCCTCCGCCACTGAGGAGCAGCTTTGGACGAGGCAAAGAAAACGGCGGCAGGAGCTTCAGAGCTGCGCAAAGAAAATCCTCAGATGTTTGTCATAAATGTGAAAAGGTAGTGTGCGGGAAATGTTCGGGGGGAATCAATCAATTTCTGCAAAAAAAACCTGTGTAGTTTATTTTACTGATTTATTTTTAATACAAATTTTGACTAAATATATACTAATAATAGCATACAATACAGCTTTAAATATAGATATATTTAATATAGATATACATATTTAAGGCCTGTTGTAAGTTCTACAATACGTTTATAAGGCACACTAGAACCATTTCAGTTGATGACGACATCGCTACTCATGCGTTCCACTGGGGAAAATGTCGCCCGTCAAAGTGACGGCCAGTGGGAGATCTAGTAGCAGAAATCTGGGAATCCTCGTGTTAAAGAATCTCGTCGGCCAAGATTTCTGGTTTTTGGGAGAAAATCTGAACGGTTTTTCTTGATTTAAGGGCCGCACTCTGTTTGGGTTGGTCCCTGTAACCCAGCCGTCCCTTTAGGGCCCTTCTCATTTTCATTTGGCTCCCTTTGATCTCTTGTTTTTTGTTTTGAATAAAGTTCTGCTTTAGCTGTTCTTATCTAGATATCATTGCCTTTATTCGTAGGTGGTGAGATTTCTGTTGGAGTGCAACGCCAAGCTAAACAAGAAGGATCACTACGGAAACACGCCTCTGATCCACGCCTGTCTCCGTGGTAACCTGGAGACAGCCAGCACTCTGCTGCAGGTAGATGCTCGGACTGACACTCAGCAGCTGCTTTACAAAGTGATTTTTTATTTTTACTGAAAAATGAACGTGTTTACAGAGCAACGCGATGGTGAACGTGGCGAACCTGCAGGGCAACACGGCTCTCCACGAGGCGGTGCGAGGAGGACACCATGCTCTGGTGGAGCTGCTGCTGAGGGCCGGCGCCTCGCCCGGCCTCGTAAACAAGAGGCAGAGGACGCCGCTGGACTGCGCTTATGAAATGGGTGGAAAGGTAGCCAGTGACCTTTAACCTCTGTGTCCTCACGGAAATTAAACCAGAAGGATTTTTGAGTGTTGGGTTTTAGTTGTGGGCTTCTCGGTGGAAGAGCGCGTGAGTGGAAGAAATATGGCGGTTTTCAATTCAAAGTAGCAGCGATGATTTCGATAGTCTATGTTTTAACTTTACCACAGAATCGCAGAGACCAGGATTGCATATTGTGTGATAAAAAGTGGGATAAACACATAAAAACTTTCACTAATTATACTTAACAATACAGAGTGGGTTATATGCAGTGATGGTTGTGGTAAGAGCCTGTTTATAAAATGGATGGGATACATGCATTATACGCTATTACCTCATTTCCAATGGGAAGTGAAGTGACCTTTTTTAATTTAGTCTAGTAAAATAAATGAATAATTTAATAGGAAAGGTGCGGCAACATAGATGGAGCCAGGTGTTAGGTTCACAGCTGGGAAGCGATAATTTAACAGCCAGTTTAATAAGACGATCCACGTGTATCGGTCACATCAGTAAATCAAACGCCATGGGGCCCGGGGCCCTGGCATCATTACATGGAGGAAAAATGTCAGAAAATGACCTCCTGAAAATATGAGCGAGCGTGGAGCGATTTCACCGTAGCAGCAGGAAAATGAAGGTGAGTGTGGAGCGGATTTTGAGCGGGACAGAGCAACTTTGGTGGGCAGAGCAAATGAGAGTACATCTTTCTGAGCGGGAATCATTCGGCGTGGCGCACTGCGCCGCTCTGTTCACAAGCTCTGCTCAGTGGCGCAGTGGGAACCACTGCTGCCTTGCAGCAAGGAGGTTCTCGGTTCGATTCCCCGCCCGGGGTCTTTCTGCTTGTAGTTAGCATTTTCTCCCTGAGCATGCGTGGATTCTCCCCGGGTACTCCAGCTTCCTCCCACAGTCCAAAACATGACTGTTATGCTGCTTTCACACCAATCGCAGCAGGAGCAGCAAAATCGCGTCTACTGCTTAATTTTTGCTGCTTGTACCAGTTAGTTCTGACGCGCGGCTGAAGCAGCTTTGCTGCTCTGGCTGCGTGGTGCAAAAGTGGCTCTGACGCGCGTTGGGCGGAGCTACTCTATCCTTTCTCTGCCTTGCAGCTATATTTGCTGTGATCAGTGGGAATAAAGTAGTTTTAATATGTGTTTAAGTGAGAAAATACACCTGAAAACTTAATCAGTGCAGTCAGTTCATTCAGATTATCATCCTGCCTTCCATTATTATTTCTGTCGGAGCCGCTCAGTAGGAATCCCATTCAACAGCAGCCTCTGGCCGGGTCGCCTCCTCGCGGTTTGCCGCGGCAGCTGGTAGGTGGTTTTCATGTACATAATCCAAACTGCAGGGACCAGGATAATAGATGCCATCATGTTTTGTCAGCAGGTTTCAGCATTTTAAGTTAATTTATGCGCCAATAAACTGTTTCAGAGGAGTGATCACACCGCTCTGTATCATCAGCGATGTGTCTCTCTCCCTGCCAGCTCCCAAATCAGCTTCTCTGGTTGATGCGGCGCGTCGTGCAACAAAAGTTCAATTTTTCCATCTCGAGCAGCAGCGCGTTTGCGGCACGTCACGCTCTCTCAGATGCTTAAACGCTCCCGCTGCTTCAGCTGCTCAGACGCGCTGCGCCTGCTGCTCAAAACGCGCCGCAGGACCTTTTGCTGCGCCTTGACGCGCGTCAACCATTGACTTTGCATGTAAACTCGCTGCTTTTGCTGCGCCTGCTGCGTCGGTGTAAACATAGCATTATGTTAATTGATCTCACCCGTAGTCAGCTGGATATAGGCACCAGCTCCCCTCGCCACCCCAGCAGGGATAAGCGTGATGGAAAACGGATGGATGGTTTTATTCTTCACCTTAAAGTTTGCATTAAAGACCACATCTTTTCCAAGGACATCTGTTCCCTTTTTCTTTTTTTTTTTTTTATGGAACAAGACAATTTACATTTAAAATAATGAAAAATAATTACATTGTCTTATTTCAAGTGCATATTATTTAATTATCATGTCTTAGGAGTAAAATTACTAACTATTGGCAAATCATGTACCTCCTCAAATTAAGGGTAAATACACTGAATTTAAGAAATGTTGACTTATTTCTAGATGGTTTTTGCAGCGCTCCCTGTCGTCCCGATCCTGTGATTCTCTGAGTCACCTCTGAGCTGCAGTGCCTTCAAGTTTCCATGTCTCTCTCTCTCTTGAACAGAACACTGAAACATTGAGGGCTCTGCAGAAAGCTTCAGGACTTTCTCCTGAGGCGCAACCAATCAAACTCCTCTCTGTGCCTAAAGGAGCTCTGGGTAACATGCTTTCCTCGCTTTGGGCTCGATCAGCCCCGGGCCGCTCACGCTGATCCGGTTCCAACTCTTGTTGTGTTGCAGCTCATTCGTTGGTGCAGCGGCTGAAGCTGCAGGACCAACCCAACGGCAGGAGGCAGAAACTGGCCCAGTCTGTCAGCAGGTGAGCCTCCTGTTCCTCCTTCCTCCTCAGAAAACTTCAATAAGATCCACAAGCAGAAACATGATTATTTGTCTTTACTTTAGGATGCATCACATGAGAAAAGGTTCGTGTGGCTCCCCCCCCAGGAGTCCACCATTCCTGAACAACCAGGTACATCGCCTCATCAGGGACTCCAACTCCTCAGCACGAAAAGTCACTATAGGCCGTCCTTAAAGGAAAAGTCTGTCAGAAAGGAATAATCAATGGATCATTATTTATACCTAAAACTAAAACGTTTGTGGTGATTTAATACATTTAGTGTTAATCAGTTAGAAAAATCAAAATAATTGTCGTCATGATCACTGAGTCTGGGAGCGGCCATTTTTGCCCAAATATTGTAACCCCTCCCTCCTGCCATCTTCCAGCAGTGACGTCACGGTGCGGTAAGCCTAGCGCCATTCTCCCCGCTTTACAAGCAGAATCAATGGGAACTACTAGACACATCTGCAATCAACAACAATTATTGAAGATTTCCAGAGGACTTCACCATTGAAATTCACCAGAGCAATAGTGAAACTGACAATGCCCACGTGCATGGCAGCTGGATGCTGGAATACATCGGGTAAACGTGAAAAAAAAGAGTTATTCCACCTTCCTGATTCCTGATCCTCCACGGACGGGTTGGTCGTTGGATCGCCAACTTGAAGAGGGAGGATTTGCCTTTGAACTTCTGGCCAGAGAAAAAACCCGTAATATGTAGCCAACATTTGGAAGAAGAATGTTTTCAAGATGACTTGGATAATAGCGCGTTGTGACAAACACCAGATACAGCACTGGGACTTGATCAACAGCCGATGCCGCACCGTGACGTCACAAACCAGTAAGTGGCAGTAGTGTTCTTTGACAAACATGGATGCCTCCAGTAAAGCACATTCACATGAAAATTACTCCTAGTTAAAATCTGGCTGCAGGAGATTCTGATTAAGATTTTATTTTATTTTTTTGCTGTCTTATCAAACCACTTCAGAGATAAAGGTATTTCTGTGGTACGTTGAGACATTGTGCCTACTTTGCGCTGCTCTCCTTTCCTCATCACAACTTTGAGCTGCAGCTGTTTTTACGGTGCACATTTCATGAGCTGCTGTAGATTATAATGTCTGAATGTTGGTGGGCTGGTCCGATGAAGGAGTCCGACCGCGCGGCAGTCCTTCCTCACCTGATGGCGTTTTCCCTCCTGCAGGTGAACCCAGAGCGGAGGAGGCTGAGGCGACGGGAGACGGTGGAAGTCAGCAGCCACTTCGGAAGCCCCGACCTTCCGCCTCGACAGAAGGAGCGGCCGATGGTTCGTTGTCACACGCTGGACTGTGGGGTCCCAGCTGAGCCCCCAGCCCACTCTGAAACCGACTGAGACCTGCCCTGAGCAGAGACTTGACCTTTCAATTCAAGAACAGGTTTAGAGTTTCATTTGTAAACTCCTTATTCTGGATTAGAGACTAAAACACTGGTTGGCTTCATTCTGTTACCAAACAGGCTAAAAGGATAAGTTCCTATCATGGTTCCTGTTTTCAGGAAGGTTCTGCACCTGATTGCTCCCTCTGCTGCCGAGTCTTCTTGCTGTTGTCACGTTAGTCACATCACTGCAGACCGTCTTCCAGTCCACACCGTCAGACCCTCAATAAGTTTGACCAAAACCATTTCCACTCTGTCTTTTCTGAACATCCACTGGATCGCCGGCGGTCCCTTGTGTGTATTTACATTAAACACAGCAGCACACTCGAAAACATCACTGGTTAAACTTTTGCCAATATAGACGTTATACATCCTTAGAAAGCTTAGAACCCTTACCCACTGACCGAAAAACCCATTTAAACCCGGGAACAGTGGACTTTTGGTGGCAGTAGGAACAGATCACTGATGCTGCTACCCGGGTCAAACGACCCGTGTTATAATGCACTCGGCTCCGGTCCATGTTGCTCTCCATTATTTTCCTGATTTCCGTTGCCCTGGTGACATCATCAACATTCATCCATGATGGTGTCATCAGACACGCAGTGGTGGGAGAGTACAGCATAGTGGCCAGGCAGCCGCCGGCAGAGGGTTAGCATTTCACTCAATCGGGAAAAGAGCCAAAAGCTGATTGTTAGCGGCTCAACCCTGGTTTTCAGTGTGAAAGCAGATTTAGATTCTCCACAATCCAACCAACAAGTTCATTTTATATCCACCATGAGCACCAAAGCACAATTAATAATGTATAAATAATGAATTTTAGAAATAAAGCTGGAACTTCCTGCCTTTGAAGCGTTCCTAAGGTTGGATTATAAATCCAATCTTAGATTGTTTATAATCTACGGATTAAAAGTATTCCAGCATATTCACAATAAAAACAACCCATGATGAGAAAATCGGCACAAATTACGACATTTTTTTTTTCTTTTCTTACTGCTATTCAGAAAAGACCTCTTATATTTAAGAAGAAATTTTGAGTAATGCTTTAACTGCTGCGGTTTAGACTGTTTTAGACTCACTATTTTCATTTATATTTTCAGAAAGAAGAAGCTTTCAAATGATATATCACACATTTAATTTGGGCTTAGTTATTTGCTTTTCCATTTGGGTATGCAAAAAGACGAGGATGACTTAAAATTAGGTGGATGTTAAGAGGTTTTAAACAATATGGATTCAAAAAAGAAAAGACCTCAAATTAGGATGAAAATATTCAAACGTCTGGGATTTATTTTCACATTACTACAGCCAGTTTGTAGGACGTGATTAAATACGTCCTTAAAACTAATTTGGCGCTTTTCAGAGAGCTGCACTGGGTTAGGGTTAGGGTTAAATTAAGTGTACATCTGCTAAATTTGAGTAGGTAAATGGAATGAACATTTTTACTCTTAAAATAAGATAATTAGGTAATATGCTCTTGAAATAAGACAATGCAATTGTGTTTTCTTATTTTAAATGTAAATTATCTTATTCTATTGGCAAAATGTATTTTTCCTTCTCAATCCAAGAAAAAATGCACTTATTTTAAAAAAGAAATGACTTATCTAGATTTGGATTTTTTCAGTGTGTGGTCCCACAGGGAAATGCATAAAGGAATAACTGCTGGATTAGAAAACATGTTGACATTTGCTGCTTAGTGACTTTCTCCTCAGATGAGGCTAATGACTGTTAGGGTGCTGCTGACCAAATACGCCGATCTGAATTTAAGCAAGGATTTCCCGGGAGGTAGGTCACAGCGGTGGAGATGTTTAAAGAATTAAAAGGAGAATCTGCAAAATATAAACATGTGATCTATGTTTATTCATCGCTGTATTCTACCGCGATAAGAAAAAAGCTGCAGTATTTAGGGATCACCTTCTGTTTTCTGTCTAAAGTGAAGCTCTGAAGTCAGACTCGGTCAGTAAGAAGTGTTCATCAGCTGCTCGTTCGACGGTTCCCCGTGTAGATCCTCACGTGTAAAGACTTTTTCTCTAAAAGTGTCTTGTCAAAGTACAAGGTGCTTTCCAAGTCTGCTGTTTTTTAAATTCTTTTAATGCACTATTTTTATTTCACGTCCAAGGTTTCAATTGTTGAATGTGCCTTATTTATTTACACCTTAAACATTCAATAAAATACGTTTTGGTGAAACATATTTCATTTCTGCTTTATTTTTTACCTTTAGATACTAGAGGTTCAGTTGTAAAAATTATTGCTGAGTTTGTTTCTAAAATCACTTTGGTTCAGTAAAGTCAAATTTAATTCTATTCAGTTTATTTCTATAGTGCCAATACACAACACTTGTCATCTCAAGGCACTTTACAGAGACAACTTTTCTATCTAGGGAAAACCAGTTGATTGCATCGACTCATTGACTCTTCAGCAATCCCTCACAGTAATGACCAAAGTAGTGACCATCTGTCCGGATGATAATTTCAATTCAATTTAGTTTATTTCTATAGCGCCAATTAACAACACACGTCTTCTCAAGGCACTTTCCAGTTCACCAGATCATCCAGTCAGATTGATTTAAAGTTTTCTATCTAAGGAAAACCAGCTGATTGCATCAACTCATTGACTCTTCAGCAATCCCTCACACTAAGCATGCTTGTAGCGACAGTGGAGAGGAAAAACTCCCTTTGAACAGGAAGAAACCTCCAGCAGAACCAGGCTCAGTGTGAGCGGCCATCTGCAGAGGCCCACTGGGGTTCAAGGAGACAGAAGCAGACATAGAAAAAGAAGCATAGATACAAAAGGCATCTGTCAACCAGCTCCACAGGCGGCCCCGTCCAGGAAACACACAGCCAGGCAGACGAGCTCTGAGCCAGCTCCCATGTCAGAGGATGAAGAGAGCACATCCAGTTAGTCACAGTAAGAGAAACAGGACTGCACTGGAAAACAGGCCAAGCTCCAACATCTATAAACAAAAGTGTTGATGCCAGCAGCACAGCTGATATTTCTCTCTAGGATGGAGTCACAGCCAAACAGGAACAGACCAGATGAAGCTACTATGAGAAAAAGCAGAGAGCAGAACGTTAGAGATTGAACTAACAGATTCTGCAGAGTGGGAGAATAGAGATAGCCTGGGTGCCATTCCGAATTTAGTCCCGCCCACAAGGTTTGAGTTTGGGGAAGTTCGGTCTGGCTCTGCTCCATAGTAGCGCGAGTATTATCGCCCACTGTCAGGCGATCCAATCAAATTGTCAGGGCGGGCTTTATACGATGATGGACAGATGACAAACAGTAACGTAATCAACCACGTGACCAATGCGTGCTTGGGTGACAACAACAATGGCTTCCGCCGGAGAGTTGAGGTGAGTAGATTCTGCTATTAGGTCTGTTCTAGAAGATATCGACAGCAATTTAATTTTAAAAGAGGAACAGAGAAACACGATCAAGGCTCATCTTCTTATTCTAGGCGTGAAACTGCACGCTTTGATTTTTGTTGAAAACAACTATGCGTTGCTTAACATACGTCACGCACTCCGTTGCTCTTATTGGTTGTACGTCTGTCCAATTGAGTGCAGAGGCATTTTTTTTCCTGGTTCGTTCAAAACACGCCCCATAATCACAGCTCTATGGAGCAGTATCAGACTCATATTCTGACTAGAATTGAGTAGGACTACGTCAGGCTAGAATAGAGATAGAATGATGAGAAAGGGGTCCCTATGTCCTCCAGCAGTCTAAAAGCCTGGTTCTCCTCCCCCAGCAGTGTGTCGCAGTCAGCTTGTCGTAGATTTTTTTATACATGCCCAATATTGAAGCGTGGTCTGCGCTATGTTATTCCACGCCACAACGCCAGAGGGCCAATCAGGAACTAGCTGTGGGTCAAGATGCGGCCGAGGCGGTGGGGAAGTGAGGGCAAGTTTGTGCAACAACGGAGGGACTTGAGGGCCAAAAAGAGCGGGGATCCAGGAGGAAAAAGGGTCCCAGCAGGTTCTAATCACGATAACATTAAGGAGAAAACTAGTTACTGAATAAATGGTCGTCGATCGGTGTATTCTATTGAGGTAAAATCTCACAGGAGAGAAGCACACCTGTCAGCAGGTGAAGATGAAGCATGAAAAACTTGTGCTAACAGGTAGGACCTGTGCATCATTTTATGGGGTTCCTCATTTTATTTCCGTCTTCCATTACATAGCAAATAAGTGGCTCTCTGACTGCAGTTGTTTTTTTATAATGCTGTTATCACAAATCAATATGTTTTCACTGATATTAATTACTTATAAATACCTGTTAAAGACGTAAATGTGAGGATGGATGAGGTCGTGGATGTATGTGATGGACTGGTAGTTGAAACGTAGCGTTCATAAAATTACCTGAATATGAAAGGATGTCTATACACAGTCTGGTGAATCCTCTCCCAACAAATATTTCATACTCTATGAATTGATGCCGCTCATTATTTATATGCATCCTCATCAAATAGGAGGTTTTTATTTTTAATACCTAATGTGTCTAAGGCACCTACAAAACTAAGAACTCTCCCCATTAAATCAGGAAGTATAGAGGCGTGATTGGCTCTAAGCAGGGCGGACACAGTGACACTGAGTTTATTGAACAAAACCTGCTCCAAACCAGGTTAGCTCCAGGGTGAATGTTACTATGGTAACAAAAACAGAGGTTAAGTAAACAAACTATGTGAAACACAAAACTCAGTTTCCATGATTTATGGTTTATAAATTTTAACGTTTTCAGTAAACCTGCTTTGTGAAACTGACCCCAGGACATAAGAATGAGTCATCTCCTAACACTTCTCTATGCATTACCAGTAAACTCCATCTGGGCGCACAAACAGGATATTCCTGTTCAAACGACACAGGACAGGTTGATGTCTTTGTTTTCAGAAGCACAGATAACTCGGATGCCAAAGACTTCTGCTCAACAGGAATATAAAGGTTGAGGAACTAAGTTTAGATTCACAGACGGCTTGCCTTCAATATCAGCCTTTGATCACGAGTCCAAGCAGCTCCTGACTATCTACATCAAGGTAAATTATCAAATACATTCAAATAATGTTAAGCTTTTTATATTTTACTGTCAACTAAATTACATGAAAATATAATTTTCTTTTGTTCAAGGTAATTAATCATCCTGGAGAAAAAAGATCTGTTTCTACATGACGAAAGCATTTAGGGAAATAAAGCCTAAATTTAGCAAGATGAAGTAATGATTAATTCTTTGTCAGTGCTAACTCGTTTAGTCTTTATGTCTGACGAGCCTTATTCTGTGTTAAGGATTAGAGTCAGAAGTCTGCAGTGTATTAGAGGAATAGATCAGACCTAGAGTTTTTATGTCCCAAATTTCTGATTCAAAAACATTTTCTGTTATTTGTGAGCATCATTTCTGATCATAAAAAATATGGGTATTTCTCATAAATTAAGTCATCTAACCCTATTTTTAATCATGAATAATAGTATAAAATGCTGTTCTGGGACGTAGTCAAATCTGCAGTTTGTCAGTCAGTCTGAATCTGGAGTCTGCAAAAAGTTAACTATAAACAAGTCTTTGGGACTTGTTTATAATTATAGGAAAATGTGTTCAGTGTTACAGGTCAGTGTTACAGGTCCATTTCACTTTTCTTTCACCAGTTCACCACAGTTCTTCCAGCAGTCCACACTTCCTCTGCTCTCTTTTTCTCATCATCTTCTCCTTCTTTCCCATCGCCCGGCTTGCCACAGGTTTGCCTGCTGTGTCTAAAAGTAGCAGCAGCAGCAACCCAGACTGACAGCTCATTGGCTAATTTCGATCACGTGCAGCCTGGAGCCGGATGCTCCACCGGACGCTTTACCGTATTAACAGGAGAAAGTGAAAGTGAAGTTAGACACTGCTGTTGGACAACATGCGATAATTTATAAATATTTTGAATCAGGTTGGGTCCAGATTAGCCAGCAGGTGGATCCGGACCGCGGTCCGCTAATCCGTGACCTCTGGTCTAGTGGATGAAAAAGTAGTGGACTCAAAATTTCCCACAATGCACTTTGAAAAGTAGTGATCATCCTTGGTTACTTGATTAGACAATATATCCCGGAATGCCTTGTGAGAGCTCTCCACACAAAGCATCATGGGATTTGTTTTGACAACAGCCTATTGTCAGCTAGTGACAGCAGCAACAGATAACAAAGATGGCGCAGGCACCGTACAGATAGTTACATGACCAAAGTAGTGACCATCTGTCCGGATAATAATTTCAATTCAATTCAATTTAGTTTATTTCTATAGCGCCAATTAACAACACATGTCTTCTCAAGGCACTTTCCAGTTCACCAGATCATCCAGTCAGATTGATTTAAAGTTTTCTATCTAAGGAAAACCAGCTGATTGCATCGACTCATTGACTCTTCAGCAATCCCTCACACTAAGCATGCTTGTAGCGACAGTGGAGAGGAAAAACTCCCTTTGAACAGGAAGAAACCTCCAGCAGAACCAGGCTCAGTGTGAGCGGCCATCTGCTGAGGCCAACTGGGGTTCAAGGGGACAGAAGCAGACATAGAAATAGAAGCATAGATAGAAAAGGCAACTGTCAACCAGCTCCACAGGCAGCCCCGTCCAGGAAACACGCAGCCAGGCAGACAAGCTCCGAGCCAGCTCCCATGTCAGAGGATGAAGAGAGCACATCCAGTTAGTCACAGTCAGAGAAACAGGACCACACTGGAAAACAGGCCAATCTACAACATCTAGAAACAAAGTTGTTGATGGCAGCAGCACAGCTGATATTTCTCTCCAGGATGGAGTCACAGCCAAACAGGAACAGACCAGATGAAGCTACTATGAGGAAAAGCAGAGAGAGCAGAACGTTAGAGATTGAACTAACAGATTCTGCAGAGTGGGAGAATAAAGATAAAATGAAGCAGAATGATGAAATGTGGGTCCCTATTTACCTGAGTTCACTATAAAATCCATATAGTCCCCACCCTATATAGTGATTGAGGGATTTAGGGGTGTTGTGCAAAATGATATCCTGCAGATAATGAAAAAATTCTGAACCAAAAGATGGTGGATCTGGCCTGAGTGATAAACCATCCATATATGAATCACAACCACTACAAGTTAAACAATGACGTCTTTATTTTAATAATTCAGGATTACAGAAATCTAACATCTATGCAAACACTACACTCTATTAGAAAATAAACATGAGGTAAACTAAATGACTAGTTTTAAAGAAAAAGAATAAAACCCTAAGCGTCCATTTAACTGGCTTCTGAGATTGTCCAAGATAGGCCAGATGTTAATACATTCACTAATGTCCGATTGGAATAGCAGCAGGTATGAGGATAACAGTGCAATTAAAACAGCAGGTGGAATAGCAGCAGGTATGATGATAAAAAAGTGCAATTAAAACAACATAAAATACATTCATCTTAAATGATAAATGGTTAAAATGCATTAACAGCAGCAGAAGATGTTCATTAAGCAAAGCGGCATCAACAGGGCTCTGTGTGTGTGTTGTGTGTGTGAGACCCCCGTTTTCGTATGATGAAAGGGAGGAGGAAGGGGGGGCAGCTTGTAACAATGGGCCTGAAACACGTGACCACACGCGGTTTAATGTGAGCAAACTCTCTATAAACTACCTTAAAGTAGAAACAGAAGGAAAGCAGGATAGAAAGAAAGGAAGAAAGAAATATGCAGCTTTTCACAGCACACTTATTTGGACCGTTAAACCAGAGTTCTTATAACCAGCACAGATTACACATCAGCATTAATTACAGTTTCTCCTATCTGCCTGCTTGGCCAAGAGCAGCACCTCATTAAAGCATCAAATGGAAAAGTGGATGGGTTTTAATTTGAGACATCTTCCAGTCCGGGATGGAGGCGGGGGACACGCGGTTCGATCTCAGCTCGATGCGGGTCCGTCTCACCAAGGGTCTGTTCTCGGAAAAAGTTAAAGTGAGTTTCAAACTCACTTTGGGTTTCACGATGGGACACTGCGATCTGTGACTTTTTACGCAGGAAAACTAAAAGCTACTTCCAGTTAGTTTTCTTTTAGCATTTCACGTGAAACAGGCCTCTCCTTACAGGTGTTAAAACCCAGGGGAAAGAGAGAAATTGATCTTGCGCTCTGGGATTTAAACCCTGAATGATGTAGGGGTATTTCCTGTTGAAGTTTAAGCCTTCTCATCAGCTGAGTGGTCCCTGCGTGAGCTGACTGTTCCTTTTGGTTGAAAATTTCCAGAACTTTCCAGAGCATCCTTTGTTGTCTTTGTGTAAAAGAAAGGGGTGTGGTTTGAAATGTTTCCTCAAATTGAATTGGCTCCATTGTGGCAATATATCCCAACAGGGGTTAGGGCAGATGTTGGGACACAGCCATAGTCTTGCCAATGTTCAGGGCTAACCACTAGGCCTCCTTCTAATAGAATCTACCTGAAATACCTAAACTCACTTTAAAAAGGGTTTATTAGTTCTTGCTAGGTATATCTAATCTGTATATGTACGAAATAAATCTGTAGGACAATACTTTCCCTAAAGCTTTAAAGCCTGAAACTTGCATCTAATGGATGTACATTCATCAGATTAAAATGGTAATTTAACTATATGCCTTGGCTTCCTCTTGCAATGTACCAGCTTGTTTTATTGTTTAATGTTTATCTTTAGACAGGGACCCCTTCAAGGTGTACCCTGTTTTTCACCCCTTGCAGGGGATAGGCGCCTGCCCTCCACCACCCTAAAAAAGAAGGTATGGATTGGTGCCCTATATGTGTTGACCTACATGCCAAAGTACAAAGCAGATAGTTTTCCTTTGCTTCACCCTTGAAGAAGTTAACTTTAGCGCAATATACCCCCCTCCCCCAAGTTTATCCACTTTGTATAAAATATGTTGGAAATTATGACACAAAAATATATTTTCCTGCTTCTCTGTCTCCACAGATAATCATGGAAACTGTAGAACTCATCTTGGAAACATGCTCAACCATCTACCGAAGGGCTGAGAATGTGAAGGTCTACAAAGACCGCTGTGATCGAGTCGCCCAAAGAGTTAAAACCCTTGAGAGACTTGTTAAGGCAATCAAAGAAAAGGAACCTGATCAGATCACTCCTATGGTTTCCCATTGTTTGTTGGAAATCCTAATGACTCTAAAAGAAGCAGAAGAACACATAACAAAATTCACCAGGTCAAATGCTAATAGAGGCCAAGTTAAGTCTAAAGACTGTGATGAAAAGTTCAGTAAGATAAATGAAAAACTAAGCGATAACTTCCAGGTTCTGTCAGGGGCACTACAGCTTGACCAGAAAGATATGCTCCATAAAATGATCCGTTCTATGTCACTTGATGAAAGCCCGAAATTACCATCACCTTCACCTTCCCAAATGTCACCACCCTACCCTACAGGACCAACGTTTCCTAATTCTCCTCAGCCCAGTCAGCCCACCGCCCCTCTGCCTCCTCAACCACTGCAGATTGGGTTCAGTGTCCCTCTACCACCTCAACAACAGCAGTTCAGGCCCAATGCCCCTCTACCCCCTCAACAACAGCAGTTCAGACCCAATGCCACTCTACCCCCTCAACAACAGATGTACAGACCCAGTGCCACTCTACCCCCTCAACAACAGCAGTTCAGACCCTATGCCACTGTACCCCCTCAACAACAGCAGTTCAGGCCCAATGCCCCTCTACCCCCTCAACAACAGCAGTTCAGACCCTATGCCACTCTACCCCCTCAACAACAGCAGTTCAGGCCCAATGCCCCTCTACCCCCTCAACAGCAGCAGTTCAGACCCAATGCCCCTCTACCCCCTCAACAGCAGCAGTTCAGACCCAATGCCTATCTACCCCCTCAACAGCAGCAGTTCAGACCCAATGCCCCTCTACCCCCTCAACAGCAGATGTTCAGACCCAATGCCCATCTACCCCCTCAACAGCAGCAGTTCAGACCCAATGCCCCTCTACCACCTCAACAGCAGCAGTTCAGACCCAATGCCCATCTACCCCCTCAACAGCAGCAGTTCAGACCCAATGTTACTCTACCACCTCAACAGCAGCAGTTCAGACCCAATGCCCCTCTACCCCCTCAACAACAGCAGTTTAGGCCCAATGCCCCTCTACCTTCACAACCACAGCAGACTAGGCCCAATGCCCCTCTACCTTCACAACCACAGCATTCTATGCCCAATGCCCCTCTACCTTCACAACCACAGCAGCCTAGGCCCAATGCCCCTCTACCTCAACAACCACAGCAGTTAAGTCCCGCAGCCCCTTTACCTCCCCAAGAACAACAGTTAAGTCCCGCAGCCCCTCTACCTGCCCAAGAAGAAAAGATAAGTCCCGCAGCCCCTTTACCTCCCCAAGAACAGCAGATGAGTCCCGCAGCTTCTCCACCTCCCCAAGAAGAGCAGATAAGTCCCGCAGCCCCTCTACCTCCCCAAGAACAGCAGATAAGTCCCACAGCCCCTCAGCCTTCTGGAACCCAATAGTTTATCTGTAAAATACCATATTAAAACCCGACTGCTTCTTTGCCTCCCCAAGCACCACGGTTCACACCCCCAACATTGAAGGTTTTCCCCACCATTGAAATGTTCAACCCTTCAACTGCTTTGCCAGTCTGCTCCATCATATCTCCCATGTCAGGTTCTATATCGAGTGAAACATTATATTGTCAATAAACCCACAGTTCAGGGAAGGTCAGAAAATGTTTGAATTAGTAAATGGACACAACTTTTGTATTAGTCACCTGATACACTAGAATATGCAGTCACTCATTCACACGCTTAATCAGTACCAGCGGGTAACTTAGGTTTCAGTGTCTTCAGTATGTGGCAAGATGAGGCTAAAGTGAAACTCTTGACAGACCATTCTCAGAGATTGTTGTTGTTGAACTACTAACTAATGATTTTATCCTAAAAGAGCAATGAATAAAACATTCACTGTAAAATCAGCCAGAAAATCCTTGTAGTTTGTCGCCCAGGATTAAAATAACATTCTCTATAAATAATTGGTCTTCTACATCAACATCTTAGTTTATCTCTTTTCAAACCTAAAGGTACGATGCAGAACTACTTTGATGTAGTCCATAGTTGGTGTTTGTCTTGGTTCCTAAGCCAGTCTGATAAAAGTTTCCAGGGTTTCTACAACAAAGAGCAGCACTTAGTGTGTTTTGTTTGTTGACTTTGTTGACTGTCTGATTGTAGATTGGATGCCTGCTTGGTTATAAATAACGGGGTACGCAAAGGAGCATCATTGCATGAGCAGCTACAAGCTACATTACTTCCAATCCAATCATAGAGTACTCAGTAGTTCATAAACTTTAATATAGGTCTTTGCCAATGTTTTGTTTTCCTGGATAATGTTGTAAAGAAGAAGAACAACTGTGAGTTGTTTTACAAAAATAAATCTTCTGTATATAGTAGCTGATCTAGTTGTATGTATCTGGTTATTTCATTTGTGTGCTTTGTTGTATATATTTGTTGTATATATTTTGCAAAGAATTGTGCGATGTCTGTCTTTGTGTCACATTCTGTGCTGTATTCTATAGAGCTGAAGATATATCTACTTTTTGTCACATAATCAAAACGGTCAGTTGGTAAAGAGAAGTAAAGTCAAGGTAAAAGGTAAAATATTTGTGTGACAAAAGCAATCATGATTTTCTAGAAATTGTAGGAACTTCTTTGATATGTGATTTAAATGACAGGTCCTGATCAAAAACAACACCAAGATTTTTTACTTTATTATCTGAAATCAGTTTAATCCCATCCAAATGAAGTGACTGACTAATCAGCGTATTTTTCAAAGACTCTGGTCCAAAGACTATAACTTCTGTTTTGTCTGCATTCAGAAGGAGAAAGTTAAGAGTCATCCAGGTTTTTATTACTTCAGACATGCCTGTAATTTATGTAATGGGTTAGCTTCATCTGGATTTATAGACAGATATAGCTGGGTATCATCAGCATAACAGTGGAAATGAATCCCATGCTGTCTAATAACTCTACTGATTGGGAGCATATATAAAGTAAAGAGAATTGGTCCTAGCACTGATCCCTGTGGTACTCCACAGGTAACCTTTGAGCATGAGGAAGATCTGTCATTCAAATAAATACAATTCAATTCAGTTTATTTATATAGCACCAATTCACAACACAAGTCATCTCAAGGCACTTTACAGTTCAACCAGATCATACAGTCAATGTCATTAACGTGAACAAACTGTAATCGATCAGATAGATAAGATTTAAACCAGTCTAGCGCTGTACCTTTAATTTGAACAAAATATTCAAGTCTTTCTAAAACAATATTATGATGAACTGTATCAAATGCAGCACTGAGATCCAACAGGACGAGCGCAGATACAAGTCCATTATCTGAGGCCATGAGAATATCATTAGTGACTTTCACCAGAGCTGTTTCAGTGCTATGGTGAGCTCTGAAGCCAGACTGAAACTCTTCAAAAAGTTCATTATGGTGGAAGTGATCAAACACTTGTTTGGCAACTATTTTCTCAAGAATTTTAGATCAGAAAGGAAGATTGGATATAGGTCTATAATTGACCAAGTCATCTGGGTCAAGAGACGGTTTCTTAAGCAGAGGTTTAATTCCAGCAACCTTAAAAGCCTTTGGTACATATCCCTGTAACAGAGATAGATTAATCACATCTAAAATGGAGGAGGAGATCAAAGGGAATACCTCCTTAAATAACCTGGTTGGAACTGGATCTAACATCCAAGTTGAAGGCTTAGATGAAGAGAATAGTTTTGCTAACTCTGAAAGTTCAACTGGATCAAAGCAGTCTAAACCCGGTTCAGATTCCATGACTACCTCAGGTGCTGCCCCACCCTCCAGAGACAAACCAATCGCGGATGGAGGAGTGCTAATTATCTTATTTTTAGTAAGATCAATCTTATTTATAAAGAATCCCATAAAATCCTTCCTGCTAAGAGCAGGTGGAATGGACAGTTCAACAGAGCTATGGCTCTGGGTGGGTTTGGCAACTGGATTAAAAAGATATCTAGGATTATTCTTATTCTCTATTAATGAGGAGAAATATGCTGCTCTTGCTTTACAAAGGATCCTCTTATACAGCAGTAAACTAATTTTCCAGACTAGGTAGGATTCCCGTAAGCCTGTGGAGTGATATTTTCTCTCCAGTTTCCTAGCATTTTGCTTCAAAGTGCGCAGCTCTGCATTAAACCAAGGAGCCAGCTTTCTATTATTAAGGGTTTTCATTTTCAAAGGAGCTGCGTTGTCTAAGGCAGTACACAGAGAACTAGCAACCCCATCAACAAAATCATCAATCTGTAAAGGGGAAGTGACTTGTAAATAATTGTTTTTGCCTCTTAGTCAATTTCTTTATATAATTGAAAATGTTGATTCATCTGAGTGACTTGCCTTTTATTGACATTTTAAATACTATTTAGTTCAGACATTAAAGTTAGAGTTGGTAATGCTGTTCAGAAACACTTTTTATTATGATTAAAATCGCCCTTCCATCCTGACAGAACACTAGCCCTCTGAAACTGATCTGTGCCAAGTTTAGACCGAGCTTGGTTCCTATGACCATTTACACATTACACTAGCATGGTTCCTCACCTCCTGTCGGCTCTCAAGGCAGGAATTATGCAAACACAAATGGCGGCACCCATAACATTCATGAATCTATGTTTGTTTATATTAGGGATAGTTCGACATTTGAGGAATGTCAGGTGAGCAGCAGAACCAGGCTCAGTGTGAGCGGCCATCTGCTGAGGCCGACTGGGGTTCAAGGAGACAGAAGCAGACATAGAAAAAGAAGCATAGATACAAAAAGCAACTGTCAACCAGCTTCACAGGCGGCCCCGTCCAGGAAACACGCAGCCAGGCAGACGATCTCCGAGCCAATTCCCATGTCAGAGGATGAAGAGAGCACATCCAGTTAGTCACAGTCAGAGATCAGAGAAACAGGACTACACTGAAAAACAGGCCAAGCTCCAACATCTAGAAACAAAGGTGTTGATGGCAGCAGCACAGCTGATATTTCTCTCCAGGATGGAGTCACAGCCAAACAGGAACAGACCAGATGAAGCTACTATGAGAAAAGGCAGAGAGAGTAGAACGTTAGAGATTGAACTAACAGATTCTGCAGAGTGGGAGAATAGAGATAGAATGAAGCAGAATGATGAAAAAGGGATCCCTATGTCCTCCTGCACTCCAAGCCTATAGCAGCATAACTATAGAGATAGCTCAGGATAACCTCAGCAACTCTAACAATAAGCTTTATCAAAAAGGAACATTTTAAGCATTCCTGATAGTAAAGAATTACAATAGTGCAGCCTGGAAGTAACAAATGCATGGACTAGTTTCTCTGCACCACCCCTCTTTTGTTTTGCTGCTCAGGTGATGTAAAATGTGGTTATACCTGCCTGCAGGTCTTGTTCCAGGGCAATCTTTGGACAATCCATCAGCAGACCTACTTTTGCCTCATCATTCATTTCCTGTGATCAAAGCCATCATAGTTTAATTTGGGGAGGGTCATAGCAGCCAACACAGCCTCCTCTCTTTTCAGCACCTCTGCAAATCTAGTTTTGGTTTCCTAAAATGATATATGAAAAAGAAGATGAAATACAAATGTGTATACAGTGTGTCCACATATGAAAGCTTTTAAAAAATGTTTATAGTAGGATTATTATATGGGGTTATTGCACAGGGTATTTACATGGGTATTTATATATATGGATATTTATATATATAGTTATTGCACTGGGTGTCAAATATAAAGAATCAGGTTATTGATCAGGGCATTCAATAGTAATTATTCTCCATTGCAGCAGTTATTATGGTTGTAGCGTGGCATTGTAGAGTCTGGTTGCAGCAGGGATGAATGACCTGCAGTAGCGCTCCTTTTTCCAAACAGGCTATAAAAGTCTTTGACTAAAGGAGCCGCTCAGCTCTTCTCCAGTCTGCTGCAGAGGGTGGAAGGTGGTGTCCATGATGGATGGAAGCTTGGACAGCACCCTCCTCTCAGCCACTGAGTCCAGAGTGCAGCCTAGGACAGAAACAGCCTTTCTGACCAGTTTGTTCAGTCTCTTACTGTCCCGCTCTGCACTGCCAGGGTAGAGGAGGGCTGATGCCCCCACAGAGTTAGAGAAGGTTTGAAGCAGGGGCCTGTTCACTTCAAAGGACCTCAGCCTCCTCAGGGAGTGGAGGGAGGCAGCTCTAGCCCTTCTTATACAGGGCGTCGCTGTTATGAGTCCAGTTTATTATTGACATGAACACCCAGGGATTTGAAACAGTTTCTATGTCCTGCCCTGGATGTTTATGGGGGAGTGAGGTGGGGTCTTCTCCTGAAGTCCGTCACCATCTCCTTGGTCTTACTGGTGTTCAGACACAGGTGGTACTTCTCACATCAGTCCACAAAGTTCATGATGACCGATTGATACTCAGACTACAATGGCCGAGTCATCGCAGAACTTCTGGAGATGGCAGCTGTCCGTGTTGGAGGTGAAGCCCGAGGTGTAAATGATGAAGAGGAACAGAGACAGGACGGGGCCCCGGTACTGCAGACCTCTAACTGACAGCCGTGCAGCACTGGATCAAACCAAGGATCAGTGCAGTCCTTCATAGTTAAAGATCCTTTTTCTTGTTTTTTTTTTTTTTTACATTTTCCCCTCCCTATTTATATGGTCTGTGGTTGTTGATCTCCCACTCATCCTCACCTTACACTGAAATAATACTTCTAAAAACTTATTCAGAGGGATAAACGAACATTTTGGAAGATATGCTCTACTGCCTGTCTTACCCCTCCATAGGTCAACTGAAAGACCTAAAGTTTAAGTATTTAAATTTTTTTACAATATTTTAAAATGTAACTCTGGATTTATGGTTTTTATAAGCTGTAGGCAGCAGTCACCCAATTTACAAGAAATTAAGGTTTGAAACGTATCACCCCATGAGTAACGATGCTATGGCATTTTTATCTATCAAAGAGGGAGAGACCACTACATTGTAAAAAAAGATGAGTTTAATAAATGTATTTCAAAGATAAAGTAGCATTTGAAGGGCTTTCAACACTCAAGAGAGGAAAAAAATAGCCACAAAGGAAGGAAATACAGCCTAATTTAGACTTCACAGAGAGATGGGTACATGCTCCCTGGTGTCAAGTTGTTTTCTAGTCTGAAACAACCCCTAATCCACATTTCTCCTTAGCTGCCCTCGGCACAGATTAGATTCCACCTCTTGTCTGACTCCTTAAAAAAATCAGTAGGAAAGATTTGAAAATATGTTGAATGCCAGCATGTAGCTCCTTTTGCAAAAAATATGAATAATATAAAACAGGATAACATAAAGACGGATAACATTTTTCCACCGTGTCCAATCTCCCTGCTCTTCTTCAGTGTACCAGTTTGAAATAAACACTCACCTGTAACTATAAATGAAAAACTAAATTCAGTCAGATGTTTTCAGAGCCTTTATTTCAGGTTTCACACAGATCCAGAACACAGAGAAGTTAGTTAGGCAAGGATTGTTCATGGTTTAGACTATAACCTGTTTTCTGTTCTTACACCTTCTGTCAGCACCGTGGCTTCTCGTTCTCAGCTTTGCTTACAAAGAGGCTTTTGAGGAAGAGGAGCTGCAGGTACCCAGAGGTGATGATGAGCAAGCTGAGGGCCATTGACCACCATGTGATGTACCTGGAGTTGGACTGCAGCAGGAAGTAGTCTGCACTCTTTGATATGCGGCCAAAGCTGTAGTAGCGAAATATGTGGAAGACGTGACGCTCCACTTTGTTGGTTGCCCGCTGAAAAGCAAGATCAATATTTTTCTTTGCAAAATACATTTAATGAGGGCGGGGATTCATGACAGCTTTCTGGGTCGGACATTAAATGTGTTAATATCCGGCAGTTTTGCAATGCATTATTTTTACAACGACTTTAGAAATGTAGTGTTAAGGTAACGCTTCTTATATAGGAGGGGCGTTCAATAAGTAATGCCCACATCCAGTAGTTTGATCTAGCTGATATTTTGCACGTGCAATTATTAAAATGTGTATAGATTAAGTGGACAATTACAACTCTGAACTGTTTTCACTTTCTGATTTACAGGTGTTTGAATTGGGTCAAGTCTTAAATGGAGCCTGTTGAGTGTCAAGCAGTGATACACACACCACAGGAGACTTTTGATTTTTATTTCCCATCATATGGCCTTGTAAAATGTTTTGCAACACCTTATGATGGGAGTATTATTACCAAAAGTTACTTTAATTTAATCAAAAGCCTCTATAAATACTGGATTGCTGTTCGACACTCAACAGGCTCCGTTTCAGACTTGACTCAGTTCAAACAACAGTAAATAAGAAACTGCAAACACTGCAGAGCTGTAATTGTCCACTTAATCTGTAGAGATATCAATAATTGCACGTGGAAAATTCCAACTCGATCAACAAACTGGAAGGGGTTCAGAGACTTTAATTATTGAACGCCCCTCCTATAAATCCTGATTTTGATATTTCAGTGAAAAATACTAAGAGACTAAATCCATTCTATCCAAACACATAATAGTTTTTTCACCATGAAGAAACAAAATGGAAGCAAAAAAATGTGATGCACACCTGAATAATGCTGAATGTGTTGTTCAGTTTCTCCTCCTCCTCCTTTGTTTCCTCCGCCTTGCCTTTAGAAGGGTCCTGGATGTTGTCATAGTAAACACCGAAGCTGAGGAAGACCTGCATCGAGTTGAAGCGGTTGTGGAAGTTGCTCAAACACATCTGATAGAAACCTGGAAGGGTAACAAGGTCAGACACGTGTAACTTCAGACGACAAGTACATTTTACAAGATTGGTTTGAAAACTAATGTTATATCAGATACAGATTACCTCTTTACATACAAAACACAGTTTTTAAATAATATTTATAGTTAATAATGTTGGAAAAACATCAACATTTGAATTCAGCTGTAGAATTTTAAGGAAATCTTAGAGATTGGATTAAGCCCAGTTCTTTTCTGAAATGACTATCATGCTGTTAATATTCTGTTGTGGAAATCTAGCTTTGATTAAATGACCACATTTCTGAAATCATTCTGGGGACATTTCAGCTCGTAGATAAAAATAAATACATATCATCAAAACGAAAATAGGAAACAGGAACAGTGATTAAAAATCAAGGGTAAAATCCCGGAATGTGCCTCTCCTATTTCCTCAGATTAATAAAATTGATCAATCGATGGTTTTTATTAGTACCATCTGGTTATTCAGTCTCTGTCTTCTTCCCTCTCCATCTTTTCTTTCTAGCCGACTCCTGCCTGCTTTCTGTTTAAAGCTTCTAAGTAGATTTTTCTTCCTTCTTTTCAACTAATCTTTCCATCAGTGTCCCTGTTTCCCTCCACTGTCATTCAATCTTCTTTCTATCAGTCTTTTTTTCTTCTTTCTCTTCTATCAATCTTACACTAATCTAAAACGGGGATATAATAAATACAAAAAACCCTTCCAAACACATAATCTCATTATACATTTTATGATTATTATGATGATGGTGATTATTATTTTTTATTATTGTTGTTGCTATCTTATCTATTAAATACCAAAAAGGATAATCACTACAATATTTGGAGCTAAAAGTAAAAACAATCTAATAAATGCAGATTAAACAGGTGTTTATCTGTTCCTCCGTCATTCTCAGATCATGCAGATCTTGTCTCATTCACTTTTCCTTTTACTGCTTCTAAGTAGTAGAAAAGTAGACCTAAGCCTGGAAGCAGTGTTGGGCAAGCTACTTGTCCAGTGTAGTGAGCTAAGCTATCAGCTACTCAACAATAAATTAAGCTTCACTACACAAAAGCTACCACCTAAAGAATTATAGCAAGCTAAGTTACACTAATGTGTTAAAAGTAGCTTAACTACATCAGAAGCTACTTAATGTTGTACCAACCTAATGTCAATTCAAAATGAGTCTGACACACTAGTTAAAATATTTATTAAAGATCAGCCAATGACATATCACAGTGTAAACATTGCTTTATGATCAGCATATTAAAATAAAAACTAAAGTAATTACTAGTAGACAAACTAGTAAACAATCTGCTGGTATTAGAACCAAATTAAAGGTACTGTGTATTGTTCTACACATGGAGACATGGCTATGAGTTTGCATTCAATGGACATCTCTAGGGAAAACAAAACCCTACAAAAGACCTCAATTAAACAGTTGATTCAAGTAACAAACAAAACTGTTTACAAAAGAAGGTGAAAAAATAAAAAAGCTAATTAAGAGATACATATATATATCTCACCATTTAATTTCATTTCTACCTACATATTTATTCATTGTATTTTTGGAGGCAATTAATTGAATGCTTATTTATTTATTTATTGAGCATTTATTTATTTATGTATTTAATTTATATACTGTAGAGCTGTTCCTCCATAAAAAATCTTATCTGTGCACAGCCTAAAAACAGATTTATGTAAACATCCTGTCAGGTAAACTAGGCCATGAAAATACAATATTGAAGTTTCACTACTGCTCTCTAATTAGAGTATCTTAGTGGCACAAATGGGAGAATTATCCTGCAATAATGCAAGAGCACATCATTTCAATTTGAGAAAAGAATTTCATCTTCTTGCTCTCAAAACTTATAATGCTCACACTCCAAACATGTGCTCTCTCTCAAATATTTTCTCTTCTCTTTGTTTCTTCTCTCAGATTTAATCCTTCTTGCACAGATATTTTCTCCTCTCGCTTGCCTCCTTCTCTTCGCGCACAAACCGCGCTCTGTTACGCTCGCAAACCCGTAGGCTCTGCTTGCGGATTTGTTTTGCTCTCTCAGACTGCAGTTGGATCGCTGCCTAGCAACCTTTCCAGCCAATAGAACGACAGCCTCGGAAAAGGTGCGCTTGTTTAACCCTACTGAGTGTGCCTGTGCTACTACGCCACTTATAAGAGCGTCAGCTGAAACTGCTATTTACAGTAGCTTGTGGCTGATTGTTGTTTCAAAATAGAAAACTTGGTTTCATTTCTTAGTTTTGCCCTGGATTTTGTAGCGTTTGTGGACGCTACGTCGCTACTTGATCAAAACAATAACGTCGCTACAGGAAAGTTACTTGATAAATAAAGCAGCGACGCTACAGTCAAGCTACTGGAAAATGTAGTTAAACTAATAGCTTCGCTACATGTAGCGGCGCTACTGCCCATCACTGCCTGGAAGTCTATGCTCATAAATCACAACCATAAAAGAACAAAAAATCAACGTATAACTCTACTTATATTACTTATCCCAAGATTTAAACTAAAGGTCACCAATCAGTTCTAAAAGCATGTTGTTGATCCTGGAGAACCACTGGACCAGATTAACTTCTTATAAGGAGATTTCAATCGTTTCATTTTATCTGAGTCTATTTCCTCCTCAACTGAGACATACCTGTTTCTTCGACCTCAAAGTTGATCTGACCCTTTGCATCATCAACAGTAGATATCAACAGACTGCTGGGAGCATTGACAGTGACTGATAAATGCTTGTCAAGACCGATTCCCGTCACCCACTGGACCTTTAAACAGAATAAAACCCATTATTGTAGTACTGCTACCCATCACCAGATTCAATATGCACAATTCTGACAGCTTTGTCCTAAACGGTTCATTGATATTGCAGACGTTTTTCCATATGGTGAAAATATTTACTCTGTTGAAATTAATTAGTAACAGAGTATTTGAGCAGTAAGAGTTCATTCATTGTTGTTGAGTCACGAACTGTACTATAAAAGTGTGCCTACTCACCATGAAGTTCAGGTAAAACCTTTCTTTGTGGTGAGCAAAGTGCCAGAAGCATTCTGTGGCAGCTGCTGGAAGCACCACTGAGAAATCATACTGGTCAGCTCCCCAGAAGAGCTCCTGGTCAGTCATGTTGGAACGAGGCCTTGTCTGGGAGCCACAGTGAGCTAAAGCCCAAAACCAAAAGGCAAGAATAAAGGAAGAAGTCCCAAACCACATGGTGGAGAAAATGGGAGACAAGTAGCTATTCTAAATGAATGGTGGAGCAGAGAAGGTAATGTGTGGGAAAACCTGTGAATGATTAACTGGACCAACCAACTCCATCAGTGGGAATACTGGGTTGGCTGGGCAGATGGAGATAACTGGTCAATAGAGAGCCCCAGTCCCCCTTAGAGTTAGTCGTTCTTATAAAGGAGTGTGTGGAGCCCGTTTTTGGTGCCAGATTAGACTAAAATGAGCTGGCTAGAGGGCGCTTAATGCCAGCTGACTCCTGCAGTAGCAGCCATTGCAAATGGCCCTTCCCAGTCAAACGGCAGCCGAATGGCAGCCAACTTCCAGCCGCTGGATGGACCCCCTCTTTTATTTTTTTTATACTCTGACTCCATCCTTTTACTGAATTACATAGTCTGATCAGGAGAGGGTGCTTCTCTTTAGATGTCCACAATGACTTGTCTTAATATCCACAAATCATGACAGAATAATTTAGTACAAAGATTGGTGTTTAAAGAAGCAATCTTAGGCGACCAGCCAGGGGTTCATCAAGAGAAGTGGGGACATTTTGAGTGGCTACTACTGTATAAAGTTGGTAACCTGGATGAGTACCAGTGAGCTCAGCTTAAAAGGATATAAAGCTCAGACAAGGTCAGAGTTTTTTTTTTTTTTTTTGAAGCACAGAACATGTAACCTTTTCCACTTATTATGACAATTTGTTGTGTCTAATAATTTGATGACCAGTTGCTAGAGTTCCAAATAAAAACTTTCCTTTCTTTTGCTTTCATCAGAGGTCCTTTTAACATTTCAGGTCAGACTCAAATCCTCAACTCTGAACTGATCTAGCCTATGGTTGGAAAATCTGAGTTTTCAGTTTCTCAAATGCTGCTGTGGGTTAGTTTTAATAAACCCACAGACAGTTGAGCATGTGCATAACAAGTATGGTAAGTCATTATTAGTGGAGCACAGATTCGACGAGTCACCATGACAACAGGCCTATTTCACAACACCGGAACTAGAGATTTTAATACAGAAATGAAAACGACAAATTGTAGAAAGTGTTTAAAAGAGAAACAGCACTACAGCTGCAAAGGAGAGGGATGGTGCTCAAATTAATGCATAGGTTTATATGTAGTCCTATGGCAGGCCGTTTTAACATTTACTAAAAGCACTCTTCTCTGTGTTGTTCGATTTGTAGATCAATAAATAGGATTCTTCCTGATCAAAATCACCCTCCTAGTTGGAAATGTAGAATTAAGAAGAATTAAATTTCATATACCCAGAAATCTTTACACTTTATAAGTGGCCGTTTTGACATTTATCAGCATATTGTATTTCAGATCCTATTCAGACAAACTAATAAATATCAAAATGGCCTGCCACAGTTTGTTCTACTTATGATAACATTAAGGGGAGAAACTAGTTTACTGGCTGAATGGCTGTATCAATATTTCATTTAGGTGAAATCTCACAGGAGAGAAGCACAACTGTCAGCAGGTGAAAATGAAGTATAAAAAAGTTGTTTTAACAGGTAGGACCTGTGCATCATTTTATGGGGTTCCTCCTCATTTTACCTTTGTCTTCTAATAAGCATTAAATAAGTGTTATTAATCCCCGAAGGGAAATTCATTTTCAGGTACAGCCCGAAACTTGAGCTAGCGCCTGGCTACCTCAAGTGTTAAGTCAACCGTCCTGCAAACAGGAAGCCTGGGTTCTGTTGAAAACACCGTCATGGTTTTCCCCCGGGTCCGTTAATTCGAGTGTAGGTAACTTCAGAGGAAGTGAAATAAAATGACAGATACAGCTCAGCTTCTGTTCACCTTTGCAAAGGGGAGAAGAGTTGCAGCCCACATCTGCAAACAAAACTCAGCCCCTCTCCCCGCGCAGGCTCATTTTATTAATTTTTCTCAGGGAAAATCTTACAATTCAACACAAACAGTACATATTATTCACCCACTAATAGTAAATCTAGCAAATGTAAAAAAAAAATATTTATAGTGTATGTTAAAAATCAGTAAATATAGCAAAAGTTAAAAACCAGTGAATTAAACATCCATTATTTCACTCTGATGTGTCACCCCCTCTCAAAAGTTGACGTTTTCAATGTCAACTTTAATCAAACCCATTAATATCTGCTCATGACCAGGATATTAATCATAGAAGAAAACTTTAAGCGGTGTTTCTTTCAACATCATAGAATCATGGAATAAACAATCAACAGTTCCAATGGAGATGTATCATTAATCAGGGATCAAAAGTAATCACAATCAAAACTTCAGACCAAATGTTCTCACTCAAGACCACAGTTTCAGCATTTAGCTCCAATTTTGGTTTCATCTATTTAAAGGAAAGCTGTTTTAGTTTCCTATGCGCACATTATTTTAATGTACCTTAGACTAGGTAACCTAAGCCTATAAATCTAATAAGTTCGAATTCATCTACTCTCACTCCCACCTGGAGGCCTCCTAAATGTGACCGCTCACCATGGATAAACCATCCATCCAACATTATTATGTATTTTAGGTATAGATAATGATCCATTTATTAGCTTAAAAACTAAAGGTCCATTTTGCAGTTTGGTCTGAAGTAGATTGGATCCTGAGCACATTTTGTGGCTTAAGGAGACAGGCCAGTACAGGAGGAGACCTTGAAGAGGCTGTAGGAGGGCAACAACCCAGCAGCAGGACACCTATCTCTAAATTTGTGCAAGGAAAAATAAGAGTAGCACTGCTAGACCCCTGCAAAATGACATCCAACTGGCCACAAATGTGTATGTGTCTGCACAAACAGAAAACGACTCCATAAGGATGGGATGAGGGCCTGACGTGCTTATATGGGGGTTGTTCTCTCACCCCAACTCGATGAATGATGCCTGGCATTTCACAGAGAACGCCAGGATTGGCAAACTCACCACTGGTGCCCTGTGCTCTCTAAAGATGAAAGCAGGTTCACACTGAGCACATGTGACAGATGTGACAGAGTAATACAGACACTGTGGAAAGCAATCCGCTGCTTGCAACATCCTTCAGCATGACAAGGTTGGCAGTGGGTCAGTTATTGTGTGGGGTGGCAGTTCTTTGGAGGGCTGTGCACCCCTCCATGTGCTCACCAGAGGTAGCATGACTGCCATCAAGCACCAAAATCAGATCCTTAGACTCCATTTGAGACCATATGCTGATGCGGTTGGCTGGTTTCCTCCCTAATGCAAGACAATAGGGGGTTTTCAGGTGACGTCACGCTCACGTGGCTACTCAGCGCGTCCGCCATATTGGGTGGCAGCCTTAGGCAGTATTGACAGTGAAAAATGGTGAAATCGTGTGTAATTGTTGGTTGCACGGCCCGTGGAGGTGGAGATCAACGCTCTTTCTATCGTATACCAGCCGTAATCGTGAATCAATGTGAAAAAACAAAACAGCTATCTGAACAACGCCGTCACCTATGGCTGACACGGATATCCAGGTCCGATTTGGACGGTGTTAAGCTGGAATAAGCCAGAGTCTGCAGTGCTCACTTACTTTGTCACAGGTAATTAACTGTCAAGCATTTAAAACATGTAAGAATATATTAATAATAGGGCTTGGGCGTCATGACGTATTACTTTCCGTGGCCGCAATGTTGACTGCCTCCGCCGCCGCTACTCAGACTACTGCATATGACTACCGCGTACTGGACTCAGCCATGTTTTAATTTGATTCATTTCACCTTAACTTGATTTCAACCAGCGGGAAAAGGCTCAAATATGTGAGAAACCCGGAGGGTTTAGGGAGGTTTGGCAGTTAACGTTACTAACCAAACCTTTGAAACACATAGCAGCTAGTTAAAAGTACATTACATGCCTGAGTGGTTGTTAGCACTAACGGTTAGCACTGTTTGCTGGCTTTATGAGCTGCAGCTCCTGAACCCATCCATTCGTAAACTGCACATGAGACTCCAAGGACTTGTAGCTTTGGAACTGTTCGCGCACCGCCGGCCGTTAGCCACCTAGCATAGCGAGCCCTGCGTCGGATTGTTTACATTTTTACCATCTTATTAAAACTCACCCATCCACGTATGATGGCGATTTCCTTCATGTACATCACTTCGACATCTCGTACCCAACCAGATGTGAACTGGTTGTGAGCCTCTAGACCCTTGTACGCTCTCCTCAAGAGTGTGCAGAGGGTTTTCACTGAACACCGGGTAATGAACTATGTCGCCATGCTCTACATTTGGCCAATCATCTGGATTAGTGCTAAACAAGGCACCGTGGAGGGCATAGGGGTCCATATGGTCGATCACGGAACATTTTCTCAGATATGTTCCATGATCTGGTGGCTCTAGCGTGCTGGTGTACTTATCCATTCGCGACATGATATATATGATATACGATAATATGCCACCCAAGATGGCGGACCGGACGCTGGCCAGTGACGTCACTGAAAACCCCCTATTCTAGACCTCATGAGTGATTGAAGCTATGAACTGACCCACCCATTCCGCAGACCTGAATCCAATCCAGGTTTGGGACATCATGTCTGATCCATCCACCAACGTCATGTTGCACCACAAACCGTCCAGGAGTTGGCAGATGCCTTCCTCAAGGTCTGGGAGGCCCTGACATGAAAGAAAGGGTCTATTGCATTGAAGGCTATCAGGTATGCCCTGATTTCCTCCTTCTCATCTGAACAGACATCCATACACATTTGGCCAACATATCCAGCCACTTTGAATGATGAGAACTGGTCTTGGAGACTAGACTCAGCACAGCTCCATATGTGGGAGAGTATATCCTGAAGGACAAGAATGCAGAGTAGATTTTCTTCTTCAGGCCTGTACCCCTTGCAGCTGACAGCACTTTGATGTTTGGCAATCCAAAACTGGGTTGCACATTATATTATTTTTGAACATACAATAATGAGCGGCTGGCTAGCTCAAATGGTAAGTCACCTGTCCTGCTACAGGAAGCATGGGTTTGTATCCCAGCTGGGTGGAATGAGCTGCCATTGTTGGTCCTTACACAAGACACTTCATGCTAATATCTGCTTTGGGGAGTGGTGGCCTAGTGGTTGGGCATTGCGCTGGGAATCCTGAGAGTGCCCACAGACTGCCCCCCTGACTCCTTGAGCAAAGACCCATAACCCCACACTGCTCCCCAGGCACCGCACAATGGCAGCCTACTGCTCCCCAAAGGGAGAGCGTGAATTTCGTTGCACCGTACTTGTGACCGTGTAATGACAATAAAAAATCTGGAAAATAATAATAATAATAATCTGCTGGGCCCGCCTTTTTTGAAAATTCTTTAATGCCGTTTTGTGTTGGATATTAGAAGCTGCTGAAGGGAGGTTTCTACAATTTCCTTCTTTCATCTGTTGAATATACCAAAAAATGAGAAATCTCCTGTCCTGGGGTGATGCTGAGAAACTGGTCCATGCATTTGTTACTTCAAGGCTGGACTATTGTAATTCTTTACTATCAGGAAGTCAAAAAACTGTAGTTAAAAGCCTTCAGCTGATCCAAAATGCTGCAGCCAGAGTTCTGATGAAAATGAAAAAGAGAGATCACATCTCTCCTATCCTGGCTTCTCTTCATTGGCTTCCTGTTAAATGGAGATTTCTTCCTGTTAAAAGGGAGTCTTTCCTTCCACTGTAGCTACAAGTATGCTGGGTGTGAGGGATTGCCTTTGGGTCAATGAATAGATGCATTCAATGAACGTCGCTCTGGTTCATGCTCATTATTTCAGAACTTACCAGTTCAGTTCATCAAAAATATATAGGAATTCAGTGAACGCTATTCATTGAACGCATTCATGCACAACATTGTGCACTGATGATACCATGCATGATGCTCTGGTGTGCTGAAGATGCGCTTTGCTGATGTTGCCCTTTCCAATTAGCCCTAAAGTGACCCTAATTGAATAAGCAATAGAAGATGGATGTATGGATGGATGGAGACTATTATGATGATGATGAGTGCCTGGAAAGTCATGGATGTGGTATGGACATATCTTTGCATGGGGGCACCTGTAGGGTCCGGGCAGATTTCCCCGAGCTCTGCCCCTGAGCTCTCAGTTGTTTGTCACTTATCATTTTATTTTCTAATTATTACAAGAGGTAAAGATTTTATTCAACTCAAACTAATGAAAATTCTTATACCTTGAATTATAGTTTCTATAAGATAAGAATAGAAAACTATCAAAAGATAACAACTTTTGTAAATTTCCCCAGTTTTCTTTATTATTGTTTCTCCTCATATGAACCCAATATTGGAGTGAAATACAGTTAGAAAAAAGGTTGGTAACAACTAGAAGATCAAAACACACAATGCTTTACCTTTAATGTACGTACAAACCCCCTGTTTCAATAACACAGCAATAAGGAATTTCAAAAGTACGTTGCATTTTACAAAGACAAAATGGAAGCAATCTTGCAATACATTTTACAATGTTCAACATCATTTAAAATCATTAAGACGTCACATATAAAGAACATTTGTGTTAGAAGCAGTTAAATCATTTAGCCTGTGCTTATGAATAAAATGTAAATATTAAAGTGCTCATCACAGCAGCGTTTTTAGGAAGGTATCGGTTAAATACTTATTTTTTTAACTCTTCATAATGTTAAACTTTCAATCAAAATGCGAGTATCATTAACTTTAAATGCACAGAAAAAATATAGCAGATATAGAAAAGTTTAGCTATTTTGTAGTTTTATTTAAACAGATTTAATGATAAATATAGAAAATGCTATTCATAGTCATTCTTCTTTACATTAAATGGAAGTGAACAGAAAAGTTTTCCCAAACCTCAAATTACTATGATCTTTAAAGTCAGAATCCATTAGCCCAAGTATTAGTCACTATGTTTCAGTAAGAATCATAAGATATTAGTTACACAATGAGCCGATTTTTGATGAATGTTTGCACGCTGAATGGGTTGTGTGACTCCTGAGGTCTAATATTTTACCTTTAGAAAAACAAACATGGCTGATTTATAATGTGCCTTAATTGAAGGAGAAAAAAAATCCCTCATGCTGCAAGTTAAAGATGTTCTTTTTCAGGCACTCATCTCTTGTTCCTTTACAGGAAGTTTAACTTGTTTTTGTTTGATTCTTGCATAACTGCATAAGGGATTGCTGCCTTAATTTGTTTTTGGCTGCACAGAAGTCTTCTTCATTATTTATTTACTATTTTTATTTCTGAACATTCAACATGATTACAGATGCGCAGACTCGCAGGAATTTTTGCTATTGTTTCCACCAAATTTTGTAATGTTTTACCTCCTCCAAGTTGAGCCAATTTATTATTTTAGCCTCTTAAGCACCCTACTGAAAGGTGGGATTGTTGACAACATAATTTGTCGCGATTGAGGTGCTTTGGTGGGAGATATTCATTGGGGTGGGGTAAGACATCGACGTCATGGTGCCAGAACCATTCGCATAATAGCCGTTGCCTGGTTGTGGAACACTGAAACCATAACAGGCCGTGGAAAATGAGGCTGGTGGGTTATTGCTGTGCAGAGGCACAGTGGTCATGTGGTTGGACATTTGGAAAGTTGGAACCATAGGTTTGGAGAAACTGTGGTTGAACTGCTGTGTTTGGGGAGCCAGAGAGGCTGTAGGGTATAACGGGGCTGTTGGAGAAGGCAGAGATGTTGCGGGGTATAACGGTTGTGCTGGAGGAGGCAGAGAGGTTGCGGGGTATAACGTTTGTGGTGGAGGAGGCATAGAGGCTGCAAGGCTGAACTGCTGCACCTGCAGAGTCTGGCTGGGCTGTGGAAACGGAGAAAACGTCGGTCCTGCAGGGTAGGTTGTTTGCTTTGGCGCAATGGGACTATCAATCGCTTGTGCCGCATTCAGAACCTGCAAGCCATCATCTATTTTTTTACTTATCCTACCAAACATTGCCTCATTATCTTTAGTCTTGGCACTAGATCCTTTAATAGTGCTCGACCTGGTGAATTTCGTTATGTGTTCCTCTGCAGTAGTCAGAGTCATAAGGACTTCTATCAAAGATTGGGAAACTGTGGGAGTGATGTGATCAGGTCCCTTTTTTTCGATCCCCTTAACCAGTCTCTCCAGAATGTGGACTCTTTCGGCGATTGTGTCACAGTTGGTTTTGTAGACCTTCACACTCTCAGCCCTCCGATAGATGGAGTTGCATTTTTCCACGATGCGTTCTATGGTTTCCATGATGATCTGCTGAGACAGAAGAGCAGGAATTTTTCTTTATTTTTTATTTTATAAGGGGCAAATCTTCCAAATCACATCCATCCATCCATCCATCCATCCATCCATCCATCCATCCATCCATCCATCCATCCATCCATCCATCCATATATACATACTGTTTTAGGGTCGTGGGAGGCAGGTGTCTAGCTCCTTCAACGGACGGGAGACCTTAAACAGGTAACTGTCTAAAGATAAACATAAAACAATAAAAACAAGCAGATACATGAAACACTGCAAGGTGAAGCCAAGGAATGCAATAAAATCACCATATTAAACATGTCTCGTAAGTGCATGTGCTGCTTTTATGCTTTGTGGAAATATTTTCCTGCTGATCTAAATTCATATACAGTAAGGTAAGATCCCCCCAGCAAGCTTTAACAATGCCTTGCTCAGAGGGAATTGAGCTTTTCCATTGGAAGTAGACTAGAAAGACTAGAAAGAGGAGAAAGAGGTGTCTTGTTAGAGACTGCTGTCCCCAGGAAGATGACAAGCACTATGACTGGGTTTAGAATTAGAAGATTTAGAATAGTTTCTTTTGGCTTGTCATAAAAATCTTTTTTTATGTACTTGAGCTGCATGACTGTGTAGTTATGCAAAATATGTATTATATTAACATTCAATTCCACATTTAGAAAATAATTGTAGTTAATGGTTGCTGTAAATAAGTGCTGTTAATTAAATACAAACATCACGTACTGCATTAAAAAATGCTCAAACACATAAAACTCATCACTATAAATGGGTGAAAGTAGCTGCTGGGAAGCTCTGTAATAATACACTTCAGAAAACACGTTAAGAGTTCAGCACAAGATCACTGTTGTGACTGAATGATCACTTCTCGACTCATGACGAAAACCTCCTGCTGTCAGCCAAAAATTCTTCAGTATGTTGGCCAATCAGCATTGAGCAGTCAACTGCACGACCCGCCCCTTCTCCATGGAACGTCTAAAAGGTTTAGCCTCACTTGAAGCTGTGCTATCCAATCAGGGCTCTACTTTCTCACTGCTTAGTTCAACAGGCCGAGTTCACACCTCAGCAGGGATTGCTTATAGGCAGAGTCCTGCTGCTCCAGAGCAGAGGGGAGATTGCAGAATAAACAACTGATTAATGTGCAACATACTCTTGAAATCAGAGGCATTTTAGGGCTCATTTAATGCAGTTTAATGGCTACATTTATGAAGTTTGACAAAGCATATTTGACCAATAATTGTAATAAATTTACTGGGGAGGTTTAGCCTTCCTGGTATTCAATGAGAATTTCACACTGCTGTAAAATCAGTAAAAAAAAATGCATTTTTTAAAATGAGCAATGGTCATATGATTTATTTTTAGAACATATTCAGAATTTATAAAAATGAAATTTTTGAATATGACTGCAAACGTTATTTTTAATTGTTTTTTACGGCACTATTGGCTTGTTTTTATGGACAGTAGGCCAAGAGGAAAGGGGGGATGAGAGACATGCAGGAAAATAGCACAGACCGGATTCTAACCCGGGTCGCCCGCGTCGAGGATAAAAACCTCCATACATGGGTCATGTGCGCTAACCACTGCGTCACCAAAGCACGCCCCCTCTTGCTTTTATTGAATATGTCTTATCTCTGTGTGAACCTATATAATTCTCCATGTGACAGACTGGTTTCTGACTGAGGATTAAACACTATCTGAATGCATTAGACCTTGGTTTTAACAGCAGCACCACCACGATTTCACTACCTCCCAGAACAGCATTTTCACTCTTCCCCATAATAACAAACAGATTTTAAAAAAAAAATCTTAATTGACTGGTTTTATGATCCTACGATGAAAATGATGCTTATGACTCACTGAAAATGTTTTCAAATTGAAATCTAAGACATATAAATGTTAAATAGCTTGCCTCTAAATAGGTCCGTGTCTCTCACGCACAGCAGACCTCCGTCTTTACCTCTTATCCTTAACACATCCAACCGGGATGTCATCAACTCATCTTTTTTAAAGCATTCCCAAAATAATTTGGTCATGTGTAAACAGATCTGTTTTTACAGAATGATGAATTACTTCCATCAGAAGAAATATGACTTTGCAAAGTTTATGCTATGTACTAACAATAAAATAATAATGATAATAATAATAATAAATCTTTAAATACTTTAAATTTATTTGATTATTTACCTCCACGTAGATTGTCAGGAGCTGCCTGTAGTCCTCTTAAGGGGCTGATAATGAAAGCAAACTGGCACTAAATCTCAGTTGCTCCCTCACCTTTATATATAGAGCACCTTAAACAGAAATATCTTTGGCATCTGAGGTATCCGTGCTTCTGAAAACGAAAAGAGATGAACCTTTCTTCTGTGGTTGGAACAGGAATATCCAGTTTGAGCTCCAACACAAAGGCGCTAGATGATGATTACTGGAACTGAATAAAAAAATGTCCACATTAGATAATGGTAACACACGGTATGGATTTTACGTTAATATGTCCAGAGATAATTGTTAGTGCCAAAAATGTCAATCATTGTACTGAGATTCATTGTGTTTAATTCATTTCTAAGTAGCTTTATTTGTGTTTTTCTTTAAGTTTCCTCTAGTGGTTATGCTTGGAAGACTCTGAAAAGTGCTGCGTCACTGTCAGGAAAAGAGATTGTGAAACAAAGCATTACGTTTAGTTTCATAGTGTTTTGGCTGTTTTATCTGAGGAACAGCATCACAGAGTTATTTTTATGCTCCTTAAAGACTTAAAAAAAACAAGAATCTCTAAGATTCATCCATCGGCTTGCGCTCACAGCAGATCTCAGCAGTTGCATCCTCACTCTGCCCTCAGGTTATCTACCTCCATCCATATTCCTGACTCTACAACCCATATTTCTGCTACCCTCTTTCAGCTAACTCAAGATCCGGTCTTCATCGCTGAATCATGAATACACTCGACTAGGTTCTTGCTTGGAAAACACCTTTGGCACATCCTGTCTCGGTCGGGCATTCAACCCAGACACTATTCTGGCCATTCATTCTGCATAGGAGCTGCCACTACAGCTTCCAGCCAAAAGATCTCAGAGCAAACTATCTGTATTATTGGTCACTGATCGTCTTAATTCCGTTCTATTCACTTTATTTCTATAGCTCCAATTCACATCATGTCATCTCAAGGCACTTTCTAGTTCACCAGATCATCCAGTCAGATTGATTCAAAGTTTTCTTTCTAAGGAAAACCAGCTGATTGCATCAACTCATTGACTCAAAGGCAATCCCTCACACTAAGCATGCTTGTAGCGACAGTGGAGAGGAAAAACTCCCTTTGAACAGGAAGAAACCTCCAGCAGAACCAGGACCAGTGTCAGCGGCCATCTGCTGAGGCCGACTGGGGTTCAAGGAGACAGAAGCAAACAGAAAAATTAACATAGATACAAAAGGAAAATCAATCAAATCGTTATATATCTGTAGTTCTCAATATCGACTCCACTCTTATACTTGCCTCAGCTTAATTTAATCAGTTCCTTTTAGGCTCGGAAAAATTAACTGGAGCTGAATCTTTGCCAAATATTTTACTCCCACTTAGATATGTTGGAGGTTTTTCCCACTATCGGGCCATTGTGTCTCACAGTTATTAATAGCAGTCTGTCCTCTGGAGTAGTCCCTGTAAATCTTAAACATGCAGTTGTGCAGCCTTTATTAAAAAAACCTGGGCTGGATCCTACTGTTCTGTCAAATTTTAGGCCTATCTCTAAGTTGCCTTTCTTCTCAAAAATCTTAGAGAAGATTGTTTATTCCCAGCTCATGGACTTTTTAAATGAACAAAATGTTCTTGAGATTTTCCAATCTGGTTTTAAAACATTGCACAGCACAGAATCAGCGCTTTTAAAAGTTTTTAATGACATCTTTTTAGCTACTGACTCTGGACACTGTGTTGTCCTTGTACTTTTAGATTTGACTGCAGCATTTGATACAGTGGACCATGAAATTCTGATTGATATCGGACTTTCTGTATCAGCCTAGATGACTCTGTGTCCTCCACTGCTCCTCTCTCATGTGGGGTCCCACAGGGCTCTGTGCTTGGCCCTCTTTTGTTTTCTCTCTATCTACTCCCACTTGGCTCCATTCTCAGGAAACATGGCATTTCCTTTCACTGTTATGCTGATGACAGCCAGATTTATGTCCCCCTCAAAAAGGCTGATTCCTACTCTGTTGAACCACTGTTAGTGTTTACATGACCTTGAAGCTTGGATGCCTTTAAATTTTCTGAATTTTAATGAAGAAAAGACAGAAGTCATGGTCTTTGGTGGCACATCTGTGATCCCCCCCCCCCTAGTTGATCTCGGTTCTCTAGCGCAATTTTGTAAACCAATTGTAAAAAATCTCGGGGTAAAAGTGGACTCAGACCTTAAATTTGACAGCCAGATAAAAGCTGTAGTGAATTCTAACTTTTTCCAGCTAAGGCAGCTGGCAAAGATCAAACCAGTCCTTCAGAGACGGCACTTTGAGACAGTAATCCACGCCTTTGTGACCACTCGGCTGGATTACTGTAATGCACTTTATGTGGGGATTACTGGGTCCTCAATTGCTCGTCTTCAACTGGTTCAAAATGCTGCTGCACGTCTTTTAACTGGCACACGCAAGTACGAGCACATTTCACCTATTTTAGCTTCACTCCACTGGCTGCCCATCCATCTTAGGATTCATTTTAAAATTCTTTTATTTACTTTTAAAGCCTTGAATGGCCTTGCCCCAATTTACCTCTCTGAGCTGCTGCACCCCTACACTCCCAACCGATTTCTCAGGTCAGCTGATCAGCTGCTCCTGACGGTGCCTAAAGCAAGACTTAAGCTCAGAGGGGATCGAGAGTTTTCTGTTGCAGCTCCAAAACTTTGGAATTGATTGCCGCTGCACATTAGACAGGCCACCTCTCTGTCTCATTTAAAAACTCTTCTTAAAACCCACCTCTTTTCTTTGGCTTTTGACACCATGTAGAGTGTTGATTTTATGTATACACATGCATATTTTTATCCTGTGCGGGCAGTTCTTTTCTTTTATTTTATTTACTTTTATTTATTTTTGTTATTTTATCTTTTTTGTTCAGCACTTTGGAAACCTTGTCTTTATTTAAATCGTGCTAATATAAATAAAGTGGATTGGATTTGATTAGATATCTTCAAGACCTCAATTTTCTCATCAAAGGATTGATATATCCCTTCTTGGGGGATATGTACCTCAGGCTTTTAAGGTAGCTGTAATCAAACATTTACTTAATAAACCATTTCTCTATCCAACCACCAGAGTTCTGATGAAAATGAAAAAGAGAGATCATATCTCTCCTATCCTGGCTTCTATTCATTGGCTTCCTGTTAAATAGAATTTAAAATCCTCCTTCTCACATATAAAGCCTTAAAGCTGAAGTCTGTAAGTTTTTAAAAATCACTTTTTTGTCATATTGGCTAAAACTGTCCCTATGCCCAGACAGCAGTACATGTGATACGTAACCTGTGAAAAAAACTGCTTCAATTGGTCCCGCCTACTGCCTGTATTTCAATCTGGAAAGAATAATTCGGGACGAGTCAAAACAACCAATCAAAGCCAGAGGAGCGTCTGATGGAGTGTCAATCACAGCTCACACACGCTGAATCCCCCCCCCCCCCCCCCCTTCTGGTCGCATGCGTTAGCCGCGCAGATGCTGTGAGACGGGTGGAGCTTGGAGGTGGGGCATGAGTGAAGCAGAGAGGGTGGGGGAGTGGCGTGAAACCTGTTTTTCTTCACATTTTCAGTCGAAGTCTGCTCTCTCCTCAATGTTACAGACTGCAGCTTTAAATGGCCAAGCTCCATCTGATATCAGAGATCTGATTGTTCCTTATGTTCCTAACAGAGCACTTCGCTCTCAATCTGCAGGTTTACTAGTGGTTCCTAGAATTTCTTTTAGTTATCAGGCTCCTCTCCTGTGGAATCAACTACCAGTTTTAGTCCGCCAGGTAGACACCCCTTTCCCACTTGCCAAAAACAGGCAATTGGCTTATACTGGAAGTGGTAACAGATCACTGGCCCTGGTCAAGCCACTATGCAAGCGACCTGGGTTAAAATCGATTTCAAACGGCTCGGGTCTAATCGGCATACAGTGGGAACATCGGACACAGGTCGACCCTCTAATTTACACACGGCACTTGCCTCTGATCTAAGCAGCCATGCTTGCATTTGTTAAACATGGCGCAGCACTGGTGAGAGGGATTGGGATGGTCAAAAGTGCCAAAAAGTAAAGCATAACTACTATGTACTGGCTCCCTTCCAAGTTGCTGTCCATTGTTTACTTTCCTGATTTCTGTCGGAAAGGTGACATCATCAACGCAGCGGGACAACATACAAGAGGTGCTGAGGGCACAGAGGGCCCACAGCTTGCCAGCGGGAGGTCAAACTCAGCTTTTTTTTGCAAATGGGAAGGGAGCCAAATGCCATTTGTTAAATCCAGTGTTAACCCACTAATTTCAGTGGGTTAGGGGTTTTAATATCAGGCTCCTCTCCTGTGGAACCAACTGCCAGTTCTAGTCCGTGAGGCAGAAAACCTGTCTACTGTTAAAGCTAGGCTTAAAACGTTCCTTTTTGATAAAGCTTATAGTTAGAGTGGCTCAGGTTATCCTGAGCTATCTCTATAGTTATGCTGCTATAGGCTTAGACTTCTGGAGGACATAGGGACCCCTTTACATCATTCTCCTTTACAGCAGGTTCACCTGGTCTATTCCTGTTTCGCTGTGACAACTTCCTAAAAAGAAATATCAGTTGGGCTGCTGCAGCCCAGCTGGTTGCTTGCTATGATGATAGAGATAGGCCTGTTTTTCAGTGCTTAGTCCTGTTTTTCACCTATTCATAGCTATTGGCTCAGCTTTTACAGTGTGCCCTCTTTTGTTATCACTTTGACGTGAAAACTGGCTCAGACCTTGTCTGCTCCACTGTTTCTTTCTCAGACAGAGCAACACGTGCAGCTAGATTACTATTATCTTTTCTAACATAGAAAGTATTTAGAGCTCAGTGCGTATGATCCTCTAGCATTTCCACTTCTGTCTCCTTGAACCCAGAGTCAGTGTCAGCAGAAGGCTGCTCACATTGAACCTTGTTCTGCTCTTTTTCTGTTACAACGGAATCAAATGAAAACTCTGTAAAGGATCTCTGTAGAGTAAATGGCATTATCCTATTGTCCACAATCTTTACATGGCCATCTAGGAGGAGCATATCCTGAGGGGTGAATGGCTGAATTCAATTAGCTGTGTTTTCCAGGATAGAAAACTTTTTGCCAATATAACTGTATGATCTATTTGAATTTCTTTGA